CCCCGGATGGCGGTTGAGACGCTGTCGCACAAGGCAGGGAGGCAACTGAGTATATATACAAGGATACGAGGGGAAATACACATACCTGTCGCACAAGGCAGGGAGGCAACTGAGAGAACAAGTCTGGGTTGCTCCCTGGTGCAACAGGCGACTATATAGTAGATGAGTAATCCATCAACACAACGAAAGATGGTCCAATGAGAGAAGGGGAGGGTCCTCGGACGCCCGACACGTGACCGGTGGACCGGCCTAGGAAGGCCGGTCGAGTGCGGAGGCCCTAGGAGCGCCGAGCGACGGAACGAAATAGGGGAGATGCCAAAAGGAGGGCGCGGGAGAGCGCGACCGAATAGGGAGACGGAAGTATTAGGGGGAGTGAACGAAATGGGACAGAAGCGGAAGCAGAAAAAGAGAACAATGAGACATGAGGCGAGTGTGGGAGCCGTGCCCTGACAAGAATGGGACTTCACACATTCTGGACAGTCTTACAATTAATCGAGTCGATAAATTGCATCCCATGCAGTATCAAATATTGTAGCCAGGATGTATATAACTATATGGTACTGTAGTTCGAAGAGGAAGTAGCTAACTCTGAGCAAGGGGAGCCAGATCAAGGCAGGTGTACAAGTGACTGGTACTGTACAAGTGACTGATCGGGCACTGTAGTAGCTATGTATGAATGAGCCCTACCTTAGAGTACTCCTGATTCGCTGTCCGGACCGGGACTGTACGCCCGAATTCGGTAATGAAACAGGTACACATAGCAGGCAGTGATAGTGAGTGGCGCCAAGGACGCATGGGCTCGACTAAAGGGTAGATTAATATATGTTAAAATAGCGAATGTACGCCAAGAACGCCTTCAAGCTCCGGCTACACTATACTTGCGGAGGACGCCCTTCCAATCTCTGACATCGTCCCGACCCATGCAGACGATTGTCGCCTTGTTGCCCGATCGAGGCCCGAAGACGCGCTCTGCGGTTTTGCGAATGGACTCGGGCGTCAACTCATCCACTTTTTCACACATCTCGGATACGGAAATCTTGCGACCGTGTACGAGGATCTAACGTAAAGCCAGGTTTTTTTTAAGAAAAAAAAAATACGTCGTGAAAGTATCCACGATACGCACCTGACGTCCAAGGTCCTCTACTTCAACAGCTCGACTTTCGAGGGCCATCATCAGACTAGATTTTAGCTGGTTCTTCGCGCGGCTGAGCTCAGTTTCGGAGACTGGCGCGTAGAGCAGCAAACTTAGTTGATGTACGAGATGAGGTAGGATTTGGTCGGCTGTATTGCCATGGTGGCGACCTGCTTTGGGCACGAAGGATGCGAAAAGGCCGAACAAGGAGGAATCACTGTATATATGGTGGAAGGAGGCGCAGTGATCGACCTGCGGGTAGTGGTTGAGAATGTGGGTGTACAGACGTGAGTACATTCCTTTCCCTGGGCCTCCTGGATACACGATGGTTTCAGCAATGTGAACTATAGACCAAGGCACGCATGTACCTGCTGAAAAGCTTCCCCCTCCTCCAAGAAGTACTTGCATAGTCGCTAGGGCATAGATGTCATCGTCGTGTATGCTGACACCCTCAAAGGCAAGATATAAGTGGTTGAATTCGCTGTCTTCTCGATGGAGGAAGCGATGGCCACCAGTGTACGTAGATTGCGGGTTCAGAACAGATGAGTAGCCGGGTTCTAGCGTGACGGAGGGGGTCAAATACGAAGCGGCCCGCGTGAGGGACTTGTAGAGCGAACCGGGCGATTTAGGGATCAGATGTGGTGCAACAGGATGTTGCGGATTATTTTGGCGGGAGGTTGGCTGCAGGGGATGCGGCGGGATGAAGGTAGTGGGCTTCAACGACGAGAAGTATTTGTCCACCAGTTCGACCAGCTCTTCGTGCTGCATTCCTGCACCAGCAACGACCATGCGCTCCGGGGTGTAAAGGCGTTGCATGTACTCCCGAATGCAATCCCGATTGATGTGATCTATTCGCTCTTCGGGGCATAAGAGCGGGATGCCAAGCGTCTTGCCGTCGTATGCAACTTCATGTAAGATTTCCGGAAGTATCATGTCCGGCTTTGAATTGATTTCCCGGATTTCGTAACGAGCAGCATCGCGCTGCAAACTAATTTCGTCGTCGAGAAAAGCGGGGTTGATGACCGTATCGGCTATGAGTGACAAGGCTAATGGATTCGCCTGGTGGAAGTGCGTTGACTGATACATCATGGATTCCCTTGCTGAAGCACACATTATTTGCCCTCCCATCTGGTCGATGGCAGCAGACATCTCCTCCTGAGAGCGTGTGGCCGTGGTCTAGGTTGGCTCAGACAGGCGTCCTTAAAAGATATCCGAGCAAAACGCGCCTTAAATGCCAATCTGTCCACAAAGTGGCTAACTCCAAGGGTAGACGGCGTTTCATAGCGAGAGCCCGCGTCGACATAGAGCCCCAGAGCCGAGAAGTGGCTTGGGGTGGCTTCCGTTGCAACCCGGATCTTGTTGGGTAAGGTAGTTATTTGAACCGGTGGTGCCGGTGCCGACGTAGAAAGAGTTCTTTGGTGAACTCGCTTCAGTGAGCGGCGCAGCGCGGTCCTGGAAGTGTGATGCATCGTGGTCGTACGCGGTACACGGCGCAGATGTTGCTGACGCCAGTAAGGTCGCCAAATACTTGCATCACCTGACCTGCGTGCCGTGCTCGGCATATCACGGCTCCAGTACGGCAAAAGCGTCGGGTGTGTTCAAGCCAGTGCTAAGGCGCTAACAACCCTTGCTAGTCAGGTCCTTAACGTCGCCTTCTGCCGTACCTCTGTACACATCATCAGATCATTGCGACCGGATCAGGTTTAAGTATGCACGAGCTCAGCACCCTCTCGTACGGGGGCGGGCGCTACGCCCGCCTCAGCATTCCGCGTTCGGCGCGTCGGCGACCTAGCCTATGACATGTCATTGCTATCGTCAGCGTGCGGTCTGCCTGAAGTAAGCCCCCCTCCTCCGATCGCGGACTTGTCTGCGCGTTCGACCTCATCCCAGCTCTGCCCGAGCGCCGTCAGGAGCCATGGCCCCTTCCAATGCATCCACTTCAGCGGATCCCTTTGCCCGCCAAGGCTTTTGGGGTCCTGTTACCGCTACTCTTGATTGGTGCGAGGTCAGTATCCCGGTTCAGCTTTGGTGATATGAATGCCCGTATTCACCCGGTTTCAGGAGAATTACAAATTTTCGCACTATATATGCGAGGTCGCCAATACATTCTCGAATGTGTTCACCATATGGATCGCGTTGCACGGCGCGCGGAAGACGCTGGAACAGTCCCTTCCCAAGCGGTTTCTTGTGGGATGGCTGGTAAATATGCTACCATATTCGTGCTCAGTAGACAGCTAACCGTGCGCTCAGGGTTTTGCCCTCGTAGGAATTGGCAGTTTCGCGTTCCACGCGACTCTTCTCTACGAAGCGCAACTCGCAGACGAGCTGCCAATGATATTTGTCGCAAGCTACAGCGCGTTTATCTTGTACAATACGGAGACTGGATTTGGCCACCGGAACCTGCGATCCTACTTCCTTGCTCTTGCGGTTGCCGCGTTTGATATTCTGTTTACATGGTCATAGTACGTGGCTACGCGTCATCTCTTATATATTAGTTACTTACATGCACACAGCGCTACGTGGTACCGCAACCCCATGTATCATCAGATCGTCTTTGCTTTGCTGGTGATCGCTACCAGCTCTAGGGTCACCTACCTCATCCGCTGGTCTCCGGCCTCAATGCGAGTCCCTGACAAGACACGCTCCTCAATTCTGCAGATGTTCTGGACCGGTGCTGGACTGTTCGCTCTTGGTTTCGGAATATGGAACATGGACAACGCTCTGTGCGGCACCTTAACTCGTTGGAAAGCAAGCATCGGATGGCCTGCGGCGTTGCTTCTCGAAGGTAACGAACGTAATTTCTTGCCGTTTACTCGTCATGCTGAACCCCAAGCAGGACACTCGTGGTGGCATGTCTTCACTGTAAGCGCAAAGATTGCTGATATCTAGCGAAGCGTTCTGATTTTGGTATTCAGGCATGGGGCACATATCTCATGATATCTGGTGTCATTTGTGAGTGCTTTTATAGCTGTTTATCGGTCTTCCTTAGCGCTAACCAGGAACAAACAGATCTGTAGGTGCACCGCGTCACAGTCTAGAACAGATTTTGACCTTCTGATTCAAGGACTGTATGTGTCAAGGATGACCCTCGACGATACAGACTGGGAGGGTCCTCTGGACTTCCTCATGTCGAAATCGTGAAACTCACGAAGACACAATGATCAGTTGTCGATACCATGCAATTCGGACGCCATGAGTGCCGGCGCTGAACCTGTTAAATTTGACACTGATATCTGTTAGAAACCGGGTTCTGAGCTCATATTCAATGTTGTCTTGCGGTACTGTTGTAATTTCCTGTACGCATCCTCCCAATCAACAACGTTGTTCAATCAATGGTATATTATACGATGAGCGGTGAGCATTAGGGCATTAAGTAAGGAGCATACTTGATACGTGTGCTTTTTATGCCTCGGGCGTAGGCTCTCCCACAGTCCATTTGGCGAATTCCAGTACTTCCACCCCGCCATGTCTGTTCGCTCCTCCGTTCATGCCTCGCTGCCTTGCCCACGACTGCAGCACATTCCGTACAATATCTCCATCTGCATCCCCACCAAGCATCATGAAGGGCTGCTCGTACAACGCTGTTTCGTCAGCGTCAGCTTCGGTACCGCTGGCTGTGATTGATTGTGTTTCGAAACCGACTATCTGGCGCGCTATGGCGCGCTCCATTTTCTCCAAATCCCCGCGGAAAGCGTCTCCGGAAAGCAATTCAGACAAGCGGTTTGACTTTAGGCCAATGAGAGCCAGAGCGCCAACCCGTCCTTGTGATGTGTTATTGAGGGATCCATGGAGGTACGAGGCGACACGGAGGCCGAGCTCTGATTGAGAGGAAGGGAAGGGGTCGCGGACAACTGTGACTGCCCTACGGAGGGAGACCTTCTCGCCAACCTTGGCGATGGTCTCCTGGATCGCACTGGCAACCGTCGAATGAGCCGTGGTTCCGATATTAGCTGCGGATATGAGGGGTGCATGCGTGAGTGCCTCCAATGAGCACGGCGTGAGCAGAGTGTTCGACGAAGTGGGTTCGGTGATGAACGCGGCAGTGTGCGCGATATCCGCAGCCAGTGCACCGAACAGCTGATTTCTGGCGACGAAGTCCGTCTCGCAGTTCAGCTCCACCATCGCCGCGCGTAACCCGCCATTCCCAGAGCCTGTTCCGCGTCCGAGGACACTAACGCTCACGAGCCCTTGGCCGGCATTGCGTCCGGCGACCTTCGCGGCCTTCTTGGCGCCAGACACAGCAAGCTCTTTATGGAGCCAATCCAGGGCTTTGTCAAGGTCGTTGTTGGTTGCCACGAGTGCTTCTCGGGCTTTTGTCAGGGACACCTCGGTGAGCTTGCGCAATTCAGCGATGAGCTTGACCGAAGGTTTGGTCGGTTCGGTTGAGTAGCATCGGAGGGTACGCAGGAGACGCGCGTTGGCCGTCGTCCTCCTGGCCGCAGGAAGGAATGATGCCATGACTATTGAGAAGTTGACGCTTTGCGGGACTTGACGTGACGAAGGGGCTCGGACGCTGGCAGTGGCGGTGCTAAATTTCAAGCTTTATTCATCGCGTCTTGATTGGCGCGAAGACGATCACATGAGCTCCTGTCAATGATTTTGGCCCCCCGAGTTGCTCGAATTCGCGCCATTCCTCTGCATACCATGGATAATGTCGACGGTTTCAAGGCGCCTTCGACCTTGCCACAAGACCTACTCTTGATTAATGAGCTTATTGGGGAGATTCCACCTCCCCCGGCCTTCCCCAAGGGAATTCGTGAAGCAGAGCGATCTGACGAAGACATCGCAAGTTCCAACGGAGACGTCGATAGCGAAGACGAAGTAGAAGCTCGCCTCAAGTGTATATCGGACCACGAAGATACTGAGTACGTCGCACGTCGTTTCCGAATTCACCAGGGAGTGACCGCCCTCTCAGCCCATTGGACTCCGACTTGGAAGATGACTCTTCTTCCTCTGATTCTGAATCAGACCAGTCAATATCCGGCAAGGCCTCGCACCCTGGGAAACGAGCCAACATTGATCTTGCTGCTGAAGATGAAGACGGCGAGGACAGCGGGCTGAAACCGCAAGGCTATCTGAAAACACAGCATGAAATCACGGAACTGGCTATCACCATCCCAGAAGCCTCCGAGGTTCCTTCCGATGAAGAATTGGAAAAAGTTGGCGAAGTGATGACTGTTCTTCCTCAGACTGTGGTCATCAAAGGAATCCCGGCTCCTGTCACCGGCCGCGCGTCAGAGAAGGCTCTGGACAGCGAGACATTATTGGTTCTGGAGGACCGAAGGGTCCTCGGTTATGTGCGAGTTCCGGACATTCAGTTTGGCACCGTTCCTCTAATTGTGTGATCAGATCTACGAGACATTTGGACCAACACATCAACCTTTATACCAGGTTCAATTCAACGACTCCTATCCCCTTGTACCTGGTAAAGTGCAGGTATCCCAGCCCGTTTTCCATGTCCCTCGCCGCAGCCATTTCGTTTTTCTCAACGAGTTGAAACACTCGAAGGGGAGCGACGCAAGTAATATCCACGACGAAGAACCCGCCGCTCACGAGCTTGATTTCTCTGACGACGAGGAAGAAGCTGCCTTCAAGAGGGCAGCCAAGATGAAACGGAGGTACGCGCCATATCTTTAAGCTCTTGTCCGGTACACTGACGTGGTGCCCCAGGCGCTCGGATTCGCGTGCTGGGTCCGTTATACCATCAAGGCACACCACTCCTACTCCTTCACAGATGCGGGACCAAGATCTTGCTGGCGAACCTACGTACGATGGCAATCCTTACGATCAGTTTGGACCTTACGATGGTGATGCTGTCGCCGGGCCTTCGCGAGCAGCACCGCTTCCATACGATGACCCTTACTCGGACGTGTATGGGACCGATATCGACCAAGGAGTTCCTTCCAGTGAACCACCGACGTCCGTGTTTGAGCATCAGTCTCACTTCACCACCACCGCCGTCAACTCTTGCGGAGAAGGACCCTTTGAAGACTCGCAACTTCAACGTGCTGCAGAGTATTCTCGGGATCGAGATGCCATTCGTGGTCGTGGCCGTGGCCGCGGTCAGCGCCGGGAGGATAATCGACCTCGAGGTAATCGTGGTCGCGGGGTTAATCGGGACTCGCGAAGAGATGTCCGACATACATCATCAAATCGTGGCCCGCATTTGACCAGTGACACTGCCCAACGGGCTTGGGGCACCTCGCAGCGGCAGCAAACATATGCAGCCCACGCTCCAGGGATGTCCTCTCATCGGCCTCTGTCACCGACTTCACAAGCTATTGCCAGAGCTACAGGCCAGTATTTGGACGTTCACGGCCCCACCAACGTCCAACAGCCTACTTATCCGGCGAATGATGTCTGGATTCACCAGAGTCCGTTCTCTTACGGACAGCAGTTATACTACCAACAACCTCATGTCGATCCATTCATACAACCGCACATCAACCCGCGATTCGCTGCCTCTTTTGGCATGGGGCATCAGTATGGTCTAGGATCGCCCGGACATGCGAGCGTCGGGAGAGGGTGGAGTTCCTCGGCGTGGTCGGATAGTGTAAATTACGAGGTACAGAAAGACAATCACAATTAGCTTGCCATAGCGCTTCGCTCCGTAGGCACTACTATTTGTTTGTTGCGCTGAGTAGCAGTATTAACTCAATACCTGTGCAATATTTGGGGACCGTGGCACGTGTGCCATAGCCTCAACTTCACCACAGGAACAGTCGCTGTAGCTTGCAATACCATCACTGGAACGCTGTTCACTTGCGGCTCCACCATGGTGATGTCCCCTCCTCCGGCCGCGACTGCCCTGAGCAAGTCCCAAGGCAAAAAGCGTCAAGTCGACGCGGTCGGCGATAGAGCTACTTCCTCACCGAAACCTACGATGCAGACACGCCAAAAGCGTGTTCTTCCCTCCCGAACTCGTCGAGGTGGGCTTGGCATTGGCAGTACGAATGTGGACCAGATGATCCTGGACGCGCAGCTACGGAGATGTGCGTATATACCCTCTTTATGCCTATTCGTGTGCTAAGTCCAACCGCGCAAACAGTCGAAGATAAACCACTCATTCCCGCCGAAACCAAGTTCGTGTTCACCACCGACTCTTCACTGGTGCCCTCGTCATCTACGTCCGACACCTTCAAGGTTGAGCTCAATACCACCGCATACGGCCGTTACTTCGATAGGCCAGAGGTTATTGCAGCTTGTAGGGCTCAGGAGACCATACAGGTCCCCCACTACATCAATCTATCCGACGATGCAGCAGTAGGCGGCCGCTTTCGACCAAGAGGATCACAGGAGGTATTTGACCTTAATTCTGGAGGGGCGTGACTGACATGATCTGGCACGTAGGAAACAGTGGACACTTCCGACTCTGTTTATGAAAAACGACACCGGAAATACGAGGCATTCGAGAAACGCCAACGGCTTCGCGAAAAAGAGAAACTCAAGCACGAACACTACAAACTCAAGGAACGCATCGACCAACTCCGCAACATGGAGATTTCCGCCTTCCTTGCCCTCCCGGCCTCTTCTTTTTCCGCCCCCCCGCCTCGATACGATGAATTATCTGAGGAACTCAGCAGCGCTGCTGGATATCCGCATAGCATTGCCAGTATCCAAGAAGGCGAACGGCGACGGAGGGAAATGCTTCAGATTGCAGAGGGTCTCGAGGAGCGCTATCGAATCTTACTACCCCCGGATCGTCCTCGTGCCGCGGAGAAAAAAATCAGCGTGGCTAAGGATGTATCTACACCTACGACTCCCAGCGTGGACCAACAGCAGACTTTCTCGTCGGAGCGGCCGGAAAAGAAGCAGCAGAGTCGGGATGATGCGAAGAGGCAACAAGTGATTAAACAGGATTCAGTGAACGGCAGCAAGTTCGTCAAGCGAACTGAGAAGATAACATTGGATGAAGAGGAACCTGTTTCGCCTGCGCGCAAACCGCAGAAGTCGAGACAGCGAGCACAGGGGCCGAAGAGAAATCACCCACCTGATACGGCTGCTGATGCGGCTGCGTCCCTTGTCAATGCGATCAATCGCCAGTTTGGACATCCTCCGGGGCGCGTGAAACAGCGGTCCCTGGATGCAACGTCGGTGGGCACACCGGATGCGGGCTCCATTGTGGGGAATGAACCACAGGACGCAGCTCCCCGCGTAGGCGACGGTGAAACCGAGTACGAATCGGAAGAAGCATTGTACGGGGACGGGAAGGCAAACGGCGTCATGCTAACGATCAAAGTGCCTGCTAAGGAGTCTTCCGGCTCCGACCGCACCACACCTGCACCGGCATCCGCTGGTCCAGCTTCCACGACTAGAAGGCGAAGGCAGGCCCCTATGTCTGCTCCTGTGCGGAGCCCCTATAGCCCCGCAATGAAACGGAACATGACCAACCATCCGAGAGTCCTTCAGGTCTTAGCAGGCAAGGCCATCAGAGGGGCGAATGGTCGCTTCCTTTCGGCCGCAGAAATGGCGGAATTGGATAACAAGGAAGCAGAAGACATTCCGTTGGAGACTATCTCTGCGCCGCAACCGCGCAAGAAACGTCGCGCAAGCCATATTTCCCTGTCCGAAAATCGCACAGCTTCAATCATTTCTGGTGCAGAGGAGTCTATATCCGTGGGCACTCGCGCTCGGAATCGCGCAGCTGGACCCGGCTGCCTAGTCCTCGCGGCCATGCGCAAGTCGGCGGCAGCTAAAGAGCGACAGGGAGGTCGCAACGCATTCGGGGCAAGGATACCATCCGGCGTCGACAAAATCCACGAATTCGCACTTCCATACTGGGTACGGTATCCCGATGGCGAGGAAGATGAACTAGAACCCGATTCTGAAAGCCCTAAAGCGATGGAAATCGATGACACTGCACCCGGTGACTCAGCCAGTACTGGTCGAGCAACACCGGAAGCTCCGTTAGGCCACGCTAGGATGAATGATTACGAGGAGGCCAACGCTAAGGGCAATATCTCAATGCCCTCGATGACCCCAGGACGTGATGAGGGAAATCCGCAAGTTCAAGGCCCAGTGCCGGGGCACTCCATGAGCGAGGTACGAGGTCCTGAGCCCGAAGTTGAGTCCATGACATTGTCAGTGGGCGAGTGAGTGGAGCAACCGCTATCTGTCTGATTGGTACTTTTGGCCTCATCCGCTCTGATGCGTGGAAGATGTATCTTATTACTTGTTGTCTCTAATTTAGAATCGTCCCACTACGAATTTCTGATGACAATGGGCTTGGTATGAATACGTCGCGGATTATGCGATCTTCATTTGAACCGTGCCCGATTGTGACCCGACAGTCTGCCCGACAACGGCCAGCGCTCGTTGCTTCTGCGCAGAAGACATATCCCTGTTCCTGGCGAGGTGCATGCGAGCGACGCTCAGGCTGCTCGATGGGGAGTCCGGCATTGGAAGCACATTGAGGGGATCGTTTTGCCCCGAGTGTTTGGCCACTGTTTGTGATTTACGAGCTGTGCCGCGAATGCCAATGGTGTGAGCAACACCCTGCTTGTGACCACCCATCTCAACTCGTAATGGGAGTTGTTCTTCGACATTTTCCGCCTCCATGATGTTGTCACGCACATCTTCCACAACACCATCCTCCTCCTCCTTCTCGACCACCTTTGGCCGACGCAACAGCCCTTGCGCGCGGTGCGCGTTTTGCTGTTTCTTGCTCGTCAATTTTGCATCAATACGCCGGGAGGAAACCGATCTCCCATTTCTTGTGGCCTGCCGTCCGCTCCACGTGTTTTGTTCTCTACCAGTTGCACCGCCGCTGTTCCATGTCGTAGGTACAGAAGGTATAGCCCCGGTACTGAGATTCTTGTTACGCGAGGTGTATTCGGAAGGCCGGTCCCAGTGCCCATGTTGCACAGTCGGCTCCGACGAAGGGGCAGCACCTCTTTTCTCGAGTTGGTTTAGTGCCAGACGCCCAGCAAGCGAAGTAGGACCCATATTCGCGGCCCTTTTCAGGGCTTGATTGACATTACGCGGCTTCTGGCCTATCTCAGCTGCGAAAACGTTCAATTTCAAATTGCAGATGGCGCGGGCAATGTAGAGTAACATACGAATGGAAATGTCGCCGAAACTTGTGGCCACAGGGGCGCCCCGCCGGAATGTAGATGTCGCGGGCGAAAGTGCATTGGCTGCTATGAAGTCAGTACAATTGCATTGATCTCTGTGTCAGGAATATGTACGAGGCGAAATGCTGCCCAAGCTGCTGGCAATACGGTGCACGGGTCCAGCGGAGGAAAGGGACGTCTGTGCAGGCGCAGAGCTCACATCGTCCGCCATCATGGAGTACGAGCGCAACCATGCAGACGTTGTTTGCCGTCTAGTTGACCAAAGTCGTGATGTCGCCAGTGCTGGCCCATTTGAAGCCATGGTGGAAGGAGACAAGTCGACGCGGTCTCGGCTCACGCAGCACTTCACGCTTCACGCTTCACGCTTTCACACTAACATTGCTATGGGCCGCTGGCTGGGGCGGATTGTCGTTGGACTCACGCTCTCCCTGATTTCTTTCATAGCCTATTCTTCTCAGATATTTATCATTTGGCCTTGGTACGGACGAGAGCTCTCAGTCGAGCTCATGACGCTCCTTGGCCCGTTCAAGTGCGTGACGCATGAATACCTTCAGTCTTCTTGCCTCATGTGTATGATAATTGGATGCAGCCTTCTTGTTGGAATGCTACTCTGGAACTACTGGCTGTGTGTCCTCACCGATCCAGGACAGGTGCCGAAGGACTGGCAACCGGATGTTCAGTCTGAGCATGGTTACGAAGTCAAACCTTTGACGGGCACCCCGCGATACTGTCGCACTTGCCAATCATATAAACCTCCTAGGGCTCACCATTGCAAACAATGCAAGCGGTGAGTTTACCTTGAACTGTTGATAGCGGGACGCTGATCGGCTTCAGCTGCGTGCTGCGGATGGACGTGAGCTTGTAATGGCAGCCCGGCAGTTGCGCGACTTAACTTTGCTGTTCTCAGCATCACTGTCCATGGGTTAACAATTGCATTGGTTTTGCAAACTACGGCCATTTCATCCGTTTTCTCTTCTTCGTGGACGTTGCATGCATCTATCACGTCACCGTGATTACCCGCCGTGTGTTTGAGGGCATGGGCCGAGGCTACTGGGTGAGTCTTGGTTTCGTCGATGGATAGAAGCTAATATTTTCTGCACAGGACGAGCCATCTGGCGTCGAGGTTGGTATGGCGTTCCTCATTAGAGGATGGTGATTCATCGGTGGCTTGTTTACAGCTTATATTTATCGTCCTCAACTATGTGACTTGCGTTCCCGTCATATGCGCTGTTGGTGCCTTCAGGTGAAGTTCATCTCATATTCGATGCAATTTGTAGTACACGTAGCCTAACGATTTGGTAGCATCTATCACTTCTATTGTTTGCTCGCCAACAGCACAACGATAGAAGGTTGGGAAAAGGACAAAGCTGCTACATTAGTGCGACGCGGCAAAATACAGGAGGTCTATTATACTCATTGGCCATCTTGGATATTCGCTGACTACATCATCGCATAGATCAAATTCCCATATGTATGGATATACATGCGAGATGTCGTTCTTGCTGACCTGGGTTGACAGGATTTAGGTTACAAAAGCAATGTCGTGTCCGTTCTCGGTAGCAATCCTCTCTTGTGGTGCTGCCCCACAGTACCGCCTGGAAATGGGCTAAAATATGATATGACCACGGATTATGGTGAGTGGATGGAACTCCAATCTTCGAGTCACGCGGGCGGAGTCCACGGGTTTGGAGCGGCGGGAAAGCGAATCGTCGAGCCATGATGGTGTGCCATACCAGAGTCCCGTCCTATGGTGTATTCTATAGGTGTGCGATGTGCTATGCGATACGATAATATGTGAGCTCATACACGACTAGATTCTACATCTGCTCCCTTCATTGTATTGATTATTCCTTACTGAAACCGTTCCTTTTCGTTCTAGATGCCAATGAGCAACCCACATGGCCTCCGCGTGATCCTACGGAATCCGACCCACAACAGCATGGTTTCAAGCTTCCAGAGACGCCGTGGGTCTACGGCAACGGAGCGCTCAACCCTCACCTTGACCCCTCTCAAGCGCGGCGCCGCAGGTCAAGACCGCTACAGCAAATCAAGGGACCCCAAGCCATATCTGACGTCCCGCCTTGGCATCCGGATTACAACGACCCAGCGGGTATCTCAGGATACGCGCCATCTGAGTCGGATCGGTCAGCCACAGAGGACGAAGAGTGCGATGAACGAGCTGTGGCGTACGAACAACCTGAACTTCCTCGGCCCAGAGTTCGTCGCGGTTCCGAAGGGTACGAAGTACGACCGATGAATCGTGAGCAAATGCTAGAGGAGTATGTGCAAAGTCATATGTTCGAGGCTGGACGATATCATTATTATGAGCGGGAACCCGAAAGCGGGAGCTCAGATGATGACGCTGAAGGAGAAGAGGACACTATGCCGTTATCGCGGGAATAGACGTACTGCTAGTATATTGCACACATAATGAATAAGAGCCTAAAATCACAGAAAACACCCATACATGCGAGACGGTGATGGTCCATTGACGGAGCGGAAGTTATTCAACGAGATCATGCAAAGAGGTACACTTTCCAAGTATTACCACCTTTCTCTCCCACCTCGAGCACATTCGCACCGGCGGATACCTCCGTGTGCCAAGTAAGGTCCCCTTCAGACGCGTTGAGCTGGTTGCCATTCAGTTTCACTAGTATATCCTCAGGCGAGGGCATAGGAGGATCTTTCACCGGAACCTTGACGCCGTTCTGAGTTTTCACCTTGATCGGCGTCTTTGGCGCATCTGAGGAACTGTCCTTCGGTTTCCTCTTCGGAGGTCGTCCCGGACCACGACTCTTGCCCTTCTTCTGACTCATGGGTGCATCCTCTTCATACTCCTCCACTCCGTTTCCCATTCCCCCACCTTCGTCCTCGTCATCGCTCGCGTGCTCTTCGGGGCCCGAAAACAACACGTCTTCTACGCTAACATTCTTCTCTGTGTGAGCCAGACGAAGCACCCAGCTTGACACCCCTTCGCGATGTTGCAGTCGCAACCTCCGACCGTGTGGTTGCGTTATCAAGGACACGGAGCGCAACAGCCGTTGCGATGAGTCGGTGGATGATCCGGATGACTCGGACACCGCAGGCGGTACTGCAGGAGATGCAGTAGCACCATTTGTCACCACAGGGGAGCTTGCCGCGGCCAAAAGAGGTTGATAATTGCTTGGATAATAATGCGGATAAGTGCTCGTCGAGGCGGCGTATTGCGGGGGAGGGGCGGCGCTAGCACTTGGACCTCGGTTTGCCATCACAGGAAGGCTCGTCGAAGAAGATGGGGCAACAGCAGGGGCGATGGTAGGGTATGCTGCGGGAATCGTGATAGCAGCAGTATTCGGTATTCCTTGTCCTCCAGGCAAACGAACGAGGGGAGCTTGACCGGAGTTATCCGCCTGCTGGATGGGAGCTAAAGGTGTAGCTGGTATGCTAGGCTTGAGTTTAATCTTCGGAGCAGGCGCGTATTGGGGTAGAGCAAACTCGGCCGGCAGCTCGGACATGAGTTTAGCGAAGAACGTCTATATAGAGATAAGAGGATGCACGACATCGTCAGGATGGCTGCTCACCCTGAGGGAGACGGCGTCTTCCCATATCGGCGTATGATCGGCATTGAATTCAAGGGCATTATCGAAGACCAACTCGACGTCTGCCGCGAAGTCCGCTGAATTTGTATATTCCTTACGCTTGACCTTTTTCTAGGACATGATCAATGTCTTCGTTTGATATGCGAAGGTGGAAGTCGCTTACGAAGATGAATTCGAAACACATAGGTTTCTTGATCACCTTGTAGTACTCCGGCCAGAGTTTCTTCGAAGGTAGCTCCATGAATTCGGTGGAGAGTACACGGCCACTGCCAAAATGTCAGCGAGGATCACCGTAGCACAATCCGGGCTCACTTCTCGTCGGTTTTCGAAACCAATTTCTGCATCTTTGCCTTCATCTGTCGGTATAGGTTGGGTACCTTCTGTCTTTTCTCGCCTTCCCCTTCGCCCCCTTCGCCATGGGCATCGTCGTGAGCTTCTTCCTCTTCTTGGCCGGTCATCTTCGCGTATTCTTTCTTGACGAGTTTCTTGAGAGATGACGGGCGTTAGCAAGTCGAAGTCACCGTGGACGCAAGCGCTTACATGCAGATGTTTGGCATCCTTCCATATCTGACTCTCCCTCATGTTATACTTCTTCGCATTGGCAAAACACTGCTCGAGATCCTGCTTGACGTCCTCCAGAGATTCGTACTGTCCGCTGTCAAGTTGCGATTTGATGTTCTTCAGTGCTATCGGTCGTTTGATGAGCTGGTAGTAGTCGGGATATTGCCGTTTGGACGGTAGCTGCAGGAAGCTGTGAGAGAGAGTTCGGCCTCTGAACAATGCATAGCGACAAAAAGCGACGTCAGAGTCATGATCAGGGAGCCAGAGAGGAAAGAGCGAAGCGTGCGCACTCTTTGTTGACCGCATCCTTAACCGTCTGCCAAAGCTTCAGCCCCTGCTCCTTGACCTCCTCATCCTTCTCCGTGTCTCCCCCCACTGATACTGCCTGCTGCTGCTCTTCATCCTCGGTCTTCACTACATCTATCAATTCTCCTCCTGCCTCTTCTTCTGGCGGACTAGAGGCTGTGCCTGCACGGTGTCGTTTCGCTCGCGGAGCATCGACGTCCACCGCGGCGCCGTTGGAGATCGCGCCGAGCTCGCGCTTCGACATGGCCACGGATTATCTGCGCTTGCGTTGGTCACTTGGGAAGGTAGACGTTCGCTATCTGACCTGCGCGGTGCCGGGTTTGGGCTATCTGGGCTGCTGGACTTGACGGGGCCGCCTTGGCCGGGGAGCCCATTTGAGCGGTCGCCGTGCACGTGACTGTGATGACCCCATGCCACACATGCACACACAACACGCAAACGCCGTTGAAACGCTGAACTTCAGACTCGACTTGGGGCTACAAGGAATATATGTACAGGCGAAATCTAACACAGAGCGAACTCTTGATGAGTGGACCTAAACGACGGACTTGAAATTGGTAAAATTGGTTTTCTTCGACGCTCTACGCCTCGCTTGCGTCTTTCGTCCTGAGATCTCCACGCTTTATTCGATTGTGAGGATACGTCAGACGCTAGTGCACGGGTCATCCCAAATTTCAGGGAATGGATTCGTCTGACAAGTGACGCACGTAATCTCGTGATTTCGAATACGTCGATGGATAAGTAAGTGCGTTGATGAGCCCGGAGACCAGGTATCTCAGTACTGCACGGTAGCTGACAATTTCGCGACGCGGAGCTCTCGAAGTCGTTGTTTCGCCGCGCGCGAGTGCTGATTCAGCCCGCCGTCGAACGCCCAGCTAGCATCTCGCCACTTGAGCTCGTCCGTGTCCTTGTCCACACGGAGGGAGTAATCGCGGAGCAAGGTCGCGCCGCCGGGCTACGTGAAGAACGAGTCAGACTCTGCGTCACCCTGGGTAGGCGCATCACTCACATGCTCTCCGAGGTATTCGGTTGCTTCCACGACAAAATCGTCCACGAGCAGGACGCATCGACCAGGCTTGCCTCGGACGTAATTTTCCACCTCCTCAGAACCCCACGAGGGACCTTCCCAGATCAACGATTTGTCCTCCGGAGGCACGCCGTGGTGATGCTTGTGCTGCATGTATGCTTTGGCGGATTCCATATCGGTATAGCGTGCCCGACGGAGACCAGAGGCTAATCCGAAGCGATGAAGGACAAGGATGATCCATTTGGACGGGTCCCAGTCCGAGAGTGATGGGCCGGCGCGGAAGTCCTGGGGGAACGCATGGTGGAAGTTGTGATTCCCCTCACCACAGGTGAGCAATGCGAAGAGCTGCGGCACGCGATGAGTCGTTTCCTGTGTGTGCAAGAAGAACAACACATACAAGGTTTCCCCGAGAGCTATTCTCGTCAGAGAAGAGTTGGAGGCCGTCCCAATGTGCTAATCTATGGAAAGTCAGTAACGCACGATGCACAACCTAGGATGCTCAAACCCACGAATTGACGATGAAGGTACAGTGCCATACTGCACACATGGTTAGCACCCTGCCATATATTAGGGAGATAAAACTTACTCAGAATTCGAACAACAAGGCTACCGTATACATATGCACCCCAAGCGTCGCCCCAGAGAGCACCTAGCAAGGGAGGAACAACAAATCCCGTGAACAAGGCCAAAGGTACTAGAGGATACGATGTTATTGCTGCTCGAGTGCCTCAGCCGACGAATTGAGTTCACCATAATGTTTATGTTGTAGTCGCACAACTGTATGCATTACGTCAGCCGTTTGAGGCGATGTTTGGAGCTCCGTGAGGACGTACCAGGGTCACTGTCCAGGTCTTCTCTGTCGACAAGCTCCATCCGTTCATACGTGGGTTTGAAGAATATCCATCCCACGTGTGACCACAGCAGACCCTTGGTGGCGGCGTACCTACGCGCAATTGCATTTTTAGAACGTTGCGAACGCGCAAAGGTTGTGGAACACAGACGGGTCATGATCGGGATCGTCCGTGAAACGCTGCAATATGCTTCTCAGAGACACGCGACGAGGTTGATTGAAAGAAGAAGCGTACATGGTGTAAGCGGTGACGCAGGCACCTGGACATGGTTGAGCAGGTGTCGAATACAAAAGACGTGGAAGGGGCGTACCACCACTTGATGGAACCTTGAAAAGCACTCGAGCCGAGCGTGGCGAGAGCTACCCTGACTCCGAAGCTTGCCCGGAACGCTCTGTGCGACCATAGGCGGTGGTAACCGATGGTGATGCTATGCCGCGGCGGACTCGTTCAGGTCCGGCAACACACGATTGAAGAGGTGGTCGCGTACCCGAACTGCGCGAGCTGCCACAACGCGAATGCCATGATCAAGGTCGCGCGGGGGACTTGGGACGGCGGCGTATAGTACATGGCGACGAGGGCCGCGACGTGGGCCGCGACGAAAAAGGTCGCGTTGCTCCACCATACCTCGAGCCTCCGGGGAGATGTGGACGAGGGCCTGGGCGGTGCAGGTGCGGGAGGGCCGACGGTGGCGGCCATAGACTATCTGAGGCGACTGGGAAGGGAAGGGAAGGTGGGAAGGCGGCTGGGCTACCGGGCGTGACTGCACCGCTGGGGGCTGTAGATATCTGTATACCGAGTCTCAAATGTTCCCGCACGGAGCGACCGTCTCGCGCGTCGTTGTTCACATCATCGGCAGGGTTCGCAGGATGAATCACCCCTATCGCGCTATCGGCCACACATGCGCGCGCGGAGTCGGCGGCATCAGACGTCTGAGAGTCTGATCACCGTCGTTGGGCTCCGACTCCGCGTCGTCCTCGCTCTATTCAATTTCAGTGTGCGCCTCGGCCCTCGAGGCTACGACGGGCCTGTGTCTAGCCGTGTCAGACCGCGTCACCGTCGTCGCTCAATCGGCTGTCCGAATCTTATCGGGATCTGGCAGCCTATTATCTTCGTCTCAGGGTCGTGTCCCAGCCTGTCCCTCACTCATATCTCGTCCCTGCCGCCGGTGGACGCGAGGCGAGTGAACCATATTCCAGGTGCGGCGCTGGCTCGGGAACATCGATCAGAACCTTCGTCCAAAGTTTATGCAACGGCGCATCAACAGCCCCCAGAATCCAAGGCGACTATTCATTTTCGCGTCCGAATTGCGAAGGGTCCAGAACACGACCCCTCCGGCCTTTCCCCAAACTCAGCGCATGGCGAACCTGTGCCGAACAACTACGTCTTTGGCTTGTCACCAAACTTGGCCACGGCGATCCTGGTCTTGGTCGACGCCACCGGTGAGAGTCGGCGATCACGTACTGCACGGTGCGTCTCATATCATGCAATTATGGTCATCATCGCAAAAACCAATCACTCCACTGGCGGCCGCTCCGCCGCTGTCGAGATTTCTATCATTGTCTGACCTGTGGAGTATTACCGCACGCAGTATGACTCGTCTGATACCATACGCGTCGCTTGTCAACCTCCAAGACAGCAGCGCTGCTGAGCCGAGCCTTCCATCCGCACTCTACATCGCCATCGGGCCCGGCCCGCGGCTCTCAAACTCCTTCACTTTCTCCTCCACGATGCGCTTCACCGCCCGCACCTTCTCCTCGTCCGTCTTCCACACGCCCCACTCGCTCTCGCCGATGCCCATCCCGAAGCCAGGCTTCCTGTTCTCCGTGCCGTTGTCGACCCAGCCGCCGCCGCTCAAGTGGATCTCGCGCAACCCGTAGGGGAGTAGCGCGTCGAGGAGCGGGCCGACCGTGACGGCGTTGATGCCGGATCCCGGGAGGATGGTCATGGTGGACGCGAACGCGAGCAAGGAGGAGAGTGCATGGGGCTCGGAAGGAGCGACGAGGCCGTGGCCGCTGCTCGGAGCAACGTCAGAACCGGAGTTGAGATGTATACCAACGCGATGTCGTACCTCGTCAGGATGCGAGTTATGCCTGGGATCTGCTGCACGGCCTGAAGGGCTATCATGTTCTAGTCAGGTGAACGACTCCTGAGCTGCACCACGGTCCACTCGCCTTCGAGGGGCAACATCGAAGACAAGTCGAATGCTCGATGAAAGCAGACTAGATATCTTCAGAGCTCCGTCTCGTGAGACGAGAAATCGCGTACAGTGCAAACCGGGCCCAGCCTGCGCAGTGAGACTGAAGACAGGCGCATGAACGTCGTGTTGATAAGACTGCGAGAAAGGCCACATACGTCCTCATCCTCGCGACATCAATCGCTCCGTCCTTGGCGAGCACGCCGGCGACGACGCCCGTCGCGCCTGCTTTGCGAAAGAGCTTGATGTCCTCGATCATCACGTCGAACTCGAGGCTCGAGTAGCAAAAGTCGCCGACGCGGGGTCGGATCATCACCTACTTCTCGTGCGTGCACGTCACGTCGGCTGAATGAGGCGATGGGTGAAGTACGGAGGCTGCTTCACCATGATCGGTATGGCAGGCAGCGCGCGGTGAACCGCGTTGAAGAGCCCGAGGCTGGGGGTGGTCCCACCGCCGAGGCCAAGGTTGGCACAGAGTTCAAGGCGATCTGCGCCTCCCCTGAAGGCACTAGGATGTGTGTAGGCATCAAACTGGCAGCGGACCGCTGGTTCCCGCTCACCGGATGGCGGACTCGAGTGAATCGACGCAGACCTCGATCAACACCATGTCAAGATACAGTATATTGTGGCTGTACGGCGCCTGGATGTGATCTCACACGCTCCGGGCACTCGGTCGTCTGCTTCCGGAATCCTTGGCTGGCTCAGGTGTTACATTGCATCTGCGGTCCTCAACCTCACCTTCAGCCGCAAGATTGAACATGAGGACTGTTTTACTACTGAACTTGCCTCCGGAAACGCTCCTGCACATCCGTACGTCTTTCCCTCACATTGAGCCAAGCCCCTAAACTCGAACGGTGCGAGCGCAGTATCCTATCTCGACCTCCCGGACTTGGCGAGCTGCCTGCGCGTATGCCACGTCCTGCGGGCCTTAGCAGCCGACCCGGTATTACACCACTATAGGTTACGCGTCGTGGCGCCCTCGCGCGTCGCCCACGCCCTCTTCAGGCAGGCCCCGCCACGGCCGACCGTCGGCGAGCTCGTCGCCCGCGGTGTCATGCGCGGGCTGGGCATCGAGCGCCGCTGGCGTGCAGGTTTATATTTCTACACCCACCTGGTCAGTACGGCACATCCCCGACGATCCCCCATCCTACCACCCGCTCGCGCCTCGGTCGCAACCGCAGTCGCCGCGGCCGCAGCCCCGCTAATCGCATGTTTATCTTCGCTCGCAGTCCGTCAAGCAATACGAGTCCTCGCTCCGCATCCAGCGCACGCACACCAAAAACCTGCTATCACATCACCTCCGCCGCCTCGTGCTCGCGCCCACGCCGGCGCACTTCCTGCGTTCCCTCCGCGTGCTGCCCGACCTCGAACGCGAGTACGCCTCACCCCGCCTCTCGCGTTCGCTCCTTCCCGTCGTTCGAAAGCTCAAGTGGAGTATAAAGCGCGATGTGCTCTCCCAACGGTTTAGAGACGCCGGCCACGGGGGTCGCGGCGACGCCAAGTGGGTCGAGGGGAAGGGGCGCGGGCTCGTGTGCGAGAGCGAGCGGATCCGGCTCGCTGTCTGCCCGGACGTGCGGAAGATCGTGGCTTTCTTTGAAGGACTAAACGGGCGAGACTAGCGACCATCAGATACCCTTTGTTGAGACGTGTACGAACACTGTACGACACCTGGACTTGCCCTACGCATCACTTGCTGTCGCAATTATTCTATTCATGCATGCCGAATACATACTTTTTTTTGCTCTACTATCCGAACCCTCAAATCGCCTTCGCTACGCGCTGCTTCACTTTCTGCTGGAGCCCCTTGCTCCGCAGCAAGCACCATTCTCCCCATGCGTTCGTCGCCTGCCACCGCTCGCTCGGCAGCCACACGGTCCTCGTCAGCGTCGCGCTGTGCGCCGCATCCAGGAACGGAGCGCAGTGCGCCTTCTCCCATGCCTCCGAGATCGCGTACGGTGGCTCGCGCGGGTCGAGATCCGTGTGGTGCGGCAGAAACAGGTCGAGCATGTAGTCGCACTGATCGACGTCGACGTAATGGCTCTCCTCCGCCTTGTTGAGGTCGTTTTGGTCCTCCGGGACGCGCGAGGTGCCGACGCGGCGGCTCCAAAACACGTCCGTGGCCGGGGCGGGCGCAAACTTGCCGGGCACGAGCCCTTCAAACGCGCCGCGCACGAACTGAACGTCAACGCCATCGGGGACAAGGTAGTGTCCAGGGAAGCGGTGCCACTCCTTTCCGATGCAGAGCGTCAGGTTCATCTTCCGCACGAGCGCCGTGTCTAGATGGGCTCGGGCCTGCTCTGCGAGCCGGTCAGCCTCCTCCTTCGCCTGGGCGGCCTTGCGCACTTCAGAGTAGGGCACGTTCTTCTTGACCGAGGGAGAGGGCGTTGGGATCGGCGAGGGAGCAGAGGCTGACGTAGGCAGCAACAGGCCGGCGGAATTGAGCAGCGCCGGGAGTTCGTTCGTTTCCAGGCGGAACACGACGGAGAGTGGGGCGTGATAATAATGCCAGAGCGCCAGGATGCGCGTGAGGGAGATGAGTGAGGTGTATAGGATGACGGAAAGGGTGGTCAGGCGGAAGATCGACGTCCTGGATGCCTGTACGGGTGCGTATCAGAATCGCTGATGCTATGAAGAAGTGCAATGAGGTACCTGATAACTAGACCCCGTCACCTTAACATACGCGACCTCCATCCATCCGCGAACGAGGTAGAGCGTCACCGCAGCGTTGAAGCAGATGAGAGGGTAAGCCGGGAACACGAAGCGCTCCTCCTTGTGCGCCTGTGCCGTGAGGATACCTAGCCAGATATACACAGGCAAGAGGCGGATGCCCATGACCGTATACGCGCTGCTCTGAAGGATGTCCGGAGAGACGGGTGCGGCACCGGGCGTATACAGACGCCTACGATCAATGTAGTACGTCAGGATGAGCGATGGAATGGCTAGCAGAGCCATGGGAAGCACGAGGTTGAAATTGAGGGCGAGATTCAGGAAGTAGAACGCGGGAGACTCTGTGCCGTACAGCTCCGGCCCGCGTGCGGGGTCGGAGAAGATGTTGTAGGAGACAATGTTCCAGGGCGTGACGGTAAGCTTGCCGTAGAAATAGCTGTCGACGAGGACGATGGGAACGAGGACGACCGAGGCCAGAGCGCCGGCGGTAAAGAGTCGCTTCCACCGCGCGGCGAACCAGGTCATACGGTCGCGCTGGATGACGCGATCTCCGCCTAGTACGAAGAGCTCTTCGAACACAAACGGAATGGCAAGGGCAATGGCAAATGGCCAGCCGAGTAGGGCGCCGACAGCGAAGAGCGCCGTCGCTGAGTAGGTCCTCTGCGCATCGGCTATGCGCGGCGGAGCCAAGGCGAAGGAGTAGGCGAGCGTAACGGCGTACATGGCAAAAGACGAGGGGAGGAAGGCAACGGAGGCGTTCCACATGCCGGCGCTGAACAGGAGCATGAAAAAGAGGTATCGGCCGACGCGGAGGTTGATCTTCTCGACGACGGTGCGGTAGAACTTGGCTTCACAGAGCGTGGAGAGCACGGCGAGGAAGATTCTGGTCGCAAAGAAAGCTGGTCTCTGGGGAACGTATGAGAACATGGAAGCGACGTCGCGGGGGGTGTCGATGACATACCTTGGAGGGTCCGCTGAGCCCGGCTAGCCGAGCAGGGAGGAAGTGCAGGAGAATGTATGCCCAACTACGAATTGCGTACTTGGGCGAGGTCTCCCACGTTTGGAAGCCGTATCCTTTGTCGAGGTAGTGCAGCGGTTCCCAGTAGTTGTACACTGCACAAGGGTGAGCCGCGGCCCTGGACGTCGCTGGGGAACTGACCTTCATCGCAGTCGGAAATATTGGAGTACATGGCGGCGCTGACCCGGACAAGGAGCAGGAGTCGGACGGCCATGGAAAAGCTGGGGGTCCATGGTGCGCGTGCGGATCTGGGGCGGGTCAGACGAGGTGGGAGTGCGGTGGATGAAGGCGCACCTGCGAACCTGGTCCTGGAGGATGCCGGTGTGGTGCGACTTGGGCGGGGGCTTGGGCTCGTCCGTCCGCGCTCTGAGCCGGAGCGTCTGCACGTTCGCGTTGGCCGCCATCGTTGCGATCAAGTTGCAATGCGCTTTCGGAGCGAAGCCGAGTCCCGCCAGCGCGCGGCTCGGGAGCAGTGGCAGTGCTCCGCCCGGAATGGCAGCCGCATTGCCAAACTCGACAGCCGCACGTGCCCCGCATCCTTCCTCGTCGACCGCCCAAATGCACGTCCAGAGGCGTCAACATGCCACCGGCCCCCATAAAGTCAAGACCCGGGCGCGCCGTGGTCCAGGACAGAGACGCCCGCCATGCCCGACACTCTCGAGACCGCCCAACATTTTATCTTCGTGTAATTTCGTTTCTGGCCATCTCTACCGTAAAACGATACTGACAAAAGCGTGACAGGACGCAGGTGCACTTCTGCGGTATGTAGGACAGCCGATGACCCTAGACAAGGCGCTCATCGCCTCCAGCCATGTACGCCATCGTCGCCTGGGACTGGATCACCAGTCTCCCGACTGAATGGCGATGCGTACGTCGCAAACCCCCCGTGGTCGAGGCCGTCACTCACAAGGTTATTGCAGATTTGGAAATGCCGCTGGACACCCATCAAGCTTACCTACCTCATGTGCCGCTATTGGGTCCTCACCGTCGTACCCTACCTTCTCTACGTCTTTTGCGTCGATCACTCTTTGGAAACCTGTCAGCGAATCTATCGTATTCCCGTCATTCTTGCCATGTGGAACCAAGTCGGCGCGGAAGGTAACTGCGAGTTTGGTCGTCAGTTCGCGACGATCGCTCAGTGAGATATACAGCCGTCTTGGTCATACGCACTTATGCTTTCTTTAATCGGAACAACGCCGTCCTTGCGGCGCTCCTGATCATGATGTCCGCCATGATCACCTATCAACTCTGGGTCGCTGTAGACGCGATGGACTGTAAGACATGCATAGATCGTTCCTCACTATCTGATCGCATTTTTTCAGTGCTCGCTTTCGTGAAGCCTCCCTTTGTCGGTCGTAAATCGCTCCTTCATACTTTTTATGCTGACCCGCTTCGTGTATATAGACGATGGGTCCATGCCTACCCGTATCCAAGCCACACTCGGCACATCTTCTAGGATTTTTCGTAAGAAATTTCATCTTCCGCAAGCCGGTGTCCGTACTTACTCGCCATTAGATCGCCCCTTTGGCATTCGACACGATCGTCACCACCATGACCGTGGCCAAAGCGATCACGGTTCGTCGCCGCAACGGCGGCATGACCAGCCGCCTCATCCAGACATTCATCCGCGAAGGTGACTAGGAGCATCACTGCAGCTGACAATCGCTCAGACCTGCCAATTTAACAGGGGTCTTCTACTTCCTTCTGATATCCATAGCTAATTTGGTAACTCCGGCTGCCTTTGATAGTGGTCAGCGACTCACTGTTCCAAACAGATCAACGGAATCTTCTACCTCCAGTAAGCGGGACGAGCCAGCTCGGATAGGATTAGAAGGCTCATTGGTCCACAGACCGCGCCAAGCCATTTCGGCCATTTGCATCCCACTCAGCGTGATGCTCGCACCGGTCCTCGCCTGCCGTATGGTAAGGCTTAGAGTCCCACGATATGCAACAAGATACTGACACGCTATCCCAGATACTCGATTTGCGCAGCCGCTCCCTGGACGACGAGGTCGCTCTCACACCCCAGTTTGCCGTGAACCCGCACTACTCTCCAGCGAGCCACACCTCTAACGGGACATCGCTGTCTTCGCCGCTCAAGCTCGCGCAAGCGCTCGGATTATCCTCGCACGGAAGTAGCCGCACCGGGCTGCGTACGAAGCATTCCAATTCCTCCGGACTCGTGCGCAGCGCACGCGGCGTCACCTCCACGATCAACTCGGGGGTGATGACCGCGCATAGCGTCGAACTCGATGCGGTGGGTGGCGTGATGGAGCGCACGACGTCTAAGGACGGCGAGGAATTTGGCGACCTTGAGATGGCGAACGGGGTTGGCGGTATCAGGGTCGAAGTCGAGAAGACGACAATGTGAGGAGAGTGAAACTCGCTAAGGCTCATCGGCTGTTGCCGCTTGTCCGTGTGTCCGCATATTGGGCGCCCCTTGTTCTTCTGTTTGCCATGTGTTGTCTGTCGTTTCGCATATTTCTGTTTAGTATGACCTTGTGTGTACCGCGCCTCCGTATAATATATCAGCGTACCGTGGTTCTGTCGCAGATGTCACCTGACCAGGCGCTTCTCGCGGAGGTTTCAAATGACACCTTGGGCTGGCAGTGTCGCTTCTGTTCCATCCTCTGACAGACATGACATGCGTCCGAGGTTCGTCCCAACATGGCGAGTCCAAGTTTTCCAGAGCAGCACTTTCCCTTGCGCAAGCTGTCTCTGGCCAGCGCCGCCCCCCCTCCACCGCGATAACCGTGCAGCACCATGGCCACAACGACGTACACATACTCTCCTGCGACACCTCCCCGTCCTTCCACCGCTAACACTACACGCTTGCTGAACAGTTGGTCGATCCTCAGGGGTCTCGCCTCGGACCTCACGCCGCCCTCGCCCATCCTCACCAAGGAGAGCGTGACCGCCGACTGCTCGTACGGCGAGATCCCAATCTGTCTCGATGCCGGGATATTCGAGCTCGGTGTCATATGCGGTAGCCCCAGCTCGGAACGGCGCAGCGCCTATACCGATCCTCCCTCTCGGGATCCGCCCACTCCTCAACTCCAGACGGCGAGGCCTCTTCCAATCCCTCGTTCGCGCAGGGTGCGGCGCGGGTTGTCTGTTAGTGGGGAAGCCGCTCGCGCGGAGGCTCTCTTCATACCTCAGGGGCTTCCCTCGCCCCCGCCGCTCAAGCTGGACGCAGCCGCGCCTGGGGTCTGCGCGACGCCTGCCGCGGAGTCGTTCGTTACCGCCAGTTCCAGCCTTGATACTGTAAAGACGGGCAGAACCTTCGGACCGGTCGGGCCAGATCCAGTGGACGGAGCGCTAAGGGATGCGACGAACCGCTTCGCGAGGGCACTCGAGTTGGCGGACATGGGCGGTTCGCTATGCGACGCCGAAGAGGTGGTAGCCCTGGTTTCGCCTGGATCACTAGGCCGCTCCGCGTTCGGTGACATTGATGATACAGACCAATCGATGAGGTCGGACGACATGAGCCTCGCGGCATACGACACCTGTTTAGATCTAGGTCCTGAGCTCTCGGAGGAACACAAGGCCCTGACAACCGAGCAGGTCGTGAGTACGAACGGCTCGCCGTCGGGTTTGGATATTGATGCCGATCCGGAGGAGGAGATGGAGCAAGGAGATAGCTTCTTGATCATGGAGGACTCGGAATCGCAGGCTGGCGCACTGCCCACGCCGACATTTGGCCCGCCATCGCCCGCGTCCTCTCGCTTCTCTGTCATGTCGTCCGGCAGCGCGTCTCCGAGCTACCACCTCCGGCGGAGGGGCGGGATCGGCCACGGCAGTTCCTCGTCATTGCGTAGCATACGCTTCAGGATCCCAGATGGTCCTGGTCCGCGTTCACCGCTTACCGACGCTCCGCCCCGGCAAGAGGCACCGCGACCAAGAGAAACGTCCGCTTCCGAACCGGCAACACCCATCATCTTCTCCTTCCCACCGAGCAGTCACTCGCCCAGAGGCCCACACCGCCGGACGCACTCGACGACGACGGTGCGCAACGCTTCCACCGACTACTCCGATTCTTCTGAGCGACTCGATGTGTCCGCGAGGGAAGATATCCACACCTCCAACCACAGCAGACAGACCTCTGGGTCGACGCTGCACTCGTATAGTTCGGCTTCCACGACATCGATCCGATGCTCGAACACATTGATCCTCGTGGCCAATAAACCTCCTATCCAGTCCTACCCCTCAGCAGCTGTCATGTCAGATGCGCCGGCTCCTCCTCCAGCGGCTGTTTCCGTGCTGTCCCTCGACACCGAAACCTCGACGCTGTCCGCCCATCTGTCGTGGCTCAGCCATACTATCGTTGAACTGTATATTGATCAAGAAGGCTTCCGCGCGATAAAGCCGACTTTCCGGATGAAGGGCTTCTCTCCACAAGGCTCTCTTCACGGACTAGCGACCACAGGCTCCGGTATCGTCGACTTCATGCCAATGAAGCGGCTGACCTACAATTTCCATCATTCGTATCTGGATGCGCCGCCCGTGTTGCGGCGCGTCACCCTCAACGGGGATGAATCGAGGGACTACATATCTCGCCAGGCGAACCTAAGCATCAAGTCGAATGGGGCGTATGCCGTGAACGGGACGGAGTCCGCGCATGATTCGGGGCAAGCTTCGCCGGGGGCGACGCTCGAGTGGCGGTTCACATACGTTGTCGACGACCGACGAATGAACGGTAAGATCGTCGCGGGCGAGAAGACTTTCACCCCCTTGAGCTTCTCGTGCTCTCCCGGTCTCGTTCACGCCAATCACGGGAAGAAGATCGGGCTGATGCGCGTCTTGAAGAAGGGCGTTGTGCCGAAGCTGATGGCTGAGAAGATGGAACCCCCAAAGAGGCCACGCGAGGAGTCCCTATCGCCTGGCTCGGATAGTGCTCCTGCGACACCTAGCAGTTGGGTCGGACAGAGCATCAGCTACTGGGATGTCAAGGTTGCGGCCTCCGCGACGATGAACGGAGTGCCCGTCCGTGTCCCACGTCCAAAGCCTGCCCGGAAGCGATCCACGTCCCTTGGAGGAGATAATCGACAGATTGCATCGAACGCACTGTTGAGGAGCAGCGCAGATAGTCTACGCAAGGGCGCGTCGAGACCGACGGATATCCCGGAGGAAACACCTCTTGGCTCACCAACCAAGCTTATTCCCGAGCTGCAGAGGAACATCCGACCGAAAGCCGAGCTGACAGACATGTTGTCCATGCCCTGCTTGGAGGTGGATGAGCTGGGGATGATCGGGGGCGGCCTGGGGATCGCCAACGCGGGGCTCGGTCCGCCGACGTATCATTACAGGGGGAAGGCTGGGGTGAAGCGAAAGTTGAGCTTGACAGGGTCCTTGAGGTTAAAGCACAGGGCTCATAGGCCGAGTACTGCGAAAACGTGAACACCTGAATGTACGAATTTTACCCCTTCTTGCGTCCGAGAATAGTGCTGACGCGTTGATTGCCAACAGTTGACCCATCACCGCCGTGTTCGCGTGTACTGTCACATGCCATGATCCTGCCTTAAAGAACAATACCGTTCATAATGAAATGCGTACCATCGAGCCGGTGAACTTTCGAATCACGAGCGAGTGATGAATGTGTTGCGCATAGAAATATACAAGTTTACACCAGCCACCGAAAGAAACAACGAAATCAGCTCATGTACCAGAAAACAAAGTACGCGCCAAGCAAAGCAAGCAGGATCTTAACTTGCGGATCGATGCTCGAAGCACCGTTGACAAGGTCGCGAGGCACCGGCACATAGCTTGGGGTAGATGAGGAACTGCCGAGGGTCTGGCCTTTCCCGGAGAACGCGGAGCTACTGCTCGGAGAGCCGGTAGAATGCTTCGCGACGGCAGCTTGAAGGGCACTGAGCAGTTGATTGTCAACGGACGCAGCACTACTACTGAGTGGACAGGTGACGAACCTCCGATTAGCGCCTTGAATTTCGTCCACTTTGATGCTGCCCTTGAGAAACACGAACGTAGGCCTTGTGGAGTGTCAGACCCGGGTGAGGCAGCAACAAGCGGGTGGAGGTGCGAACATCGCGGATATCCGGTACAGGCTCGCTACGTCTCGCGCGGCGTCGACGTCGCATTTGAGGAAATTCACGTTGGGATATTGCTTCGCGAGTGCTTCAAAGACGGGAGCAATCATGTGGCAAGGACCACACCTAAGGAGGCAAAGATCGTACCGGTCGCAGAACAATGGGTAAAATAGGCACTGATACTTACCACGTAGCGTGGAAGTCGATGACGCTGAGCTTTCCAGACGACTTGGAGAGTATACCATCGAGCTGAGAGACCGACGTGAGATGCGTGATGGACATGTTGTCTGTACAGTATGTAACCTAGGAATCGAGAAGGCAGCGAGGCTGACGTCGGCGAACGGTAACACACTCTTCACTGATAAATAAGCGCCCAATGCAGTGCTCACTCAATCACGTGAGACGTCATCGGGGTTGACGCCCGCTCGCTGCTCGCCGAGAGTTGTACATCCGATTGAATGATCAGAGTCTGACCTGTACCACTCCACGCACCATGCGTACGGTCGTTGCATATGCCGATGATACGACCCACCATGCGCATTGTCTCTCACTACTCGTTTATCACCAGCTTGCGGGGAGAACACATCGTCACGCGTCCTCCCGCCCCATGGAACTGCGCCTGGCGACCGGCACGACCGGAGGCCATGACGTCGATGCATCCAGACCTTAAATTGAGCTCATCGTGAAGGCCGGCGCCTGAGGTTTGAGCCAGCAGCCACTATATATTCATACGGTACGATTGTGATGCGGTCCTCAACAGCTGCCTCGGACCCAGACACACGCCTCGCTGGCGTGCGATAGTACTGGAAATCCTCAAGGCGACAACGGAGTAGGCATCGACTTGATGACCACGAAATCACCTATTACATGTCACGGTACCTCATCGGTCTTTCTCCGTGTGTCCGCTGCTTACCAGTTAACTCAGTGCTTGATGCATCCACGGGGAAGCCCTGCCCAGGCATTGAAATCCGGGTTCAAGAATACCATATCCTGGGGAAGGGGATGGCCATGTTTGAGCCCCTTGCAGAAGGGTCAGTCCATTCACCGGGCGCTTGACGCGATCGTAGTTGAGATCTCTTATCCGTGCTCTACCGCCACGCTCCAGCACAACCGATGCAGATGGACGATGTATGAGCCCTGTGCCTATATCTCCCGAGGCAAAAGGTGTTGTAAAGGTGAAAGCAAATACGTTGTACAAAGTGGTCTTCAAAACAGAGGAGTACTTCAAGAAACAAGACACGAAATGCTTCTATCCGTGGGTGGAGGTCCGTTCTGTTCACGTAGCCCTTTGTTCAGACCCAATTAACACAAGGTTGGGCATGGCAGATAACATTTGAGTTGGACAGCCCAGACGAACCATACCATATACCGCTCCTGATCAGCCCGTACTCCTTCACTACGTATCGGGGAAGCTGAACGATCCGGGTGGAGACCGCCGATTAATGAATATGACTACCGCTGTTAGACACCCAGCTGCACTGGCGAAATCAATGCTATTTGGATTCCGATGCATGCAACGTCATCACAATGAGCTCTGATCGACTGAAACATTTCACGCAGCAGTAGTCACTCGAATGAGGCCGGTTCACGCAGTAGAGCTCCTTCGCGTTACAGTGGACCAGCAGATGTTCAGTGAGCAGAGATGCTGCTATACGTAGGTTATATATGCCGTGGCCAGAGGAGAACTTCGACTTGCGTACCGATGATACAGAATATCGATGAAGGTAGGTAGGTAGGTATATTTCCGGCGCGGTCCCAATAGCGGAACAACCGGTTGCCGCACCGCACGCCAATACGTGCGGCTTGGCGTACACAGTGCATCCACGGTTCCCGTGAGCTGTAGAACATCCGACACACCGCTTCAAGGCTGAGCGGTGTTTCGGCGTTGGCCGAGACGCGGACGGAACCGCAACGGGTTTGAATAGGTTGAGCGATAACGCGGGTGCTTTCTTTCTGTCAACTTGTTGTCAGCGCTCATTCGTGCTCATTTACGCTCATGCGTACGGCATGCCGGAGGCGAAGGACCCGCAAATAGGTATCGCGTGCTTCTATCCAGCCTGATGCAGTCCAGCCCGGGAGAGGACTGTACTCCGTGAACATCGTCGGCCACCTTTCACAACAACCGGGACGTCGCGCAAAGTTCGGTTTACTTGGCACGTTATACCGAAATACGTTCTGTCTACCAGGGAACGAGCAATCGCCCCATACTTTCAATAATCTTGCAATGCATACTCGGGGAACAATAATCCGGGCCAGTGGAGGAAGGTCTTCTTCTCAGGTGATGATTGTCCCTGAATGCCCAGATATCTTGTATTCCTTGACGACCATTCAGTCGAACGAACGGCCAGGTGGCTAGGTACCGGCTTTGTTCCACCCTACCCAGTCTCAGCAACGTGTCGCTTCCATTCTACATGATCATACTAGTGATACATGGCCAATCATACGGGACATGCGTCCGACGCGAACCAAACTCTGCCATGCATTCTCGGTGATACGTCAATCGTATGTACCTCCGCCGTGGTCGATATAGATCGGCGAGATCGCTTCTCTTCCTCAGTGGCGCCCTTATAAGATACCATGTCCAGCCCATGCTCCGGTTATAATCCGACCCATCACACTTTCCCCGCAGTGCACTATGCCTGCGTCGCTGTGGGCCCTACACATCATCGCTTTTCTTTGCTTCTGGAGAGCGCCCTCTGTACTGGCCGACAACCCAATATCGCCAGGTTTCCCCTACGGCTCTGAAAAAGTTCGTGGAGTCAACCTCGGTGGGTCAATGAGTGGTTCCCTTGCTCCTCTTCGCCCTGTTAAAGCATGAATACAGGTGGCTGGCTCGTCCTTGAGGTCAGTGGATCCGTACTACGAGCTCAGGCCAGTCGTCTGATACATCCTTAGCCTTGGATTACTCCCAGGTGATTAGTCATCGACGTTCCATTGCGCTCGCGAATTGACGGCAAAACAGTCTCTTTGATGCGACAGGAAACGCGAACATCGTTGACGAATGGACCTTTGGCCAGCTGCAAAGCAAATCCACCGCAACTGCCGCTCTACAGGTTCGTTCAATGCGAGTCCCGCGTACCGGATCTTCCTGACACCCGACACAGAACCACTGGAACACGTGGATCACCGAGAGCGACTTCGCTGCCATTGCGGGGGCAGGGTGCGTCTTCTCTGCGATCGCTATCTTCCATCCGCAAAATCCGGCCGAGGTTCACCTAGACATGTGCTGACGGTCCTTCTTATGGCAGACTGAATCATGTGCGACTGCCAATCGGGTACTGGGCGTTCGACGTTTCGGGGGGCGAACCTTACATTCAAGGACAACTACCATACCTCCAGAAAGCGGTGACTTGGGCAGGCAATCATGGGCTGAAGCTGATAGTCGACCTCCACGGCGCTCCCGGAAGCCAGAACGGGTCAGTGCTCAGGTGGAGTACTCCGGATGGTCAACTGAGGCTACTGTAGCTTCGACAACTCGGGACACAGAGTGTCTTTTCCTGAATGGCAATCCAACTCGGACAACGTTCAGCGCACGGACAACATCATCAAGACGCTGGCAGACATGTTCAAGGATCAGACTAACGTCGTAACAACAATTGCTCCGTTAAACGAGTACGGCGTGTGATCACGACATTTGGCATTATGCTGACGTCTCATCAGACCGGCCGGGTTCGATGGTGACGATATACTGTCGGTTGTACGGCAGTACTGGTACGATTCGTATGGTAACATCAGGTCGAGACTTTCTATCACGACTCCTTTTCAGTTGACTAACCCGTCTCTAGATTTCCATACGGCTCTTCCCAGCAAAGCAACACCCTTGTGTTGCTGCATGATGCGTTTCAACCCCTCAGCTATTGGAGTGGCTTTCAGACGCCGCCAAACTGGCAAGGAGTCGCGATGGACACGCACCTGTATCAGGTCTTCTCCGATGCGGTGAGCGTGATGATAGTGTGAGATACATCGCTTAGGCTAAGAAGGATGCACGATGTGCAGGAAGTTGCAATGTCGCTTCAAGATCATATTAACACAGCGTGTTCCAAGGCATCCTCTTTGTCTTCGTTCGATCTCTGGGCAATCGTCGGAGAGTGGACCCCGGCATTCACGGACTGTGCCAAGTACTTGAACGGGCGTGGCATCGGCTGTGGGTCAACACATTCTGAATCATAGAGACAGCATCTTTGACCTGTGAATATGTTTAGCTCGATATGATGGGTCTTTCAGTGGCGAGGCTGCCGTCGGATCATGCTCCGGGAAGGTAATGTCATATCCGCTCATGAATAACTAAAGCTCTGAGCGGTACGTATGTATAGACTGGCAGCGGCTCCTCCTTCAGCTCATCGTACAAGACGCAACTTCGTCAATATTGGGAGGCACAGGTTAGAGTGTTTAGTTATGCTGCGCCACCCCTAACATCTATACAGGCGCAATCATACTCTTCGGGAGCTGGTTGGATTCAATGGGCGTGGAAAGCGGAGAACGCCGACGATTGGTCATATCAGGCTGGTCTCCAGTACGGATGGATCCCGCAGAACCCGACAAATTATCAATACCCAAACATATGTGGCTGAGAGTGCCGTGGGCCTTGAGGCTTGCGTTGAACATGGTCGCGAACGCACATGGTGTTATACTGGCAAGGAGTGGCTATGCCTTGCTGTTGTACATGAATTCCTTGGTTGTAACGATGTCGTTAGTTTGAAGGGGTTGTCCGAGTGACAACGACAAATGACGTTGACGTTGATCACCTCGTTGAAATGCGAGACCGTGCCAGTCCATTCGACCTTCAGCGCGCAAAATCAATCTAAACCCATGAAGCTATACCTCCTGTTCGTGCTGGCACTTACGGCGATGGTAACGGCGGCGACGACATCTACACCTGTACCTATGCCCCCACCGCGGCGAGAAGTCGGCGGGGAGATATTCAGTCAACCCTTGGGCGAAGTAGAGGATCCCTATGGTTTTCCAACGCACACTACAGCCAATGCCCCGTCGGCCTCAGCAGTCACTTCTACGAGCAGCCAGCACCAGGTTACGGTCACCGCTTCACAAGGACTTGGAGGGCTGGACGGAGTTCAAGACCTTCTGTCCTCTTTGACCTCCGCGTCTGCAGATTCGAGCAGCTCCAACATCTCTGGTACACGGACCGATACCGCTAAGCCAACCAAACATACTTCTTCGCACCCAATGGACACGACGAGCTTGCACTCAACCCCGACAACATCGACTAGAAGCACGGAGTTGCCTTCGCACACGACGTTATCGACATCGGCATCGCTTACAGTGGCGGCTTCATCTACACCAATAGCAACACCGACTGCCAGCCCTTCAGCTACGTCAACCACATTTCATGGGGTATCAAAACAATGGATGGTCATCGGCGTGACCGTGATCGCTTTCAGCAGCGTCGCTGGAATGCTTCTGGCGATTGTCTTCTTCGACCACTGGTGGTTATTCTTGCGCGATTTGCTCTGCTGCGGTCGACGACAACGCCACGGGGAGGAAGAGTTGGTACCTGACTGGGAGAAACGAGATTGGGCAATGCAACTTGCAACCTCCGATAGCCACAGGTATCCCTCGTTCACATCGCTGCCACAAGCCGAGAAGCAAGAACACAATCGTGCTTCGCGTTGGACTTGGACCCCTCGGAAGGCAAAGAAGCAGTCTATGGTGTATCCATCGTCGGGTCAACAGAGCGCATTCCTGGTGCCAGATTCTGCAGTCCCACACTATCCCCCCGCGGCTGCTGGGAGCCAACCGTCAGGAAGGATACAGGTCGGGGACATATATCCTTCGGAGACAGGATTTCATCCAGGGTACCCAGTGTAGGCGCGGCATCCCTAGTCTATCGCACCCCATGCATCCCATCTCCCCACCGTACGCTATGCACTGTGACTTGTGTTGTTGTCAGGAGAATTTGTAGACCTTGGTTTTTGTCCCGGAACGTAGTCGCTTGGGGCTGCTGGAACGGAGTCTTCGAGTTTGTCAGATATGTACAAACCAGCCGCGGCAAACACTGTCAAGGCCAGTGAAACGTGCAAGCGCGACCTGGCGGGCAGAGCTGATGGTCGTCATTGTTGGGAACAACTGCCAGCATTTGACCACGACGGCTTGCCTGCCCAAGACTGCCAAAGGGACCGAGACTCGACGGATGGAGGCGAAGATTGCTTCGTGGACGACTTGCTCATGCTAGGAGTCATGGGAGTGGATGAAGATAGCAAATTCTGATGTAAATGATTCACCGTGGCTGTCACTCTCGCACGCTATCTTCCAACCTCCACACCGCACAGCGAGCAGTGCCTCCAACTATCCCTTATGTTTACAGGTCTTGTACGAGGATTTAGCCAACGGTGGGTATATGCTCAAGTTTCATGCAGATCGAACATCTGGGCACTGTTACCTCCATTATCACAGATGATGGTGGATGCACCCTCATTATATCGAACTCTGCACCCATCCTTGGCGATTGCCACGTTGGTGATTCGATCGCCGTGAACGGGGCGTGCCTCACTGTAACGGAGTTTAACGAGAGAGAACGTGGCGGGTGGTTCAAGGTATGGTTAGCGAACGAAACCCTTGACCGGACAGATTTAGGTAGGCAGCCTTCAACCTGACGAGCATCAGGTTCTGACAGTTGTCATCAACCCCAGGAGAGCGACGTGAAGGCGACGAAGTAAACCTTGAGCGTGCCATGGGTGCTCATACGCGTTTCGGAGGTCATTTTGTGCAGGTGACATGCGCTCCTTTTGCCTGCATCAGCCGCCCTTGCGCTGATATTAGACCGAATATAGGCTCATGTGGATACGACAGCCACTATCGTGGACCGGGAGCCCGACGGCGACTCTCTTCGTCTCCTCTTCCAGCTTCCGGAACCAACGGCTACCCGCCCTTCACTCCTCCCATACATAATTCCCAAAGGATACGTCACAATCGATGGCGCTTCTCTGACAGTCACCGCGGTGGATGACGAGAGGCGAGCTTTTGGTGTCATGCTGATACAGCATACGCAGGAGAAGATCACTCTCGGAAGGAAAGCGAACGGTGCGAAGGTGAATATTGAGGTTGATATGGTTGGCAAATACGTTCAGAAGAGCGTCTCGGCGGCGCTATCAGGAGCTGGAGATGGAAATATACGGTCGCTGATTGAGAGGGTTGTCGAGGACGTGCTTGTGAAGAAAGGCGTACTATAGGTACACCGTGGTCTTCGAGCTTAACCAGATGTCTGATTTCGAGGCACAGAGCCCAGGCTGGTGTATAGTTTGCGAAGTATGCAAGAGCCATTGGATGCTTGCACCGGGTGCTTCTCCAGAGTTCTCGTGATATCATCTTGTCCTGCCTCCCTGACATCCATGCAAACGATGGTTTTTCGCCCTTGCCTCGTGATGAACCCATGGAAGAAGCCTGACCAGGCAAGGTGATCTTTACGGCGGCCCGGAGACGCTACGGATCATCATTTAGCCTCACGGTGTTCAACGATCCATATAAACTATTGACTGCTATTGATCACCATTTGTGCACCTTCCAGCTTCAAGATCAGCCAGCATCCGCCTTGCGCGCTCAGCACATGTGGTCACGGCCTCGCGCAGCTGACTCCCGAAGTTTCTCCGGGTATGTTCTACCCACTCCATCATCAAGCAGAACACTCGAGAAGGGCATCTCATGCTAGGAACGCGAGCGGGATCCGGACCTACGCACGAAGATATATAAGGAACGGTCATCACTGGCCATTCTGGAGGCCGCTCAATAAGACGTTGAGACGCTACGGTCCGGTCCCTATAACTCTAATCACGCAGCATACAGGATGCACTGCTTCGGTGCTCTATTCGTCAGCAGTTCCCTGGCGCTCGCTGCAACGGCCTCTCCAGCAAAATCTACTCTCAAGGCCGCGGCATCGCCTCGTTACTTTGCTGCTGCGATTGGTTACGGGCATTTGACAAACAAAACCGACCACCTGTTCCGCGAAATTGCAGTTGCCGAGTACGGTGGCCTGACGCCGGAAAACGAGATGAAGTGGGAGATCACCGAGCCCGAACAGGGTGTCTTCAACTTCACCCAGGCTGAGATCATCGTGTCCTTTGCCGAAGCTCACGACTACGTCATTCGTGGTCACACCCTCGTGTGGTATAGGTATTATTGTCAACTCCTCGCATCCCGGATTACCACTCATTATGTTGATATAGTCAGCTTGCCCCTTGGGTGACCGAAATACCAGAGTCAGAAGTTCTGAGCGCTATGCAGAACCACATTACGACGGGTATGCCCGTAATGATTTCGCAGCAGCGTGTGCTTGACCAAGTGTGACATGCAGCAATGACCCACTTTAAAGGTCGCATATATGCCTGGGATGTAGTCAACGAAGGGTTCAACGACGACGGGACCTTCCGCGATAATGTGTTCTTGGAAAACATTGGCGAGGACTACTTTGAAATCGCCTACCAGACTGCAAGAAAAGCCGACCCTCGCGCCAAGTTGTACTATGTCTGTGTGGCGGCCTTCCTGATTCTGCTACGATGACTGATTGTGCGTCACAGAATGATTACAATACAGAGGGCGTAAATAATAAATCGGACTCAGTCCTTTCCTTGGTGAAGTCCTTGAAGAGCAAAGGCTTAATTGATGGTGTCGGGTTTCAGGTCGGTTGACCCATTCGACTTTATCAGAACTGCTGGGAGCCTCTCTTGTAGAGCCACTTCATCGTCGGTTCAGTACCGAACGACCTGCAGGCAAATCTCCAGCGATTCGTTGACGCTGGCGTTGAGGTGGCAATCACTGAGCTTGGTGAGTGATCTTGCGGCTTATCCTCCCCTATTGTTTGTGCTCATATAAAACACACAGATATCAGGGTTCGGATCGTACTACCGAATGAACCAAAGGAAAACCCGCTGATTAATTTCCTCACAGGCGAATACTCCAGTGAATGCATCCGTCATTGCACAACATGCTAAGGACTTCGCATTCGTAGTCAATGCATGCCAGGCTGTCAAGAAGTGTGTCGGTATTGTACGTCGATCATCACAACCTTAGAATGTTATAGCATAATGCTAACGCTTTCACGTAGACGACCTGGGGCATCACGGATTGTACGTGTAGCATCTCGTCGAGTGATTTATTCGTGTCTGACAGCAGAATTTTTATGCAGCATACAGCTGGATCCCCTCTACCTTCCCTGGTATGTCCCCATCTTCATGCTGCACAGTGGGGCCATCAGCTAATCAAATGACAATAGGACAAGGCTATGGGTTGCTCTGGGACGACAGTTATGAGAAAAAGCCGGCTTATTACACCACATTGACTGCGTTGCGTACATGATATGTATATGATAGTTCTGGCTGGGCAAGGAAGCACCTAGCCTCTGAATCCAACACGATCACAAGTGATTCAATGCGGTGGTGGCTATGCCGGGTAACATGGTGAAGTTGGCCGCGGTCACGGACGCGTTCGTTGGACGATTCGAACCTTGACCATCTTGTTTATGCCTGGTGGATGATGGATGTTGGACCTGCTGCGAAGCGAAAGGTCTGCCAGACTTTACGTGCTCAGTCCGAGTCTCATTCGCAGCACAGGTGACAGCCAAGCTCGATTATACGCAACCGAATGTGCAGTCGTACTCTCGACCTCCTTCACCGAGCAAGGCCAACTCATCCTTGTCGCCACTACCTCCGGTAGTCAGAGCGAAGGCTAAGGTCAACAGCAGTGCAAGGATCATCACACGGACCCCGTCCAATACCCCCTCCGCGAGCACAGCTAGCAGCACGAGCAGAACGAACGGTACATCGACGATACCGCGGGCACCGTCTCCATTCAAACCGCTTAATGGCCCTTCACGTCCATCTTCACCATCCAAACTTCCGACCAGTAAAGGTGTCTCTGCGGCTCCAAGAGCACGTCTGACTGTTAAAGCTCCATCAACGTCGACTTCTCCGTCTCCTCGTTCTGCGATTGTGCTGCAATCCCCTCCTAACGTCGCTCTTCTTTCTGCTCCATCACACGAATCGGGAGTCTCTCCTCGACGACGTAGTGATAGCTTAGGTCTTCGTAACATTGCATCCACGAGCACTCTTAATGTCCGCAAAGCGTCCATATCATCCGTCTCGTCTGTGAATAGTCCAGATTACCCTCTCTCTCGTGCTGCGGAAACTGGCTCTCTGCGGGTCAAAGCCAGAGTTTCCAACCTCTCTCAATCCAATGTTCCTAGTTTTCCATTTCCTACCCCGGAGGCTAGACGAGGACTTCATGGACGTACGCCCTCCCTGTCAGGATTCGCTACCACTCCCGCCTCTCCCCCGGTGTCCCCTCCGAACTCCCATACAAGTAACTCGGCGTCCCTCACACATGATTCGCATCAATCCCCAACCGCGCGTTTTAGTCCTGCATCGAGCCCTAGGCCTCAGTACCGGCCCTTCAACGTGACCGCAGCGGAGGATGCCGTTGTTAGAGTGAGGGTGGATCCTTCACGCATTCCTCTCCCTCCCCAGTCACCACAATCGTCTACGCTTTCTTTCTCTTCGCAGTCATCGGCCTCCCATTCGTCTTTATCCTTCACTAGTCACGAATCTGCCATGAGCGCAAGGACAGCATCGACATCGCTTGCACAAGGAATCAGCGGGCTTATGATCCTCGCGGATCAAGTCGTGGACGATGAAGTAGATTCCTCTCCACGCTCTCTCGTTGTCAGCCATGGGCGTGACAAAGAGAAAGATGAAGCGAAGTCGAACCGCAAAGTCAGTCTGCTCTCAAAATTTCTATGACCTCACGCCGACATCGTATCCCTTAGATTGCTGACTTGGAAATAAGCAACCGATCTCTTCTCGCCATTAACTCCTCCCTGGAGGCTGCTAAACACCGCCAAGCGAAAGAAATCAGAGACTTGCGGCGGAAATTACGAGAATCCCGACTTGCGCTCCCTCCGCGGGCATTCCGAGCTCTTGCAGCCAGGGGTCCGAATTCATCGGTTGAGGATGACTTGACGGTCGATGAGGACGACGAGGACGAGGAAGAGGAGGAGGAATTAGGCGACGATGGCCTCGTCAAGGGCAAGGTAGCCGGCAAAGAAGATGCAGCATACTTGCGAGTCAAAGACATGGTTCTAGACTTGATCGCTCATGGGAAGAGGGCATTGGAGAGCAAAGCCGAGGACTTCATGGAACATAGAGGGACTAAAGTGCTCAGCGCGGAAGAAGTGCGCTCATGGAGGAAGGATTCTGAAGACGCGGATATGTCGTCGTCGGTCATCGACACCAGCATAGTGGACGCCGATAACGAGGAAGAGGACGACCCCGATGCCTCCTTCGCCTCTTTTGATGACGTTGGACCTCGCTCGTCGACACCGCTAGGCTCCGGTGCCGGAAACGACAGCCTTGTATCAGAAACAGAAGTGGAACACTCCTTGATGGAAGGGATGGTAAACTATACCCCGCCTTCGCCTCCCATATCTATCTCGCCCGCCTATTAATCGACGCTGCTTTAAGTAGACCCTATGGCATGGCACATCTCATGGACCACGGGATATGTACAATTATGCATTCTGGAACGGCACACTGACCTTATCGTCAATAATACCATTCACTCGTTCGAAGCATTGGCCTTCCCGCTGGAGCACGAATGACATCATCAATTAGATATCCGTGAACTGCAATCCAACAAAGGCTAATCTGTACACTCTGAGTCTAATCCAACCGCCGGTCTTGCACATCAATCATTTTCCGCTATGCGCTGAGCACGCCTGGCAAGGGCGGCAGCCAAGTCCATTTGCCCTGCTGGTGCTGCCGCCGGTCTGGAAACGCCTCCTGGCCGAGGCGGCGCGGCGGGTGTGGGCCTGGGGGCAGAAGGCACAGCAGGCTTTCCTGGAGGCTTAGGTGCACCTGGTTTAGATGCCAACGGCGGAGCTGGCGGTTTAGGCTTGGCCGCCAATGGCGGAGGAGCGCGTCCTAATGTGCTGGGGGGGCGTGAAGAAGCTGGCGAACTGTCTTCCGAAGCAGCATTGGATGTTGGAACAGCGGCATGCTTCTTCCATGGTGTTGCCGATCCGTTGGCTGGTGCCATACCAGGGAATACGGACACGGGCTTGGCTGAGACATCTGCGGCAAGGGACTTGATAGATACTGCAACTTTGGGAGTCGGTGCACTGGATTTGGCAGATCCACTCGTTGACGGCGCGGACGGTGGCTGTCTTCTAGCAGCAGGAGGTGGGGGCGGGGGCGGAGGAGCAGCCTTGGCTTCCGGCGGAACCAGCTCCAGGTAATTGTAAGGCGCCCAACCTTCAACTCCATTCTTCCTCACTAACCACCACCCGTTATCATCCTTCTCGACCAGTTCTACGACATCATCCTTCTTCAACGACATCTCCCCCTCTTGACCTTCGAAGGCAAATTTAGCCTTGTATCGTTCCACATCCGGTTCTACAGGCGGCGGTGGAGGCGCAGCAGCTCGACTGGGAGGCGGCGGCGGGGCACGCACCGCCGACGCCGACGCCGCCGTGGCAACTGACGGCTTTGCGGTCACGGTTGGCGCCGACTTTCCTGGTAAGGCCTGCGCCGCGGGTTTCGGCCGGGACGCCGCGGGTCTCTGCGAGGCAAACCAATGAATGACCGTCATGCACAAGAAGCTATAGAGCTTACACTTGACGGACCGCCTTTCTTTAAGAGCTTCCCTTGAGTGATCGGACGTACTACTCCGGGCTTCGGCTTCGGAACGGGCTTGGACACACTGCTTGGCGGTTCACCAGATGGGACGTGTACCGTATGACTCTTGTACACGTCATCTCTCGGTACAGTCTCATCCTTGATGAATTTCACTTCCGCCAATTTGCCCTTCTTCTTGGAATATTGAATGCTGATTTGGGGGCTGAGTCTAGCCCAACGTCATTCCGAACAAGACTCACGTGGGTCCTATCACCAGATTGATGCTTGCCTGAGTCAGTCTGAGTAAAGTCGCGCAGAATTCCGTCTTGAAATAACAGCTAATGATAGGATCCGCTTCCTCCGGATTGTTCGTATTTAAGGCCTGGTCAGGCATTAATGGTATGGGATTATCGGGACGATTAGAGCACTCACCAGCCAGTCATCACGAAGATTAGACACAGCGATACTCTTGATAGTGATCAAGGGTATCTTGCGCTCTAGACTTGTGATGATGCCGCCCTCCTTCGTGGAGTTAGTCACCGCAATGTACACGGCTTTTTGCGTCTGCATCTCGAGCTTAGGGAAATGCTGCGCAAGGTATGCACAGAACTCACTACAATGAGGTAGCGAGGGCTTGGTTTACTGGAACGACCCAGCTTAGAAACAAGTTCTTGCGCTCGGGAGCTAAACTCCACCGACTCGGCTATTATAATATCCTTAGGCAAACTGATGCGCAGTTAGAAGCGCCACTCACAACCGAGACCGCATACGTCGTGGAGCTCTGCGCCAAGATCACTCTTGCCATTAACATCAAGGTAGTCTCCCATGAATCGGCGATAACCAAGAAGACTGAAGCGCCTGCGCTCCTTGCGACCCGCAAGGATTTGATGGCCATAGTCCCTCTTCTTGGCGTACTCGATGGACTCCTTGTTGTTCTTCCAGAATCGTTGTATGCGTCGGGCGCATTCGTGCTTGTAACGCATGTAATTTTTCCATGCCCGTTGAATGCGACCTGCCATATTATGCCAATATCGGTCGCGCATCGTTTCAAGGGCGAAAAGCTGGTGATGGAGTCAGGCGATGACCATTGAGCTTGAGGAGCAGTCCTCACAGTTTCGGGATTCTTGATGAACGCCTTTGTAACGCCCATCTGCCACTCATCTCTAGCTATGCCCGTATCCTTCAGGATCTGCTCACAACCGGATTTCGCGTCGCCTTGCCAGATATAGTCGCCGGCATAGGAAGTAGCCGGAGACAGAAGGTAGAATCTCTCAATCATTTTCTCGAACGTGTTCCTGTAGGCGAAACCCGCTCTCCGCACGCGAATGTTCTCCTGTAATCCGAGGTATTTGATCTGATGCAAAACTGCGGGCGAGTCATATTCCGTAGAGCTTCGGTTTTGGTTCGGCTTGATCGTGCGAATGTATGACGGCTGGCAGCGCATGAGGTTTTCGACCAGAGCGCCCGCGGAGGCCTGCAGTTGCGTACTTGAGATGAGATAAGAAGGCGTTTTAAGGCCGACTTGCCTTGATCCTATCACCCGCAGTAGGTGGACGCTTCTTGCTGTTGGGATCGGGACGGTCAGGGAACAAACCTTGCAGAAACTGATTTCCGCTGGTTCCAATCAGGTCCAAGAGGTCCTTCACCAGCGCATCCTTGTTCTTGTCCGTCATTCCAGCCACGTTGTACATCACGTCACCGGCGTAATGCCTGACAAGGAATTTGGTTCCACGCGACTCGAAGTGTGGGTTACTGGAAAGCATACTTGACCGCTGGATGAAGCTGTTATCAGCGGCGGTAGGATCCGCATGAGCAGTGGCACAGGCGTCGTTGAGCGTGGCAAAAATTCCAGCAGGTCGTCGTTCCTCTATGAGATCGCACACGATCTTGTTGTTGAAGTACTTGATGGGAGTCCACTTGATCTGCTCTTGCACATACTCTTCCTGTTCCGCTTTCAACGTGAGCTCAATGAAGATTTGCTGCAACTTCTCGTTGACGTAGTTGATGCATAATTGCTCGAAGGAGTTTTCCTGCTCGCTTGTGCTCAGCACACTTGCCTTAGGATTCAGATGGGTTCAACTGACCTCAAAGATCTCAAAGCCAAAGATATCCTGGAGAGAATGGACCGTAAACAACAGTTGCATGGATTAGGCATGGATAGTGCAACTCACCAGGATGCCAATCAGCTGAGCAACACCCCCGCGAGCTTTCATTGAGATGTTGATCCTCGAAACTATCCATTCGAATAGATTATTGTAAACGGCTTTGGCCAGTGCATCGCGCCCTGCTGAAGCCTGGGCTGGATTCAATGGGACGTCGTAGACAGAACCACGTCTCCCTCCGCGTTGAGTCTCGACAACTTTCGTCGTCATCACCTTCTGAACCAGTGCACCATCGACCTCCATGAGATACGCGATGAAATCCGTGACTGAAGTATCCGCAATTACTGCGTTGCCGTCATCGCCTTCGGTATACTGAACATTTCCCAGCCAAAGCACGATGGCAAGCATGCGGAAAATATCGTTTTGTTCTTCAGCTGTCAAACCGATGACTTGCATCGCGTTCTGTAGACATGTAAGATACGACACGAAAGAGGTATGGCTGATACATACTAGGGTTTCGGTGAAATCGTGCTCATCATTTATGCCCTCCACTTCTAAACAATTACTCAAGCTAGTGTACGCATACGCGTCGGGGCCCTGAAGGCCGAACTCATCTGCCATGCGCAACATGAATACTCTATCACAATCGAACGCAAGCAGCAAGTACGTACCCCTTTGCGCACTCGATGCAGCCTTCGTGAACTGGTAGAAGATGTGGAAGTTGCGTTCGTCCTGCACCTGTCCGACGACGCGGCCCTTTTCGAGCAGGTAGTTGGTGATTTGTGCTCCGACAGGTTCCCCTTGACTGTTGAACATGATCTCAAGGTACTTTCCCTGTGGAGGATACATCAGTTATGAGGACATGGTGCATTACGCGCACGCACATGGCGACTGGAATTGTTATTGCGCAGCGTTTTAGCACATCCAAAGCTCTCCAGGAGCGGATTCGTTGCAAGAACCATGTCCTTGATCTGTTGGATCCCACTGTCCTCTCCACCGGATACAGCAGCAACGTATTGCATGATTCGCTTCGCTGCTTCCGTCTTGCCCGCCCCGGATTCTCCAGAGATGATCACGCATTGGTTCTCATGATACGCCTTCATGTTGTAGTAGGCACCCTCAGCAATGCTGAAGACGTGAGGTGGAACCTCAAGCCTGTTTTTGCCTCTGTATCGTTGAAGGACCTCATCGGTGTAGATACCAAGATCTGAACGATGATCATGAGTATTTCATCGGGTTCCGGCATCTTTGTTACTGCGCACCTCGAAATGGGTTGACGGAGATGAGGACGGGGCCAATATATGTATAAATCTCCCCACTCTTCCAGCGTTTCTGCAGGTTCTCGTTGATGCTTTCATTGCTGATCGTCGTCAACAAGGTCATGTCCGATACACCGACTTGTTTCTTCTTGAATCCTTCCTTCCAGTCCGCCTGATTGGTGTCTCGTGAGCTCCTCGCAGTGTTGACCATCTACCGATTGCGCACCTTGGCCACCTTTCCAGGACCTCCCCCGGCCTTCTTCGCCACAGGCTTCTTCCCTGCCTTCTTCGAGATAGCCTGAACGTATGTACTCAGCCATTATTCGCGAGTTGAATGGGGTCTGCTAACCATCTCGGACGTGGATTGGGAATAGCGATTTGGCTGTGTTCAAGACGAGGCTTGGCTGCGTGTTGCACGCTGTGCGCCGCGTGGCTGTGACCTCATGGACGGCGGCAGCTGGTGTCCAACGATTGCTATTGCTGCACAAATATAGCCATACATGTTCGAACTATGGTCATCACTACAACTTGTCCCAAACCATATACGTTCAGGTTCAAAACTTGATATCGATTCCCGAGCCCACCAGCAGCCTTAGCAGCTCGGCTGTTGGTTGAAGAATCGCGGGATCCACCTTCGGCGCATCCCTCACTAAGCCGGTCAGTGCCCGGACAAGGCCCGACGCCTCCGCTTCCTTGACGAGATCCTTGCGTGCATCAGTTTCCGGGCAACCAGCCCAGATATTTCTTGCCCAGACGACGCCGCGGTGAACAAGGGCAGGGTTTCGGGGTTCCGTATTGTCATCGCCAGCTACGCCCACTGACGGGTCAATCAACTGCGCGACGATAGAGAGCATGCTATGTCTTTCCCGCTGCAGCTCCATGAGTGTGCGGCATGTGTTCGGTGACGATGTCAGAGCCGCGAGTGCTCCAGACGCGGCCATCCTCGTAGGCAGATCCTCTACATCCGCCAGCGCCACGAGGATGTGCAGCCTGGACTTCGCGCCATTCTCACTAGAGTATCGCTCGAAGGCTTCTTCAGAACCCGCGACAAGGTTGCAAAGAAGCTCTGTAGCAGCTCTTCTAACCATTTCATGATCCTCCAGCAGCAAAAGTTCAACCTTGTTCATCAATCCATCCGTCTTCGCGATGCGGGAGCATGCTTCAGGTCCATGTGATGCAATGTTCGTGAGGGCCATGAGTGCTTCAAAACGTTGAAGCAGATTTGATGATGACGACATGAGAAGGATAGAAAAGGGGCGTATGGTGTCGTACATGACTCCTGGGTCGGGTCCAAAGACTTGTATCGGAGAAGACGTTATGGCCAATTTGGCTAATGCTTGTACTGCAAGCAGATCCGCTGGATCCACGGATGATTTGGTATCCCCCACGAGCGCTGGTGATGCGCGCATGATAGCCATTAGGGTCTTCGCTGCACCACTTTGCAGCGCCCTTCCCCGGTTTTCCCTGTCTTCGACCAAGCTTAACAGGGCATTTGCCACTCCAACTCGAACACCTCGACTGTCGACACCTCTCGCTGCCGACACTAGAGCGTCGATGGCACCGAGTTTGACGATTCGGCTTCCCCTCTCCTTTACGCGAGTGTCATCCTCAAGAGGATCTGAGCCAGGATCGACCAACTTGCCCGATCGTGAGGCACCGGTCTTCGTCATTCTCTTCAACCTCTCCACTTGCGCCTGCTCCTTGCTGATACGTGGACGATAGCCGCATATATTGGCAATTATAATGACGATGCCGTACAGGACTGCCGTATTTCGATCCTCCTGAAGACCCTGCAAAATGGATTTTTGTCGCTTCGGCACGAGAGAAAACAGTCGCCGTAGGAATGGCTCATCCTGGGACAACGATTCTTTCACTCGAGGATCGGTACTTGTGTACGCAAGGCCTTCGATAGCATCGGCCACTGAAGATTCGTCCTTTCCTTCGAGGAGAAGATCCTTCATCAAGTTCGCCAGCTCGTCATCAGTAGCGACGCCTTCAGCCGGTTTGGTTGCGGAAGCATCAGAGCTTTCTGCTCGCGAAAGTTTGACGAGCGCCACGACAGCAGCCGCACGCAGGGCAGGATCGGTCTTCTGCGAAGATTTCGCGACCAGCCACTCGGAACACTGTGACGGAAGCATGGCTCGCGCCGTTGTATGACCGCTAGCCTGGGAGAGGAGATGCGCAAGGGCTAGGTTTATAGCCTTCGACGACGAGAATAAATCTAGAGCATCCATGACAGCGTCGATAATACCATCCCTAGAAAGGATGGACGTGGCCGCCTGCCAATCCACCTGATATAAGGCAATCAGGAATGAGATAGACGCGAGGGTGTCATATTCGTTCGCTCCAGACAGTTTCTCGAGTACATGCGAGGAGAATGAGCGGGCAATCGAGGCAGCTGCAGGGTCCGACTCGGATTGAGTGGTAGTCTGGTATGCTGAGCGCACTGCCTGACAGAAGGAAGAAAGGATTAAGTATGCCTTTGAACGAGCGGCAGGAGGATGAGATGGCAGAAAAGACGACACTAAGCATGCAGTTTCCTCCTCATTGAGCGATTTCAACGATTTCTCAGCGGAACGCTGGAGCAGAGCGTCGAGTTCCTGGTCATGGCTCATAGCGAACAGGCACCCGTGAGAACCCTCAACGCGGTCGCTTTTTGCTTCACGGCCCAACTCAGCTACCGGCAGACTAGGATTGTCAACTGATGAACGCAACAGGAAGCCACGTATCTGCCAGCTTTTCAGGACAAGCGGAATCTGCACAACTCTCACACGCGAGGAGTGATCTCATCGAGCCAGGACACACGACGCTGTTGCGACTGCCCAATGGCGAGGTCCGAAGTATCAAACTCGACGGGCACAGGTAGGTATTCGTCTCATTTGTCTGCTCGTCTTCTCGTCGAACGTTCGCCGCCCAGTAATATCAGTCTCGGAAGATTTGGTTCGTTCGCGGCGAATGAGCTTATTGGGCAAAGTTATGGGCTGTCGTTCGAAATCGACAACAAGAAATTGAAACTCATGAGACCCCCGACAATACAAGATCTCGGTTGGTTCAGCTCCGCCCACGTTTCTTGATTCGCTCTCATATCGCAGGAAGAGGATACGGAGGCAACTAACGAACTCATCAACGATGGACAATTCGTGCAACCTCTAACATCCGAGGAGATAGACACATTGAAAAAATCTGGTGTTCATGCATCGGTATCGTATGAATATCCACCATATATGGATGTCGCCACTCAAACAATCTGATAAAATGTCTCCGCAGGAAATAATCAAGAAACAAGTAGAGATGCACGCTACGTATGCTTTGAAAACGGAATACAGCAAGGAGAAGTACAAGAAACGCAAGGAGGCCAAGTAAGTCGTACCTTCACTCAGCAACGCGCCGTGAAATTGAAACACCGTAGATACGGCAAATATTTTACTGTCGTGGAGCCGACCTTATTCAATATCTGCGAATACTGGTTTGCCAAGGACAAGACTCGAACCCGCGAAATCCGTATAGATACATTGTCCCAAATGATTACGCTATGCAATATACGTCCGGATGGTCGGTACCTTGTCGTGGACGATGCAGGTGGTATGGTCGTTTCTGCAGTGCTGGATCGTATCGGAGGTATGTTGTGGAGCTCCTCATCGTTCGATCGCCACTAACCATGCGTTACAGCTAGCGGTCGAATATTCACAATCTGTGATGTCGATTCTCCGCCTACCTACCCCGTCTTGACCCACATGAATTATCCCAAAAATGTCCTTGACTCTGTCATATCCTCGCTGAACTGGTTAACTCTCGAAGAAGATTACATTCCAGGTACGCGTTTCGCCGTCAATCCACCGTTACTCACATTGCGTGAGCCGACACCTTTTGCAGTGGCTTCTGAGGATCATGCGAGCCAGGCCAAATCTGAGAAGCAAAAATCGCGCCTGAATAAGCGGAAAGCTGCTGCCGATACGCTCCAAGGCCTTCGTGAAGAGCTATATGCAGGTGGTTTTGATGGGTAAGTCTATTTGACGCTTAACAGCGACTTCTTCGATTTAAAATATCCAGACTTCTGGTAGCGAGCGAATACGATCCGCTGTCGATCATGGACAAGCTCTCGCCATATCTAGCTGGCTCGGCGTCTATAGTGGTTCATAACCCTTACATGCAGGTTAGTGATCTTGTACATTCTCGATAAGTGACTTCGGTTGATTCACATCGTGAATCAGATTTTAGCGGACCTCCAAGGCGAGCTACGCGGAAAGCCACAATACTTGGGACCTACCGTGTCCGAGAGCTGGACACGCCGTTATCAGGTATGTCAACTTCCGCTTTTCTTCGTAGGTGTGCGCTCACGAGGCTGATCAGGTACTTCCTGGCCGAACTCATCCATTCATGACTACGTCCGGATCAGGCGGTTTTTTGTTACATACAATCAAAGTGTATGTGCATCATTGTGCGCCTGATAACCTCACCTTACGGTCGTGGGTAGATACGACGACCCGTCAGCGAATTCCATCATGGCCTATCGCGTGAAGAACAAAAGAGTGAAGGTGCTTGAAGAAATCACTACCGAGTCTTCAAGGTCAGGAACACCTCTGAGTGAAGGATCCAACACCGCTTTCCAGGCGCATTCACTATCCGTCTCAGCTGCGGACATACAAGATAGATAATGACACGTAATGTACTGTACAGTTCCACCAGATATGTTGATTCTATCATTCCGAGCAAAATATGCAGGTATACATGAATCATATTGGGGTATCAGGGAAAAGCGCATTAAAGACCTGTGGCATCCGTGATGAGTGACCGTCAGCCGGAATCACTCATTATTCACCTCGTCTATGATTGTGTATATGATATGTTGATTAAGCCGTCGATTTTGCAATGCTGCAAAGATACGGCGCGCGCCTCGTCTGGCATTCGATCTCCCGATGACGTTTGCCGCGAGATCTTCGATGGATCAGAAGTCGATTCTGACCGACGCGGTTGATTCTCACCTGGCATCAGAGCGGACAGCTTCCTGTTTGCTTCATCCCGAGTGCGATTTTTCTCCTCGGTAGACCGCGGAGCTACAGGGGTTTTCAGCTTGCCTTGCGGCCAGAGATTATCCCGGAAAGAGTTGAGGAAAAGCATGACATGGGTCTCGTCGAGCACTGATTTGACACCTTCCTTCACTTTCCTATATCATGACTCATTTGATGACAGGGGTCGGAAAATCTCGGTAGAGGCTCACCGTTCGATGGTACCGCCGAGTACCTGCTGCAGGATGATGACGATCGCTTGCCGTCTGAGCCAGTTCTTCTTCTCGTCGAGTTCGAACAGCGCTAAGAGTAAATCGCAGATAGGGGAAGAAAACGTGGAACTGCTTGTCTCGCCATCGAGAGGTCGAAGGTCTCCGGACATCTTGGATAATGCATCTTCTGAAGATGCTTTGCCAGACGCCTTGAGCGCGTTCGCGACCAGGTCTTCGTCCGTAACTCTTTGTTCGACGAATTCGACGAATCAAAGATACTCGCTCCAGACGAGGCACAGCAACAGCGTATCGCAGCCATACAACATGCGTTGACGGACATCATCCTCGAGCAGCGTGAGACGGGTAACTCAAATCCCGCTGCATCGCAAAGTTCTACGATACCGGAGCCTGATGTTCAATCCAACAAACCATTTGCTGGTTCCCGACCGAAACGGCGCGTTTTGTTCGAGGACGAAGTTCACTCCGAGGAAGAAGACACTCTCGGCCTTGAAGACAAAGAAGTCGGATCCTTCAAGCTAGCGGCGCCAGGAGATCTTCAGTTATCTTATGACATATCCCGCTTGACCGATAAGATCAATAACCTTCAGTCACAAGATGGTATGCTCAATACGTTGATCAAGAAAGCCGAGTTGACAGGCGACGCTCAGGAGCTCAGGCTCCTCCGCCAGTCCAAGGCTTCCCTCGATCGCGAGCTTCGGGAGTTAACCTTTCAGAAGACTCAGTATGAGCAGCAGGAAAACGCAAATCGCCTCCTTTCGGACCGCACAAAGGTGGCAATCGTAAATTCCACCGTGGGTGAAGAGAACGGAAGAAGCGTGGTGCGGTACCTCATCGAAGTCCAGCAACTTGCTCCAGACGGTGGTTTTGCTTCTGGTTGGGTCGTCGCTCGCAGGTACAATGAGTTCCTCAGCATGCATAACAAGCTCCGCGAGCGTTATGCTTCGGTCAGAAACCTCGACTTCCCTGGCAAACGACTTGTCACGTCGCTGTCTGGAAGCTTTGTCGATATCCGACGACAGGCATTAGAGAAGTACATGCAGGTGATGATGTGCCATACTCCTTGCTTTTCTGCAGCGTCGTAGCTAATGCATCCTTTCAGGGTCTCGTAGCCATTCCTGCTGTCTGCGAAAGCGCTGAATTACGTGCATTCCTCTCCCGCGACTCCCCATTCCTTGCCTCTGAACCGCCTCGAGGCCGAACCTTGCCCAATTTCCCCGGGCAAAACCTCGTCCGCAGCGTCTACAAGTCAGTAACCGATAGCATCGACGATATGTTCTTCGGACCATCGATGCTGGATGTCATGATCCAACGTCTGACCCGACAAGCGGCTGAGTATGTCGGCATTGTTGGACCCGGGCGTGCGCAGACTCGCCAGAGACCCTGCATCGGATGACATGAGAAGCGCTAAGTTCGAGGTGGCTGGTCGGGAAGATATCGCAGCTGGGAAAGGCTCGGAAGTTGAAGAGTGGGAAGATCCCAGCGCCCATGATGGGGTAGGTGTGCCGGAGGCCAAACTGGATGTGGAATCTGCCCGCGAAACTAGACTGGCAGCCGGCATGAACCCCCTTGCATCCCCCGAGGATGTTCGAGCGAGTTTGGGTGAGGTGGGTGACGACCGAGACTGCTTCTGTCTCGCCGCGGATAGCGGCATCCCAGAATCTCCTACCACTCGAAACCACAGCTCTGATTGCCGGAAGTCACCGAAGTCGTGTTCCATCTCCTGCTCCGCTTGTTTTTGGGCCAGCAGTACACTGCGCCGTACCTTCCTTTCCACGATAGGTGAGGATGATTGCTCGCCGGTCGCGAATTCGCGGATCGCGTTTATATACTTGCGGGAGATATTGGACAACGCAGCAGGAGGAGTCGAGGAAGAGAAGTATAGGTCATAGATCATGGAGATGTCTTCTCTGACCGTAACTGCATCAGCGGGCGCCTGCAGCAGTTCATCTTCGTCACCGGACGAAGAAGAATCCACAGTTTCGAGCGGATCCTTGAAGCTTTCCACCGTTAACCAGAATTGTACGAGTAGGGAGCGGTGCCTGCGGTCCATGAACTCCATGAAATACGACAGCGAGCTCGGATTCGACAGTACGTCACGTAGACTCAGGCTTTGAGTGCTCTCCGAGTCTGCATCTGAATTTACGGCCACCTGTTGGACCGTGTCAGGATCGAAGACGAGCAAGCCGCATAAATAAACAAATGTACCGTTTCTTGCTCTCCACCACCTAGTATTGATATCCGCTTCTCTACCTTGCGCCGGGCAGTGTACAAACGGTCAAGGAACGATATTATATCTTCAGTTTTTTTGCCGTTAATCCATTCTTCGTTCTCGTGGTTTGCTATAATTCATGAGACTCGGCTCGGAATCTGACTGCAACAAGTAACTGGACAAACCTAGCAAGGCGCGCGTCCTTCGTATCTCGCCAACAATGTCGTTCTTCAGGCGCCTAGCATCCAGCAAGGACGAGCAACGACTGATGCTGCGCAGAAACGCATCGAAGTGACGAGGATCGGTATTGATGGTGATGGCCTCCGGCGCCAAAGTTGCTGGAGAAACGTCCGAGGAAGGCTGCCCCGGTGATTGGGCTTCCAGGACGTTGCGTACCCGCGATACCAACTTCTGCTGCTGAATGGCGGCACCTGCGACCTGGTCTATGGTACGATTCCAGAAATCGGGATCGGACAACATGTCGACAACGGGGTACAGCACAGAGCATGCCACTATCTCGCGCGCCACAATCTTGACGGCGGCACTGCGAGCCTCGTTCTCCGGCAGGATCAATGGCAGTACTTTGTCAACTAGCTTCCGCAGATGCTCCTCCTCTGATTGTCGTGTGAAGGTGGACGACAGGTTATTTACCGCGGGATGCAGCTTCGCTCCTCTGCTTGCGTATCGACTGGCCAGAAGCAAGTCCAGCTCCTCGGACTGGGTCAGCCTGCGCTCCAGCCCTGCGCCACGAAGGGTCGTTTCCGACTGCCGGAATTGTTCGAGGTGTGTCGTTATTTTTGGGAGGACGCGCTTTACGATGAGCACTGGGAGATCGATGTTCGTCGTGCGGTCAAGGAGACGTTCCATAGAGCTATGCAGTGTAGAGGAAACTGCGGTGGGAAAGGAGGGAGAAGAGGATATGTCCTTGTACCACGTCAAGACGAAGTCTCGGACTATCATGATCAGGATCTCGTTTAGGATGGCGGAGACGGTGGGATATTGCGGGACGAGATGCGTGAATGATTGGGGGGATTTGTGCCATTGCGACCGCGTCAACACTGCCTGCCACGCCGCAGGCGTCGAGAAGGCAAGAGGTCGGGCAGCACGTAGCGAGCGGTTGGCTCCTTCGTGGTACTTGGCGTCGAGATGGTTAGCCAACAGGACATAGCCGGCGAAGTGGGTGATGCAGAGTAGGGCCAAGAAGAGCGGCAGGAAGACGAGTAGAACGACAGGGTAGTAAGCTACACGCGTCAAAGCAGGAAGAACGGCGGCGGCGACGACGACGACGACCAGCGCATGGGTCCCAACTCGCGGGGCAGGCATCGCGACGGTCAGGTCATCGTCGGGCGACGGGAAGCAAGGCTCCGACGCGCGCGGACTTGTTCGGCCTTGCGTCCGCTCGGGACGACCCTGTGATCGTCTACTCGTTCCCTCTCGCTCCCTGTCCTCCTTCTTCCCTTCCATCTCGCGGGACATGACAGCGCCTCCACCGTCCGCGCCCAAGCCGCTCTCGACGGCGGAGGGCTTCGTCTTGGGAGGAATCGCGGCATGTATAGCTGTCAGTGCCTGGCTTAGGCTGCGTCGGACTTCCGCTCAGTGATCCGCAGGTCACCTTCTCCAACCCGGCGGAAGTCGCCAAGACGCGTCTGCAGCTACAGGGAGAGCTCATGAAGGGAGGCTTTGAGAAGGTCTACCGAAATGCGTTCGATGTGTGGGGCAAGACTTGGCGCAACGAAGGTGTCCGAGGATTGCAGCGAGGATTGGCCCCGGCGGCGAGTATAACGTTTGGTGTATGTCGTGCTTCCTCACTGATCCATGTATACAGTACGCGTACCAAGTGAGACCTTTGCTGAAGTCTCCGTTGTAACCATCTAAATCGCTTAGATATTACTCAATGGTTCACGACTGGGTATGTTTGATCACTCGCGGCGTGCCATCTGTGCTCAAGTACCCCATAGGCTTCTACGAACCTATACGGCACAGCATAAACCGTTTACTGGGATGGTCGCCTACAGAACAGGTTCCGATAACCTCCCTTCTGGCTGGTGCTGCTAGCGGTGCTGTTGGAGGTATGTCGGAAGAGGTGGGCTATGAAGCCAAGTAGTCATTCCGCGGACATTTTCAGCGTCTCTCGGGAATCCGCTGTTCCTCATAAAGGCTCGCATGCAAGTACGCTCCATCTGAAGCTGAAGTTAGGCTGGCCTTGCCGTGGTTGACGTCAGTACATCAGGCTTATTCACCAGCGCTCCCGGTTGGCGCACAACACCACTACAAAAGCTCGTTTGACGCCCTGGCCACCATCTTCAAAGCCCAGAAGTGGAGAGGCCTCGTGAACGGAATCGACGCTGCCATCCTGCGAACCTCCATGGGCTCCTCCGTACAGTTGCCAAGTTACAATTGGACCAAGAATCAGCTTGTATCGCGAGGCATACTGCCGAGTAACAGCGTATGGACCTACCTCCTCAGTAGCACTGTATCTGGGATGTGTGTGGTCAGTGCGAACGAAAGGGGAAGTATAGCTTTGACTTATGCCGTAAAATTAGTGCATTGCTATGCAGCCCGCCGACACAGTACGTGGCCGTTCTAAGACTATGATCTGCCGCTGACGATTTCACAGGCATTAACACGAATGTACAATCAACCCATGGTGAAATTACCTAATGGTCGATATGCAGGAACACTATACAAGAATCCAATAGACTGTCTGTGGAAGACCGTTAAAACAGAAGGCGTGTTTGGCTGGTATAAAGGTACGTGGCTGCAATGGCTTACTTGCATGGTGAACATTAAGCTTGCTCCCTTTTCAGGCTCAACCGCTCACTTCCTCCGCATTGCACCTCATACGTGAGCGAACAGTTTTCCCCGATTTTTGCTCGTGCACTGATAACATCACCTACACAGTATAATCACTCTCACCGCAAACGACCTACTCATCAACTTATACAGGCGTTTTCGGTACGGCCACAATTAGGCAGGCATGATCAATGCGATATGGCCTCTTCCAGTGTACGAGGCTACAAGGTTTCTTATCGACGAAGCCCCGTGTCTCGATCGTGAAGTGCATTGCCGATGCAGACCAACCCTAAATCTGATATACTTCACTCCTGGAAAATCCAGCCGTCTTCTCTGAGCGCATGGACTGCGTCGTCGATGTTTCCTTTCGGTACAAGAACATAGTCGGTGTTGCTGTAGCATGAAGATATGAGCATGCGCACTCGCGTTGGCCTCTTGATTCGTACTATGTGCTGACCGCGAAGACAGGTACCGCAGCCTTCTTTAACGGCGTAGTAAAATCGCAGAGGATGCCCGTCAGTCCTGCCCGCAGCTGGCTGTCAGAAAATGCGAAGTATCCACACTTGTCCACCTGTGAGACCGACCAAAATCCATTGGGCCCGCAATTCGAATGCATTTCCAGTTTGCCTCTACATTCGTTGCTGCTATCGGCCCAGCCTCCCCGACTATGGATATTTCTTCGTTCGTGCGTGTGACGGATATGAATCTACTGCCATCGCGCAGATAAGCCAACACTTCCTCTTCCAAGGGGACACCGGGCTTGCTTGGAAGCTGCCGCACGAAGAAAAGGCCAGGCAGGACGCGCAGATGGAGCGCAGGGTGATCCAGTGAAGATCGCATGAGCTCGATAGTGCACACATGACCCAACAGGATTGTGCTTCTCTACCGACAGGCATGCGGCACCGCTTGAGACGTCCCAACTTCACGGATGCGCACTATGCTACATTTCTGCTTCGATTCATCATTGCTACATTGCCATCACAGTGCAGGTATATATAGGCCAGCAGCCTCGTTACGTAGAGTGGATTGAGATCTTAAAGGATTCGTCATGGCTGCTGCCAGTGTAGACCGTCTCCTGGTCGCTCCCGCTAGGGGTATCGTCGGAGGACCACTTGGTGGATCCGTCATAAGCGAGCAACAGTTTGCTGCCGGAGGAGACCTAACAAGGAATGATCAGGCAAATGCTCAACGAACATTCGCGGGCGTGCTTACGGCTGAGAAAGAGGATGAGGAAACGCCGCTGCCACATTTCAGCGCGCCGCTCGACACGCCGCAGCTTCCTTTGGAGGTTTTCATCGTGAAGCTGTCGGCGGAACCCGAGATGGTGTACGTAGCCAAGGTCTGCGTCGACCAGGTGCCCCCGCTGAGCAAGCCACCGCTGGAGCTAGCGACGAGCGTCGCTTTGGTAGGAAGGCCAGTGGCGGTCGCGGTGCTGGTGGTGGAGGTGCTGGTTTTCGTCGAAGTCTTCGTGGTGGTGGTGCTCGAAGACGACGATCCCGACTTGGGCGGGTACTTGATGCCACTTGAAGGGCACGAGCCGGCCTCCGGAGCATCGATGGCCACGAACTTGCCGTCGATGACAGAGCCCTTCAGGTTGAAGTACCAGCTGATCATGTTTAGGTTGCCGCTGTCGCAGTCGAGCGCGGGAGTAAACCCGCCAGACTCGGCCTCGAGGGCGGAGGTCAACTCCTTCAAGGTGTACGTCTTGTCGGAGTCGGGCGTGATGCCCTGATTAGCGAGCCAATCGTACGTTGGCAACTTCTGAAGAAAAACTCAGTACCATGTACGAGCCACGCTGATCCAAAGCCTCACCTTGAACAGCTTGACCACCGTCTTGAAGAAGGCAACGGCCTCGGCACCCTTAGAGCTGCCTGAAGGCAGGCAGGAGGTCTCGAGAGTGCTGCAATCCAATCTGAGATGAGGCGCATAGTTTACAGGATCAACACTCACGTCATGCATGTGCCGTGCTTCGCCCATTCGTGCTCCCAGAATGATTCATCGGTGCCGAATTTGGCGGGCTGAACCCAGTACGTCTCCATGTAGTCCAAGGTATCCGAGGCGCCTTGGTCCGTAAGGAGCTAGTAAAAACACTCTCTCAGGAACGGCGGTCACGGTATCGTAAGAGGACTCACTCCCGAGATGTCCGTGTAAGCGCGAGACGAATCGCAGCTGGCGGGGTAGGTTCCATCGCAGCTAACCGATGGTTGTCAGGGCTCGATAATGGCAAAAGCATACTGAGCGCGCAGCTCACTAGTCGGGCCAGAGACCATGGATCGTCCAGCTGTCGTCGGGTCCGCTAGCCGGGTCGAAGTCCCAGTACTGCGTCTGCAGGAGCAGACCGTTGGCCTCGAAGCAGCAAGTGTCCTTCACGACAGTGGAGTTGTGGCAGGACGCGGTGCCGGTGGTGCTGCAGCCGGAGCTGATGCGCTTGAAGAGCTCGAACGGCTCGTAAGAGCTGAACAAGGGGAAGGCCAAAGAAGGAGCTGCGAGGGCACCGAGAACAAGGCTGGCAGCGAGCATCTTGCGTGGCTTTCCTGGACGAGTCCGGTCGACTGATCAGGGATTGAGGGCTGGGGGCGAGCCTTGACCCTCCACCGCGGGAGGACGGGAAGAATATATATGGACCGGAGGCGAAACATGCCGACCGTATGGGTTGATCGCGCTAGATGTGGAGGTTACGAAGACGGGTGAAGCATGTGGAACGGTGTTCGTCGAAGGGGAGGAAGATGGGGTAGATGGCTGGAGATGGTGACGGGGCTCGGAAGCGCCGATCTTGCTCCGGCTGCCCGCGCCTGCGAGTTCGACCTGAGACGCTATCTTAGGCGATGGAGCTGTGCACCCGTCGCATGTTGTTCGCGTTGTTCGCGTTGCTCGCGCCCCATGCACCTCATCACCGCCAGCTCGCAACGCAGCCAGCATGGTAACACACGTGACCCGTCTTCCTTCCCGCATGCGTTCCGTCCAAAAGCATCGTTAGCACGAGGAGATAAAGCAATATACACAGCGTTCGACAGACACCACATGAAGCGGACTAAAACGCCTCCGTCGTCGTCGGCCGCCGAGCCCCGCCAGACGCCCCGATCAACTTCCCCAGCCCGTTGAAACTCGCCCGCCACCCATCGGCATACAGGAAACTGATCAAGCCGCTCACGAATTCCCTAGGACGGACTCAGAGAAATGTTGCGCGCGTTCGACGAGCCATCTTACCAGCTTTGCACCAGCGATCGCACCGGATAGTCCAACGGCGCAGGTATTGAAGTCTGGATCAACCAAGGAAGGCGATCCGTCATGATGGCCTTCGGGTTCGTGAGCGAACGCAGACCCTCGGGTCCCCCTAGAGCACGAGAACCGCATGAGAGGCACGTTGATAGCGTCCGTCTGTGAACGCACCAAATCTGCCGTAACCGCTGGCTTTAGTACCCCCAAACGGCAGGTCTTGGCTAAATAGTGACGTGCGGTTAGTCTCCACCATGTGCGCACAACCCCACCCACTCACTTCAGCTGTTTGAAAGATATTAATCAGTATGGGGATGTCTCCCGGTCTAGAATATCACTCACGTAGAAGACGCCAAAGTCATTGATAGATACCATGCCACATTCCAGGCGCTTCGCGACTTTAAGGCACTCATCCTGGTCCATGCCAAAAATGCTGGCACCTAGGCCGTACCGTGTGTTGTTTGCAATTTCCACGGCTTCGTCGACGGTCTCATACTGAATGAGGAGAGCCACAGGCGCGAAGACTGGCATTAAATCGACAACAATCAGCGCGTTTCATCCACTGCACGCGCGGACACTCACGTTCGGTGTGCGCGATCTCCGAGTTCGGATCAACGTCGCCAATAACGGTCGGGGCAAAGTAGGAACCATCGCGGTGGTAAGGGTGCGAATAGGCTTTGCCACCGACTACTCGTGCGCCGTTGTTCTCTGCGTCGGCGATCATGCGTTCCAACTCGGCGAAGCGGTCCCCATTGATCATAGATCCGGTGTCCACGGTCGAGATATACCCTTCCTGCGTTCGCGCAAGCACGGATCCGGCACGGAGTTTCTCCACGCGTTCCACAAGCATTTCGTACAGTTCGTCGTGCTGCGACGAGTGGACAATCAGTCGTTCAATGCCGATGCAGTTCTGACCCGCGTTCTGGCTGCAAGGATGACAGAGGTGAGCAAAGAACTATTGAGACATACGAGCAAGCGACGTACAAGACGCCTCGCATCCACAGACTGATCCATTTGTTCAGGTCGGTGTTCTTCATGATGATACAAGGATCCTTTCCACCGAGTTCCAGTGTTACCGGTGTTAGATGTTCAGTGGCGGCTTGTGCGACCTAGAGAACCATCAGCAGCACATCACGTCGGCTGGTACGAACTCACGAGGCGTCCGACCCGCTCTGACCCGATGAAGGTGATATGTTTAATCATGGGCGAGGTCGTCAGCGCTTCTGCTTCGTCAGGGTAACACCGTACCAGCTGCGTCGCGGGGATGAATACGGTGTGTCAGACCAAACAACTGAGGACGGACCTGAACAAGGTCTGGGTCGTGACCGCAGGCACGCAAGCATTCCTTGACAGCACCGATAAACCAGGTGGTAGACCATACAACATGTTCCGAGCACTTCAACACTACACCGTTACCTGCAAAAATGGATGCCATGATGGGGGATAGCGCGTTGTGTAATGCTATAATCCGAGGGGGGAGAATGGGCACACGTTATAAAAGCGCTTTTTGTAGCAGCTTACGGTAATTCCAGGAGACCAGGGCGGCAACCACACCGAGAGGTTCATAATAAACTCGTGATTTCTTGTAAAGCAACATCATGTTGGGGTATCGGCTATCGGGTCGTAAAACGCGTTCGCCATGTTTGATGAGCCAGTCCATCTTGGAGCACGTCGTGAGGATTTCTCCCAGGGCAGCATCGAGCACTGGGGACGATTAATGACAAATCCTCACCGACGGTGCGCCACTCACTTGTCTTTCCGGTGTCCCTGCAAGCAACGCGTGCGCAGGTATCCTGGTTCTCTACAAGCCACTTCTTAAGGCTGCGAACGACACGCCGCCTCTGCGCTAGGGTGGTTTTCTTCCACTCCTTCTGGGCCACGCTGGCTCGTGTGATCTTCGCGTTGATATCGGCTGCGTTGTCCGCCATAATGGTGTCAATATGCATGCCGGTAGCAGGATCGTAGCAGGTAATGAACTCTCTATCGGTCGGCTGGAACGGCGGCAGGAGGTCTGGGTCGCTTTTGTGCGAGTGCAAGGAAGGGTTTGGTATGACAGGCGCCTGATAGGTAAGTTCAGCAGCCTGGATGAAACGTCAGTCTACCGTCGATCGCTGAGAGAATCGGCGCACTCGCATCCGGAACAGGCTTGGGATGTTTGAAGTTGCGAGCACGGTCGCGTATGTTTTGGTACCGCCGTATGACGATCCATATGCCAACGCCGAAGAAAATTGAGAGGGGGTAAAGGACGTCGGGTTCGTCACTTCGTGAGTGTTTTGAGAACCATCTGACGAGAGCAGCAGGTATCAAAAGCAGTGCGAGTGAGACAAGCGAGCCCATGGCAAGACAGAGCGCGTTGAACGCGTGGTTTGAGCCTGTTCTAACTTGTCCTCAAACGTTCAACCAGAGTCGCGTCGAGCACGTGCCGAGGTCATTTACCGTACATACTTATGCCATTGTACAGCCACAGTCGGCTTCAACGGGCTCGTTCCATGCGGTTGGTCAAGTCTTTGGCCGCCAGTAAAAACTGAATACTACTGCTGTGTGCGAGCCACAGTAGCGAACGTAACTTATCAACAACGCTGCAAAACAGCATGACCAGTTGACCCGCTAGCCACGTGGATGGCTGGTTGCGGAAAGTCGAGCGTCATAGACTCGTCCTGATACCTACCTGTGTGTCGGTAAACACGCCGACCAGGCTGGAAACCGCGAAGAGAGAGCTGATGCATCACACTTCCGGCTGTCACGAGAGGGCAGAGTCGCTTCCTCCAGCTCGCGCTTCGACATCAAACACTTGACGAGCGTAATGGATCAGTCCGAAGGCGGACTGCGCACTACGGGTTATATTATCAGACCGAGGCCTCTATATGGTGCGTTGCTAGCGTCTCTCCTTCGACGCAACAGCGTCTTGCTACCAACTATCGTACGCTACTTCGCCAGGTATTGGGTGTTGCGCCGTCGCTACCTGAGTTTCCCTAATTCCCCAATAGCCATGAGAAGAGTAAAGGTCGATGACAGCTGGGAGACGTACATGTACTCGATGCCTGTCACGTTCTATTGCGAGGGTCAAGCCACCTTGAGCGTCGCACTCTCGCTGTCAGCCTCGAACTTTCGCTTATTTTATCAGTGTCCATGTCCGATAACACGAGCTACGATAGACGACACGACGATCCTTGCAGATGCCTACACAAAACCACCGCTTGCAGGTGGCAAGGTCTGACAGTCCAGCGGACCATGACAAGTTGTACGGAGCCTAGACGTCAAGAGGTCAGTTGCGCGAGAGAGGAGACAAAGGAGAGGAGACGAACCAGAACGACAGGTGCTCGAGCCCATAGTCTAGACGTCAAGGTCGTGAGTTATGAGTGGAAAATAGAAGATGGAAAAGAGAGACGGACCGAAGGAGCAATGCACCGGTCAAGAGAAGTGCCAACAGGAGAAACCGAACGTATTTGCGAGGAGCACTGGCGTCGTTCGCGAGGATGTAGGAGTCGTTGGTGGTGGCGTCCGTCCTAAAGAGGACATGGTGACAGGTGAGACCGAGGACCTTGTTGCTCGTGCCGCCCTTGGCGAAGTACAGGCCCATGGTGCTCTGGGCGTCGGGCCTGTCAACCGTAGCGATAGAGAGACTGAGAGTGGGAGTGAGGGGACTGCGAACGTCTACGGTGTCGTTGACCTTGGAGACGTGACGAAGGAGCTCTGGACCGGCTGACCGCATATAGATTGACTCGCGATATTCTACCTTGACGTCCTCGATGCCGAAGGACTTGAGGATCTCCAGGATCTCCGCGCCAGAGCTGAAGGCTGGTGCGCCCTCGAGCGAACCGGGGCGAACGCCGATCCATAGGACCACAGGCCCGACAATCGCCTTGTCAGATTCTCCGTCGGTGATGAAACGAGCGACGTCAACGGACGTCCACGAAATCCGCTGAACGTTCAGTAGGTCCCGAACCTGGGGACCTAGGTCCTCCCAGACGTCGTTGACTCGGTGATTAAACACGCCACGAACCTGCTTGAGCTTGCGGTACGCCTCGGGCCCTTGAGGCTTGACCCAGGGCGTCGTCAACAGTCCGGTGTAGACAAGCTTCGGGGGCGACGGAGAGATTCCGGAATATTAAAACATAGCCTCGTCCTTGGAGACGAAGTGGGCCATGGGAGGAAACACTTGAACGGGAGTCGTCACCGAGGCTGAGGTTAGAGAAGTCGCTCGCCGTGGGCGAGGCTAGCGTGGCCGAGACAAGAGTCGACAAAGACAGGAGAAATCACTAAACGAGTAGACGAGCGGTTCAGTATGAAATAATAAGAGGAGAAGGTGTGATATACTCGCTTGTGGTTGGTCGAGAGACTGGTGGAGAGACTGGTGGAGACTTGGTCGAGTTGTTGCGAGGAATGAGGAAGGGGGAAGAAGAGCACCCTTCCTCTTATGTAAGTACCAGTGGCACTTTACTACAGAAGTCCGTTCTGTACTCTACACTGACCTCCTTCTCCCACAAGATTGTTTCCTGACATGTCTACAAGAGAACCCATGTGGTACTGCCACGAAGTAGGTGCTCGTCCACCTGCGAGGATGCCGTATGCTCATTCCTCTAGTGCAACGCCGAGATGCGGCCGCTCATGGTGCGCTCCGATCTTAACACCAAGTCCTACCAATCTGTCCCTCATAAATATCCTGCAGGTTCCAGATCCGCACTGTGCATCCTGCAACGGCACTTTCGTAGAACGAGTCAGTCCCAAGCTGCCCCGGTCATGCGGTCCCTAACAGACACTCGCGCCACAGATCGAGAATCCCGAGGATGACCCCCGAGCCTTTCATGCTGCCGCTGGCGCGGGCGACGACGACTTCAACCCTGCCCTAGACACCTTCCTCCGTGAGTCCCTGGCATCTCCTACGCCCGATGTCGATCACTCAGACCTGACCTAGTCGGCTTACAAAGCCTGCTTGCTGGCCCACCCGGTCGACCGACCCCTGCACCTCAGCCATCCAGTCCTGGTTCCACGACCAGAACAACAGTGGGTGTCACATTCGATCGAAGCTACTATCAGCCAATGTATCTCTACAGACAACCAGCGGCGGGATCCGATTCGAATTCAACAGCGGAAGCGGCGGCGGCGTGCGCACCTTCGTGTTCGGCGGACCCAACACTCTAGGACGTGACCCCAGAACGCCTGGATCTGGTAGCGGCGACAATCAGAATGCTCCTGGATTATCTGAGTACGCCGCACCGAGTGCACCGTCTGCGATCGCCCCTCGCTGATCTCGCCTCAACAGGTTCTTGCGGGGAGCGGAGGACGGCCCACGGCGAGAAGGCGATATTAGCGGGGCGCTCATGGCGCACTATCTGATGTCTTTGTTCGGTGGCGCGCCAGGAATGCGAGTCGGCGGAGATAATCCACTCGCATCGGTGTTCGGCCCTGCGTTCGGCGATGGCGCGGAGAATGGAAGATGGGGTGACTATGTCTTTAACCAAGAAGGTGAGATACTTTTGTCACTCGAGATACTACTTTCTGGTCTGACTGCCGTGAAGCATTGGATCAGATCATCACCCAGATGATGGAGAATTCCAACGCAAGCCGGCCTGTTCCTGCGAGCGAGGAAGTAATGCAGAAGTTACCGCGTGAGGTCCTGCAGGAGGGGTGTGAGTTTATACTTAGCGCCAGCGCCATGCGTTTTGATCGGGATCGTCCCGTTAGCCCCATTGTTAGAAAAGGACTGTGCCGTGTGCAAGGATCCTTTCAAGCTGGGCACCGAAGATCCAGACGAACAGGTCGTCATCACTCTGCCTTGCAAGCACCCCTTCCACGAGCCCTGTATCCTTCCCTGGCTCAAGTCCAGCGGCACGTGCCCAACATGCAGGTACGAAACACCATGGTATTGCTATGGCCTTCGGTATTGACCTAAATATATCGTAAGATATGAACTGGTCCCGCAACCCCATCATCATGGACCTGGAGAGTCCCCCGCGCAGGCTCCGCAGTCTGCGCCGGGATCGAGCCAGAACCAGAGTGGAGGAAGCGAGAACAACGCAGGTAGCCCCGACCGCCCCAGTACAATACCTCCCCGTCCTCGTTCTCCGAACTCCAGTGGCACCGGCCAAGGGCACAATCGCACTGGGTCTGGATCAGGCGGTTCGGGCATCCTAGGCTCGCTGATCAGCATGATCACCGGCAATCACAACCAGAACAACACTGGCCATAGCCGCGATGAGAGTAGTAGTCAGTCCCGATCGGCATCACCCAGGCCGACTCAGGGCGAGGGTGGGGGCGCCCATGAGCCAGTCGACTGAGGACAGACAGCTGCCATGGTCATTGTTCGGTGATTGTTTTACTAGCGAGCATTTAGAAATTCCCGTATTGGATGCTATCAAGCATGTTGTATAAATGTAATACATGGAGATCATGTTAGTACATTCCTGCTTTCGTCCGTAGATATTGTCTAAGATTGGTATCTTCCTTCTTGGCCTTATTTCTGCTTCGAAGCCTCGCTGAGTAGTTTGGCGACTTCGTATGCGGCACCCCATGAGTTCTGATACCCCGCCGGCCTGCATTCCAGTAAGTATCTCAACACCATTGGACTCCAAGGCACATACCCGAAGCCATACGCGTGTATGACAAGGACCTTCCCTTCAGCTGACCCCTCCGTGACGTACCAGGGCGTCAGCGAGGAACGATTCCTGCTTCTACCCAATTCGACCCAGGTCGTCTCCACCCGCGGGCCGCCTGTGCGCGCCGGGCGAAGGCCCACGTTGTGACTGAGTATGCGCGTCTCCGAATCCTTCAGATAGGGCTGAAGCGCGGCGCATCTTTCCCATATACCGCCCGCTATGGTCAAGTCGACGGAGACGTCCCAGTTGTGGGGCTGGAACGTGCCACCCAGGAGGACAACCCCGGGAGTTGTGCGAGGGATGATATACGTGGATTCCCCAGTCGGAGAGGGTTGGTCTGCACTTCACGTTAATATCGAAAGCAAGTAAATCGCTCGGCGTGTTACCCACCACCCATGACCATAAGACACTCATTCCAGGCTTTGGGGGAATGGACGATGATAGTCTGGCCCCGGATCGGATGAAGTGCGAGATCCTCCACACCGAACAAGGACCTTGCACCTACCAAACAATCGTAAAGTCTGGTGACAAGCAATGGGCAACCCGTTCAAAGTCCTCACCCAAGCCAGATGCATTGATCAGAACGCCTCCTGGTCCGGCGTAAGACGTGGCCTCGCCAAGGCTCGAGATCTTCTTGCGGACGAAGGTAACGCCGCGTTTGACGAGCTCGGCCTTCAACCACGGCAGATATGTCTGCGGGTCTACGGAGATCGTGGAGAAGGCTACTCCCGCGACGATCGCAGGAGACGTGCCAGACGGAAGCTCTGAGCTGTCCAACACGCGGAACTGGGTCACCTCGGCTGTCGCCCTTTTTGTACATTCGAACTTGGCATGCGTACCTTTCGGACGAGGTCCTTGTACCATATGTTGGATAGCATGGATTCCGAGGTGTAGAGGACCTTTGACGGCAATTCCTATCGATAATGCGGGGGTGGGTGCACCGGATATAAAGCTTCGGCGAAAATGTGCTCACCCTCACTAATCCGGAGGGTATCATATCCCAGAACTTGTTGCTTCAAAGATCGAGGTAAGTGAGTTCAACACAATAAGAGCGTGATGGTGTTATATATGCCCACAAGGAGAGTGTTTCCCATCCATGGATCCTCTCGTTGAATCCACCGATGGGGGACCAATTTGCGCCCTAGGTGTAGGAGTCGATTTCAGTGCATACCCAGTCTTTGTGTGGCGTTTGCGAGACGGACAGCCCAAGGACTAGCAAAGGCTTGAGAGTCGAGATCTTCTGGCATGTCGCGGGCCACTATCGTCAGCCGACGGGCGATATCCTCATTTTCGGAGAGGACATGGGCAATGGTGAGCCCGATGACACCAGCCCCTAGGATGATGATCCCTGCAGCAACTTGATCTTCAGCCATTAGTTGTGCAGAGAACGAGAAGCCTCCACGCCACAAGGATGAGAACGTCTTGCATGTTTCCCACGTTGGATACTGGAAGCACCTGGCAGTTGTGGCCCGTGGGTCGTGAAGGTCATGATCATTTCAATACTAACGACAACTACAAGCGCTACACGATGGAATGGGTAAACGCATATGCTAGATATACTATACATACGGGAACCGGTTGATAGGTTATTATCAGGGAGGCATGCATGCAGGAGCCATCCGAGTGAATGCGGAGAAGGAAGGGGGTAGGTCGATGAGCTACTACAACTTACAAGAAAGCGTGTTTGCGATGTGGAATAAGGATATCTATGCAGAGGTGAGGATGCTGGTGCCTGGTATAATGAAACCCGACGACGCTCGTTAACGGCGAAGCAGGAACGAAGAGTTGTCTTGCGCGCGATCGCACTTTTGCGCGATGCGCTCGGCGACTTGCAGAGCACGTTCGATGAGCGATCGCGAAGGAGAGTTCGCCGGAGTATAGCTAAGAAGATCTGTAGAGCCGTGAAAATGGTATCGTATAAGGAGGGGCAGGTAGTACCCACCTCGGTAATGGAGCACGTAGCGCATGACGCGCTGCACAGGCTGGATGGCCAATTCCCTCACCGTAGGCAAACTCCTTGGCTGATAGGGCGCGGCGCCAGAGCCAGAAGAGGCCGCTGGGTTGAGCTTGGCCGACGACGCATTGCCAAAGGTGGCCGAGAAGAAGGAACGAGTAGGGCTGTCTGGCCAGGACTCGTCCTCCACCCTCTTCATGTCGAACGACCTCGACTCACGCGCAGCCGAAGCTTGCGTCAGTCTGCGTTTGGCGCGGAGACTTGCTGCGGGGCTCGTATCCGCGCGCTCTATATGAATCTTTCCGCTCCGGGTGCGAGGTCGCGCCGGGCGCAACGTGCTACCGACCTTTAACAGACTCGCGGGAGGCGTTTTGACGATCTTCCGGACCATGCGTTCTTGAGGGCGGTCGATGAAGAACTCCCCAACGATACCACACCAAGCGACGAATGCTTGCTCAAGCTGCTCTTCGATACCGACGAACGCGGCACTGACACCCCACGCGGACGGATCCTCCGACAATCGCGCCAGCAATGCCTGCGAGGCGTTGATCAAAGCGGGAAGGTACCGCTGCATCAGAGGTGGTGGAGGAGTTGCCGTCTAAGTAGCCGGTCGTGAGATAGTGCTCGATCACATGTTAATCTCAGCATACCTCTCCGTCGATCAACTGACAGAGCTTCGCTTGGTACGCCCTTTCCGTCCGAATCAGGTCCTTGCAGGAGAGAATCGCTTTCCGGACGTTCTCCCAGCCAGCTTCGTCCTCGTCGCTAGACCGATCCTCGTCCGCCGCGAGATCTTCGACCTTCTCGGTGTTCGGGCCACCATACACCATGGCTCCATTCAGCACGCCGAGGGCCCCCAAGCTCAGCAAGCTCGTACGCATGCGCAGGGTGTGCTCGGGTTCATCGTCATCCTGCGTCCCATCTTCTTCAACATCCACCATCGAGATAGGTGCCGACATCGTCCTCGCCATGGACGATTTTCTGCTCCGTCTTCCCTGGTCTACTTTACGTAGCAGCTCAAATTCCTGAGCGACGACCTCATCTGGTGCTTCCGCCATTGCCAGCGTCCATCTCCGCAGCGGATGGCATCTGTCCGAATCGAACTGAGGTCGGGGTTTAGCCACAGAAGAGAAACCAAGCTCGTCGACGCCCTGCTGCGCTTTTGCCGCCGAGGCAGCGGACAAGGCACCCAGGTTAGTCGGTATGCTCGTCAGCGGCGTGAAATCGTGCGGCGTCGGCGGCGTCATGAGTGAGCCTTCGGTTGATGTCTGAGCTGTTGAGTCCTCTCTGACGAGCGGCGGTGGAGAGTCGTTCAGGTCGCAATAGGGATCAAAGTCGCCGCCTCGCGCCCGTATGCCATCCTGTTCGACCTAATCGACACAGTGAGCAGCCAGTAGCGTCGTGTCTTGGCACCGTACGCACCTCATCTTCCCCTTCCTCTCCGATGGTCCACTTCGGATCAAGCACGAATATATCTCGCTGCGAACCGCTGCGGTCCGCCGCGTGGAGCAAGCTCGACCTCGCAGCGATCGCGCTGCTGGAAACGTTGATATCATCCGAAGTCGTGAGCGATAGATCCAGCAGCGCGGCGGTTTGGAGGCGCGGGAGCGACTCTATAGACGGATTAGGCGATATGACGGAGTCGTGCTCCTCGAGCTCTGGCGCTCCGTGACCAAGCACGGTGATAGAGTGAAACGCTGGTTTGTATGGGGACAAGGCGACTGGCGACATTGGCGGGCTTGAATAGCCATGGCCGTTCTCGCTGACGGACTGCCATAAACGTGTGTCCGATGCGACCCCATCAATCATACTGAACGGTCTCGAGTAGTTGGTAATGATCTTAGACGGATAGACTCCCGTCACCGGACTGACGGGAGGAGAGATTTCCGGAGCAGAGGCGGGGATAGGCGCGGTGACCGATTTGGTCGGCTGTGGCCGTCGTTTGGTCAGCTTGCGGGTCGGCGCTGACGGCGACTTTGGAGGAGGAGAGGCGCTGCCAAAATACATGGCTGCCGAAGTCGAGGAGCTGGCGGTCGAGGCCACCGTAATCGCTGTCCCGGACGAAAGACGAGATCCTGCTCCAGAGCGTGTAGGATTGGGTATCGCGAGCATCGCCTGTGCGCCAGGGACGGACTGTGGTCGTGATCGTCGAGTGGGTGCGTCCTCGGTGCTCGTTTTGGGATGATTGTGATGCGAGTGTCTAAAGGAAGGCAGTCGTGCAGCCAACGCGAGCAGAGACGGTGCGGACGGCGTCTTCGGGGGAGGGGACTCATTCAGCGAGCTTAAAGGCAAGGCGGAGGTCGAGCGCGAGCCGATCCGGCCATGAGGGGCCAAGGCAGCTTTTTGACGAGGGCGCTCCTGCACCCTCGTGTCTGGAGAGGACAGACGGGCGTGCTCCGGCTTCTTCAATTTGCGAGGTCGCTTGGTTGATATCGCTGTCAGCGGATTCGAGTGGGAATCCGGTTCCGTGAACGTGCGTGAGGCGAGGTAGCCACCGCCATGTCCGATATCGGACTGCGTATATCTAAGCATCGGGTCCGGATCGTCGAGTCCGACTGAGAACCGCGCTCTGCCCCGGGACTCAACTGGGAGCGGCGGGAGCGGGCGGGAGTGATACGAGGAGGTCGGGTTGGGCGACGCGGAGGCGCTCGCGGTTGCGGAACGGGCGAGGGCGTGCTCGAGCTCGAGGTGGGTGCCAGAGCCGTGGTCGGGGAGGTAAGACGGGTTGGCAGAGAACTCTGGACGGTCGTTAACCACGTTGTCAAATATAGGTGGCTTCTGCGGGTCGTGGATCGCCGTGCTCGTTGCAGACAGAGTGGCAGCGGAGGACTTTGAGCGCCGAAACCATCTGAGGGATGGAGTCCTGTCGATCAACGACATGGGAGGGAGAGGAGGGGAGGAGGAGGAGGAGGAGGAGGCAGCCCGCCGAGGCTGGGCTTGGGCCCGACGCGGTCTGAGAAAGTGAAGAGATATGAAGCAAGCGCTGCAATGCGCGACGTCATCCACAGCCGATCGCGCGAGCCAGACTCGGACGCGCTTTCTGGCACCCACGGCATCCGCTGCCTGGTGTCCTCGTCGTCGGCATCTCCACTGTCTGCTAATATCAACGCCAACTAGCTATCGTCCAAGAATCGCACAGTTGGGCCGCTATCTTTCAGCGACGACAGTCGAGGAGCTTGCCGCTGGTGGCCAGGTGGTTGGTCTCGGAACCTGCGCCGAGCCGAGTTCCTGGTTTTGCTCCCAGATTCACCGGATCCGAACCTGTGCCTTGCTGTGCTCAGTGCCTGCCCCGCCGTCGTCCAGCGACCAGGCCAAGTTTCACCCAGCTTTCACCTTGCACACAACTCGCGATCGCCTCTTCCGCACACCTCTATTCATCGCAGGGCAACAGTCAAACTGCGCGTTCGTAAAAATCCCCACCCATCTCGGGCCGTGGAAATCGGGTAATAGCCTGAGCCTCCGCGAAGCATTCCTATTCAGTTCAGTATCAACCACGCGGCTGCCCCAGCTCAGCGGCATTCCTTCGTTGCAAAACATAGATGATAACACGACCCACGAAGGTTCGAACCCTCACAAGCTCCCATGCGCTAGCAAACCAAGTGCGTTCAAGCATTGAATATGAGGGGGTCATGTGCGACTCTACAGTAGCTCATGAGGTCAACGCTCTGCCGACTCGCAGAGCAAGCACAGTATCCTCTCCCATGATCTCACTGCGAACGTGTTGGGTATTTGCCATCTACAACCCCGGCATCTTCAGCTGGTTGTTCGGCATGACGTTCACGGCAGAGCCTACCTGCGAACCGAGCACTTGGGTGCCATATCCTACGCCGTCTCTGCCGACGAACACGGGGGCGGTGGTAACGATGATGCAGTCGACGCAATCTTGCGCTTCGGCCATGAACGAACCGATCACCTGCGCACCTCCTTCGACCATGAGCGACTTGATACCGAGAGCAAGCAGAGTTTCCAGCAAACTCGACAACGAGAGCATATCTGCAAATTCGCAAGGCTCATTACGACGTGCGCGTAACACCGGTCAAGGCCGTGCTCACCGCGCTCCCCCGTAACTTCTACGATTCTGGCACCCGCCGCTTCCAAATCGAGTCTCCTAGCTTGTACCGCACCGGAGGCACCAGGAAGACACACTACCCACGGCCGACGGCCATGTCCGGTTTGGTAGTTCTGAAGCAGCTTGCAGCTAGGCAAGAGGCGGAGATGGGCATCCAGCACGATCGGCCTCGGGAGGTGGCGTCGGACGCCCTCGAGGGTAGGCGGCAAACGTCGTGCTAGCATTCCGCATAGTAGAAAATGACATGCAGCGGGCGTACAGCGTACTGTTCAGCTGGGGATCGTCGTTGAGCGCCGTGCCGATGCCCACGAGAATCCCGTCGTGCATCGTTCGCATCCTTCCGTCGAAGACAGGTCAGGAGAGTCAGACGACGTGTTCGCATGTCAACGTGCGATAAAGCACCAATGTGTCATGACCATGCTCTGCTTGCCACTGAGGATGAGCTGCTTGCCGCCGACGCCGGCGATCTTAGCATCCAGCGATTGCGCGAATGTGAGCGTCACCCACGGCCGTGAACGACGACCGGCAACCTCATCACGAGCAGCAAGCACAGATTGTAAGAAATCGGGAGGTCCAGACATGGCAAGAGACGCCGGCGGCGTGGCACTAGTGAGAGAATCAACGCCGCCGCCGCCAAACCGACGCCGTGACCCGAAGCCACGCGCCTGTCGCGCCCCCGCCATTGCGTTCAACGGGCACAGCCACAGACCACCGCGTCGCGTCACGTGTATTCAACGCAGCCGCTCATATATAAGCGCGTCGCCCAGCGCGCCCTTTCCCCATTCACACCTCACCTGCCGACCACCACATCCGTACGCCGACTCGCCAGTCGCGCTCTCACCAACACACCACACACCACACCACCTCATCAACACTACAACAATGTCCGGACGCGGAAAGGGTGGAAAGTACGTATCTTCACATCTCTTCCGAGCAGAGAGTCAGTGGCTGACCGGCGGCTTGCTTACCAGGGGTCTCGGCAAGGGTGGTGCGAAGCGTCACCGCAAGATTCTTCGCGACAACATCCAGGGTATCACGAAGCCCGTGCGTGCACATTCATCTGCCTCTTGCTCGCACACGCTCATCTCCGTCTACAGGCAATTCGTCGTCTTGCCCGCCGTGGCGGTGTTAAGCGTATCTCTGGTCTCATCTACGAGGAGACCCGTGGTGTTCTCAAGATCTTCCTTGAGAACGTCATTCGTGACTCTGTCACCTACACTGAGGTTTGTTTCTACCCGAGCGCGCTTGAGTTTCGCTTCTGACCTGTCGTCTGCAGCACGCTAAGCGCAAGACCGTGACCGCGCTCGATGTCGTCTACGCCTTGAAGCGGTCAGGCCGAACCCTCTACGGTTTCGGTGCATGATTGTCCTCTTCGCATTCCGGTCTACGTGTTGTACTGTATTGTAGCTTTATACTATCAGTCTATCTATTCGGTGTCAGTCTTTGACCTATGTGCGGAACTTTGAACTGCCAGTGCAAGTGGTGCTAGGTAAATTACCCTGGACACCGATGATGGTGTTCCGAATATCTTGTACACCACTATCTCAAATTACTTGTCCAGCTGGCTTAATCGGTATAGGGCTCCAGTACTCAATCTCCGCAAGGGTCAAGGGCATTGAATGATTGCCATTTATATCCCTACGGCGTATCGTACAAGACGGAGCAAGAGGTAACTTCCCATATGTTTATGATTAATGAATGAGAGTGGATGATGACAGTCGAATCGGCCCAAGCAGGCAATGTAGTGGTACAAGTTCAAGACGAAAGATCCGGATGGCGTTTATCTTACTCGTCCTCGGACGAGCTATCCTCTTCGTACAGGACGACGTACTCGATCTCGCCGTGCTGGGCGGGCACCACTTCGGATCGGCTGTCTTGCCAGATCTCGTCATCCGAGTCAGCGGAGAGCTGCGAGTGCGCATCCGAGTCGTTGATAAGCGAGATCGAGTCGTCCGAGCCCATGTCGGAGGGTGCGGTCACGCTGCTCGTCGACGGAACGGCAGCTCCTGCGCCCGTCTGCCGCGAGTCTTGCGAGGCAGGGCGCGGCATGATGACGGACGAAGACGCCAAAGAGTGTTCGCTGGATGCGTCCGATACGTTGTTATGCTCTGCAACGTTGATACTGAAAGCAACGCATCATCAGGCAACGTCCTGCTTCCAAGGAATGGAACAACTCACTCCGCCCAGACATTGTTGCCGAAGAGTTCGCGACCCTTGGTCCCATCGCTGAGCTTCCAGTAGCTGACATATTTGCCTGGCACCTCGGGTGCCTTCATCTCAGGAGCGGAAATGGTGACCACTTCGCCAGGCTGGACAGTGCCGACATGGACACGAGCGTCGGTCTGGTGGTCCGGTAGCATACGGTCGCCCGCCACCCAAATCAGCTCCGTGGTTTCGGGCCAGCTAACCTCACCATCGTTCTTGATCAACCACGACTTGACAAACTCGGCGCCGGGAGGAAACACCTGGCCGTCCGGGATGTTGACGTCGGAGAGGAACGAAGCGCGCAGCGTGGCATCGATGGCGGTGGCGAGCTCCGTCTCGGTTTCCGACACGTTGACCGACGGAACAGACTCGGATTCCGAGACGGTCTTGGTCACGCTCTCCGGGGAAGCGACGGCCTGGGGAGGTAGGCAGATCATCGGGGAGCCAATCTTCTCGTTGGGCTGCGCAACAACAGTCATAGCAAATATCTCCAGTGCACTGAAAGTACGCAGCCGGTCAACATTGATTCAACTCCACACAAGAAGTCAACTCACATCTTGCCGTTAACGACGTTCGTGGCAAAGTTGTCGAGCGTGATAACGGTGTTCTTCTGTACGGCATTGGACGTAACCAAGTGGTTGGATTCAGGAGCCAACAGCGCCGGAATAAAGTGAGCACCGTCAGATACGGTCAGACGGTATCGCTCTGTTTCCTTCGCATAACTGACGGTGGGGGTGACCTTGCGCACAGTGAGGACTTGAACCTTGGGGATGGAGAAGAAGAAAGCCGTGTCATTGAATGGGTTCAAGGCTTGTGTGCAAAAGTCGGGAGTGAGCTCAATATTCTTGGTAGCCTCCTTGGCGACTGCACGTGCCGTCACCGGAGAAGTGAGTCCAACAGAAGCAGGGGAAGTCTGGGCCTGGGCAAGCAGGTCTTGCTGGAGCTTGCGGAGAACTTCCATGTAGTCGGCCGCGTAGCTCGTCGGCACGTAAGACGACAAAGGCGTCGCTAGCAACGCCTCTGCACCGAGCGGGGAAGGCCCGGACGTGGACTGCGTCTCTGTGAACGCGTTCGCCGCACTGAGAGACGACTCCGTGACGTGCGTGGACTCCGGCATCTCGACGTCGACGAGTGGCGCGCCGTTTGTCACCTCGACGATATCGCTGCGGGATTCTTCGGGAATGGGGTTGAGTAGGTGCTTGATGTCAGGAGTGAGCGGGGTGAAGGCTCCGGCGTCGACCGGTTGCTCATGCATTGGTTGAACCATCCCGTTCCACTCGGAGGCAACCGCTGGCCAAAGTTCGCGATAGAGATCGCCGCTCAGGTCGATATTGGGGATCCTTGGAATAGAGGGCGTAGATCGCGGGGAATCAGGCATGGTAATCAAGTCTGCCATCTCTTCCTGTTGTTCGAGGACATCGCGCGCGTGCCATTGGCCGAACATCGCGGGTAGCGTAGGAGAAGCCGTCTCTCGACGGCTGGTGATGGGGACCGACCCGGGCATAGGAATCTGGGGAGCAGGTTCCGTGACCTTCGGAGCAGGGATGAGCTCGGTTCCCCCGACGCGATACACGGTCGGAATGACCGTGCTAGCGGTCTTCATCTTGAGGAGAGGATGAAGCGGCGGGTGGACCGGAATCGGATGGGCCTCGCAGTTGGCGCAAAGGTCATAATCGGGGCACGACGGGTGCATGCACTTGTAGCGCACACCGTAGATAACTTTCTGGCAGGCGTTGCACGTTGCTTGGTGCCTGGTGTTCTCCATGCTACTGAGAGAGCCACGCATCTTCAAGATCAATCAGCAAGGGCGGCCGCGACATAGTCACAGAGATGTGCATACCATTAGATCCTTCCTCCTCGTGATCCTGACAAAGCCATGATTCGGGTGCTGCTCCTTCGTAATGCTGAAGCATGCTGAGCAAGTGTCATAATCAGGGCAATTCAGGCACTTGTAGCGCTCGCCCTCGATCCTCGAAGAGCATAGGTCGCAAGTTGCATTATGGAGGACTGGCGAAGCAGAAGCAGAGCTGATTGCAGGAGAACCGTCAGTCGTTCGCGCTCGGCCTGTCATCGTTGTCCGACTGTGAGGAGCAGCGCTGACACTGCCCACGTTCGCCTCCCCGGTGCCAGTATACACGTTGTGTACGACAACCCTACCAGGCTCCTTGATCTCGTAGAACGAGTGGAAGGGGTTGTGGAACTCCGTAACGTCCTTCAGGCAACGGGTGCAAAGATCGTAATCTGACGCCAATCGTGAGCATGTGAATGAACCGTCCAAATCTGACATTATTGCTTACCTTGGCAGTCCAAGCATTTGTGGCGAGAGCCCACGACGGTGAGGTCACAACGATCGCACACGATGTTGTGATGTACCACCGCATCAGGTTGCTCAATCTGGAAGAACCTGTGTCCACCACGGTGTCTAGCCATAGTACCGGGCATCTCGTAGCAGGATGTGCACATGTCATAATCGGGACACTGCATGCACTTGTGGCGGACACCGACGATCGTCTGGCGACAGACATCGCAAACGATCCCAGCATGGATGACGGTCGGATCATCCGACGTTTGACGCGGGTGAACTAACGGTACCGGGGTAGAGCGAGCCGACAGGCTGCCGTGCTCGAACGACCCAGGGATGTGAAGGTTGAGATCCGCGGGCTCGTTGGACTCTTTGATAGCAGATTGGGTCGGTGGCGCAGGCACCGGAGCCTCGGCGGGTAAACCGGTCAACACAGGGACGCCGAACGTAGAGCTGGAAATCCTCTCAAAGTCGCGCAGGAAGTTCGTGAGCATGTTCTTGATCTCCTTGCGACCCTCTTCAACGCTGCAGCAGGGTGAGGGGCGACGGGGCGCAGCGGCCGGTGCATTGCCTAGCTGGCGCATATTCTCTACTGGGCTCGGAGCTGCAGACGACGAATAGATGATAGGAGGCGGAGGAACCACCAGGGGAGGTGGCTGCGGCAGCGTATTCAAAACAGGGGGCGGAGGGATGCAAGGCGGAGGTGGGATCACGAAAGTCGTGTCCGGAGGAGGTGGGCTAGGTATGTACATCGGCTGATACGACGCCGGATGCGACGACTTGGGCAAGTGCACGTATGCCGGCTGGTACGGCGATTCCGAGTGCAGCGATGCGCGCTGAGGACTGGAAAGCCTGGGCCGAGACGACGATAGGAAGTCGATGAGCATCGAGTTCGGGCGCTCTGCGATAGGCCGCCGGGGAGTGGGCTCATCCCCGTACTCCCGCCTCATGACGCCCCTGCTGCGCAGGTCCGGCTCAGACGACTGATGCCGAGGTGCAGTGGGAGGTAACAGCGCCCTACGAGGGACGGGGAGGGGTCGCTTGCGCGGCGTCTCGTCAACGACCGTGAGCTTGAGGACGGCGGCGGGCCAGATCTTGTCCTTGTACGGTGCGGTATGAGCGTCGTATTCCTCCTGGCTGTGGACTTCGGTGCCTATGAGAATCGACTGCCCCGAGGCGGGGGAGAAGATGAGCCTGCTGAGGGAGAACGAGTGGCCGCTGAAGACTCGGTAAAGCTGCAGTGGCGATAAGCGACGATGGGAAAGAGACGGCGGGACGAGCGCTTACCTGCTGGTACAGCTGGTCGTACGACGGGAATGCGGGCGAGTCACCGAAGGTGAGGCGCCTTGTCTCGCCGCGGTAGGTAGCCTTGACGGTAAACATGGTCGGGGCAAGAGAGGGAAAGGCAGGGGGGAGCGGCTGACGGAGCCCTGGATTTGTATGAGCGCCCGCGTCACCCCCTGACTCCGGAGGCTGCGGCGGACGTCACGTGCGCGTTGCCTCATGCGCTTGCTCTCGTCCGTGTGCTGCGACCCGGCGGGGATGCTGCCCGTCGCCTGGAACGCTGCGGCGAACGGCGGCGCGCCCTCCAAGTATCTATTGCTCCAGTTCCATGCTGATCGCCTCAACGACGCGGCCCGCGCGCACGGATGGGCCGTCGGCGTCACCCGCGAGCAGCTGGAGGAGCTGTGCGACCAAGCTGTCCAAGGCGAGCACGGCGCCTGCAAGGTAAAAGCTCGGGACTGTCGTGATCCACGGGCGCGCATCGTTGAGTCTGATCGTCCGGGCACGCCCCCAGGTCCGCATCCTCCTCTCCCAGAACGGCGAGTGCCACGCCTCCGCCGCGCCGCTCTCCAGAGCTCCCGGCCTCGACCCGCGCCCTGATCTCGCGCCCACCTCGCCGTCAGCGATCGTCGCCGTCGTCCTCGATTCCCAAAGCACGCCATCCTCTATTCTCACGACTACGAAGACAACAAGCAGGGATCACTACGACGCTGCCCGCGCAAGGGCACACCTTCCTCCGCTGGGCACCGCCGGTCCTCCCCGCGATGTCCTGCTGTACAATCTCGCAGGAGAGATCACCGAGACCTCCATCTGCAACATCGCCCTCTTTCGCTTCGGACGGTGGCTGACGCCGTCTGCGTCCACTGGTTGCCTCCCGGGCGTCATGCGCCGGTGGTTACTGGAACACCGTCACATCGAGGAAGACGCAGAACGAGTGTTGACGAAGGAAGCCTTGATCGAAGGCGAAACGGCGCTGCTCTTCAACGCAGTGCAAGGCTGTCAAATAGGCCGCCTTCACGTCCGAGCTCCACACCAGGAGAGCGCCTAGCGCTCGCACCGGCCACGACGCGTTGGCCTATGCGGCGATGCCCTCCCATTCGCCGTCGTCGACGTCCATTCCGTCGCTCTCTTCCTCCGCGCCGACCTCATCGAACATCCCGTCGTCCATCTCGCTCAGCAGATAGTCCACGACATAGCTTTCCTGCACCAACCGTTCCATGCGCGCCAGATGACGTTCCGTGTAAGGGATCAGGGCGTCAATCAGCTCCTTCAGGGCCGTGCTCCCCGCGCCGGCCTTATCGCTCAGCAAATCACCCACGCCGCCGGCGGTAAAGGCCCCCATAATGTCCTCCGCGCTCCGGAGCTTGACCACGGCGAACAACACGCCCTGCGCCACGGCGCTTGTCTTCGCATGCGTGTTCCAGTCACGGACGTACTTCAGGAGCTTCGTCAGCTCAGAGCCGTGCATCGTGCGGATGACCTCGTCGACGGTAGGATGGCCTGTGATGCAATCCGTGGGAGGCACCATGTCCGAATCATCTTCCCTGTTGGAGCGCAGCTGCTTGAAAAGGTTCAGGAGGCGACCGGGCTGCTCCATTGCCAAAGCGAGCGAAATTGCATTTCGATAGTCGTGGAGCGAGACGTAATTGAGGAAGTCTTGCTCTCTATGAATGGCGGCGATAGTTAGATATCTGCTCGCGCGTTGTAAAAGTGAAATGAAACGCACTTCAAAACCATATCCGCCCGCTTCTTCTCCTTCTCTTCTTCTTCTTCCTCGGTAGAATCCTCCCAGAACGTCACCACTGAGTCGGCCGCGCCAGATACGATGGTCCGTTCATCCCTGCTGACAGCAAGTGCCCACACCTTGTCCTCGTGATTGTCGAGTGTTACTGTGCATTCCTCCTCACGCACGTTCCATATCTTCACCAACCCATCGCTCGCCGCACTGACCATCTGCATGCCGGCGTTCAAAAAGTCGACCCTCAGCACGGAATTGGTGTGCCCCTCGAACGTCTTCACGCATGAGAAATCTTCGAGGCTCCACAATCGGACCGTCTTATCTCCGCTTCCGGTGGCCAACACCCGCTCCGCTCTGCCGAACCGTACGGTCCACACCCCTCGTTTGTGTCCTTTGCATGTCCCGACGAGCCTGATCTCGCCGCGAACCGACCCTGTGCCGGTGACGACATAGTCAATCTCAAATACTTTCGCCGTCTTGTCCTGAGATCCAGACGCAAGGAAGCGATCGTTCGGGGCTACATCGAGGGAGTTGATGTCCTTGTCGTGCGCTTTGTGTGTTGTAAGACTTTTGCACTTGAGGGCATCCTCCGTCATGGTGTCTGGGCCAAGAGGCAGCAAGTCCCACATTTTGATGGTGCGGTCTTGGCTGCCAGTGAACAGGAAGCGAGGCCGTTCCTCGTCGCTTTTACGCGGCAACGCTACTGCTCCGACGCTCTCGGCGTGGCCTTCGCAGATTGCGACACAGCGCCAGCCCCACTCCCCAGCTTTCTCTCTGTTATATTGTGCAGGCCTCCATAGTCGGGCGGTCCTGTCTTTGCTGCCGCTGGCTAAAACGTCTCCACGAGCGCTGTGGTCCAGTGAGAGAACGATATCGCTGTGACCCTCGAGTAAGCGGGCGTCCGATTGTGAGGTCGAGTAGACGCGAATGAGGGAAGAGTTTGTTGCCAACGCGATGTGCGAGTCAACGCCGGATGGGTCATTCGCGCTGGCACTGAGGAACGTCGCGTCTACGATCTCGTCGTTATAACCGATCAGCTGCCTAGTCAAAGCCTTCGTCGACAGAGAATGGAACAGGATGTTCTGGTCGGCGTGTATTGATACTATAGTGGACGTTGCCGGCACGTAGCTAAATATGGATTTCTTGTCAGGATGTGGATGGGAGGGACACGATAGAGTGCTTACATGGCGTTGACGATCTGACGCTGCTCTTCTTGTTCCTCGTCGCTGGCGAGTTCAGACTCAGAGCCAAACGTGTGCATTACGGATCCGCTCTGGCCGTCCCATATTTTGATGACACCCTTCTCTCCGCCGGTGTAAAAGCGTATCTTATCAGTGCCGGTCGACGTTCCCCCTAGCTCTTCTGAGGGGGCTAACAGCCCGACAGCCTCAACCCGCTCGAGAGCGGGGATGGTTTTCATCAAGGCAGGGACCATCGCCTTCTCTTTGCCCTTCGCCTTACTGGATTTTGGCTTGTTGGAATTCCCAGCAAGAGACGACAAGTCCCAAAGAAGGACCACCGAGTCCCGTCCGCCACTGACGAGCCATTTCCCATCAGCTGTGACGTCGAGCCCACGAGGAACGGAAACGTGGCCTTCGAGGATATGCTCTGCCTTGAAGCTTCCGTTGCGAGAAACCGAGGCCGAGAGATCGAAGATGCGGATCCGCGTGTCGACCGACGCGGTAATCAAGTGCATCTTGGGTAAGGTCACGGCAGAAGGATCCCGAGGGTAACTGAATGTCAAGGCGCTGACCACCCCGCCATGGCCTTTGAATATATGGGTCGTGTACCCCCGACGAACGTCCCAAACTTTGACCACGCCATCCGCAGAGCCAGATGCGACGTAACTAGACGTCGGATCCACCTTGCACACATGGACGGGAGCGTCGTGTGCCCGAGACACTACACGCACAGGTCGTATTGGCTTCGATGTATCTGCTGTAGCCTCGGGAACTTCGTACACCCGGAGCGATAGGGAGGAAGTGAACATTATGAGATGGTTTGACGAAGGAGATACTGCAAGTGCGGTGACAGATTCCGTATCCTGTCAACTGCCTCGATGAGCTATTCTCCGGGAGGCTGACATGATGACTCACGCCAGCAAACCGACACATCTCCGTGCCAGAGGCAATATCCGTCATGACCACATCTTCAGCAACACAGCTGAACAGTTTGCTTCCATCACCGGCCACTGCTACGGGTCCCCCGGTATATAGAGGGGCAACGACACGAGCCTTCTTAAAGCTGTTGGTTATTTTAGCTCGCGATCGTCGAACTCGGCAAAGTACATACGCGGTTTTGAGCTTTGGGCGTACGGGGACCGCCATGGTCGATGCAGAAATTTCGTTTAGCACAGCCACACTCATATTTACTTGCGCGCGAGCGCGCGGGTCATCGTTGCCTTTTAGCCTGACTGACCGGCCACTTGATGACCTCGTGTTATTGTGATATGCCTTGGCTTGCACGACCGCGAGGACGCGAAAATAATCAGAATGAAGCTCTCTTACTACCGGTCATCCCAAGATGAGGGAATCATCGCGCATTATTAGCCTGGCTACGAAAAGGGCATGATCGATATATCTGCAGCGCGCGCATGCGGTACAGGACGAGTCTCCTTCCACCGGCAGGCGAGTTCATAGGTCTCAGACTTCGGAAACAATAGGAACGATAGCTGAACGGTGCTTCTGCTCGGTCGTGTACCACAGACATTCGCTCGACTCCTACCATGAAAGCGCTTACAGAAAGTCCCGTCTATGATCTACGATCCCCCATGGACACTCGCGGCCTGGTTCAATCCAGCAATGTAGAAATTGTTCCGATATCTGCTCCCGTTCTGATGCGTGCATAGTATTGCATCGGGTCCCTGTCATGCGCGCAGAAGCCTGAGCGCCTCCTCAGCGGCTTTGCGTGCTCTCGCCTCTTCTTCGGCCACCCTTTCTGCCACTCTTCGCCTCCTCGTCTCGTCCTCCAGTAGCTCATAAGCCCTTTTCAACTCGGCAAGCGCTCTGTAAGCCTCGGATTGCGCGCGCGCGAGTTCGTCCGCCATCCTGGACGCGGCTGACGAGCTACTGTCCCTTGCATACGGAGATCGTCCTTCCATGTCCTGGTCGAATCTTTCGATTTGACGGTATTCATGGTAGTCCACCGCTATGTTATCGTCGGTCGCTTGTACGCGCGTCGGCGGGGTTGTCGCGGACCGTGCTGGACGATTCAGGAACGATTTCGGTTGTGAGCCTGACTTTGCTGGTGTATCACGACTCTTTGGTTGCGTCGAACGCCCACGGTCGCGGCGACAGGACAGATGCGATTCGAGTTCGTGCTCCTCGTCGGAGAGCGGAAGGTCTTCCAAGCGCTTGTTGGGCCGGTGGGGAGGCGGAGAGTGCATGTTAGGCGAAAGCGGCGATCCGTACGGATGTTCCTCGTCCGCGGGAAGTAGATTGCCGCGTATGCGAGGTAATATCGTGATAGTTTCAGGCGGGGTGTCTGGAAGGCTTTTGCGCTTGCCCCGCTTTCGAGGCCGCTTCGTCCCAGGGGGTGCAGCCAAATTCACCGTCCAGTGCGAGCCGAAGCCGGGCTCGGTGGGAGGTCTGGGTGTTCTCTCGAAGAGGCGACTGAGCGACAAATGATGGCGCACAGATTGCTGTTCGCCAGGCCCGTCAGTTTTCTGCCAACCGCTCGACCTGTGGGACTCACCTTCCAAGTGGTCCCCGCGGTGCGGTAATATGGATACTTGTCTTCCATCGCCGCGTATATCTCTCTGATGGTTAAACGCTGCTTCGGACTACCCATAATGGCGCATCTCAGGATGATTGGCAAGGTGTGTTGTGGCCTGTCGCTCGTGTCGGGGAGACATGAGAGGCTGCTAGGGCAATCCGGATGTGGTTTATGTTCGTGCGAGATCACGGCCTTCTGTACATCCTCCGCTATTTCCTCGAGTTCTGTATCGCTCGCCGACGATGGACTGTCCGACTGAGACCCATCGAGCGGAGTATGGGTCCTTGACGGTGCAAGGATCAAACCGCATCAATTTATCCGAAACACGTGTAGTCGTTCTAGTACAGACCTGGACGGACTCGAGAATTCTTGCTGGGGATTCAATAGATGCCGCAGGGACATACTCAATGCGCGCACCCTCTTGACTGCTGAGCTTGGTAGAGAGAGAACAGAGAGCACGATGTGGGGGCGTGTTGACGCATTGTTTGGAGATAGAACGACACGAGGCACAACAAGCGATTTGATCCACTGCAACCCGATACAGGCAAGACCTGCCGCGCTAGTCGCTCATTACAACAACAGTTAGCACGTACCAGTGCTTTGACATCGGGTATACAGCGTGGGGCCGAGAAAAATCAAGGGACGTACAAGTACATTATTCCCGGTATATTATACAACGTATTCAAGCATGACAACTATTGCAACACACGGATCTTGTACAGCGCTAGACACATACGCGAGGTTTCAACTAGACAGCAGGGAGGCCCAAACAGTGCGAACGGACGTCGGAAACTACCAAAGAAACAAAAGACCGGAAGCCCAAACTAGATTACATATGCTGCGGGTGCTGGCCCTGCGTCGGGTCGAACGAGTAACCGTTCATTATCCCGGGCCCTGGCATCCAATCTTGAACTGGGGGTAACGGGCCAGAATTGCCTTGCATGCCGTATTGATTCGGGGTAGCTGGTGAGCGAGTTTCCTGAGACATATTTGGGTGACCGGCCCCGCGGGTCTGCGGCCACCATTCGTAACCAGGGAAATACGATGTGGAAGGTTCGATCCCGGGGATATCCAAGCCCAACATGTGAGCCATGATACGGGTGCCGACATCCTGGGAACCCGCTGCCGTCGGTGGTGGTGATGGGTGCTTCTGAAGGGCACCGAAGGCTTCTCGCTGCAGCATCTCCGAGCTCGTCTCTCGCCCGAAGGCATCTTCTGCGCCCCGCTTGGTGCTCGCTCGTTCAGAACTGTCGACTAAAGGCGTTATCACGCCTTCAAACTGCACTCTAGCCCCATCAAGCAGCTCCCAAGCGCGTCCAGCGCTCGGCCAGAGGATCTAAACATCGGCTATCAACGTCTGAATCATGTGGCGTCTGGCAAAACGCTACGCACCTCCATTTCCTTCAAAGCAGCTAGGCTTTGCCGTAAACCCAATGAGGCCTGAACGTTGCCTGGCCGTAAAGTCACTGCATCCGGAATCGGTCAGATCGTAGAGTTCCCATCTAACGTTGCGTTCACTTACACGTAACAACGTGCATGATGCTGTACCGAAGCTTATCAGACCTTGATCGGTCTACCCATGAAATGTCACTTACCCAGCGCTGAGAATGTACGGTGGCAGGAAAGGCGTGCCGCATTTCAATCCAATTTCCGTGTTCCAGATGGTGGCTTGAGGCGCCCGTCAGTAAGATGACGCGTTGACTTTTAAACCGCATCCTTACCGATAGCACTCATATGGCTGGCCGCTGTTTGACATAGGTCAAACGACTTAAGGAGCACGGTGTCCGACTCCAACTGGGTCCTACGAGAATCTTGTTCTCAGATAAGTTCACGAGCCTATCCGGCGGGCGTACCCTTTACGCTTTGGGATAAATGCCCTGTGAAGCAGCAATACCGCTGACCAATACCGCACGTGCAATAGCAAGATATTCGGGGGTGGGGCCGTGCGCTTGCTCGTGGTGTCGAAGCGAAGCGGCTCGGGCAAGTCGATGTACCAATGGTCGAGTTTGGTTTCAAGCTTGGGAAGCTCAACGCGCCGAGTGAACGTGGTCATTCGTACCGGATATATCTTCTTCATGATATCCCCGATGATGACCGCTGTTATTACGAAAGAAGGTTGGCCCACCGATTCGTACAGGCAGTAAACCAGCTCACCGAGCATGCAAGAGGCACGGAAGCAGCTCATCGTTCTCTCGGGGAGCGGGGGGTAATTGGGGTTATATTGAGGATCTTGCGGTAATGGTTGCCATGTCTCGTCTTCGTCGGCCTGCGTGACTTCCGGCAACGGAGTGTCGAAATCGGTCCGATTGATCATGATAGGCCGGCCTGGGGGGACAAGACTAGGTAAGTGGTCCCTTTTTGACCAGGCCGCTGGCACTAACCCATATACACCGAAATGTACCTGTTCAAATGCTGTTCAGCATGAACGGCGACCAAAGCCAGTTTCATCACGTACTTGTCCAACAAGCAGCATCCCCACCATATTTGTTTCCGGATCTGTTTTTCGACCGCGTTGAACAAGCGAGCGCCGTTGTACGACCACTTGTCCGCGTTACGATTCATTCCAAGATCTTCGGCCTGCGTTGCGTGTGAGCAACAGGTCGAATGGTTCCGAAGCACGAGTCTTACCATTCGACATGCCATGCCAATGTATAGCCAACTATTTTCCATGGAACCTGAGCAGCCTCGTGATCGGCACAAGCGACCGGTGATTGCAGACCTACCGATACCACACTCGTACAGTCCCATGAGTAATAAAGCCTGGCAGGTCGACGGCCGGCTGTGGTGATAGATCTTGTCTGGGAATTAGTCGTTAGTGGGTGGTCTGTCTGCATTGAGTGCATGACTCACTCAGAACCTCGCGAGCATCCATGGCGTAGTTGCATCCCGCTTCCCACATCTCGTTGTTCGGCATCGTCGACGGTTGGCCAACGTACCGAGATGCCAAAGCGAACATGGCGAGCAGGAGAAGTCGAGACGCCTGCGCTGAAGCAGGCGTATCCGCTCGAGAAGCACGGTCTGCGGGAGGTGAGCTGATGGCGAAAGAGGTCATGAGACTGTTCGAGGCGTGCTTCCGCGACTACGTACCCGTGGTATCTTCGCAAGGGAGAACGCATCAGTACCAGTTGACCGGAAAGGGTGATCAACCTACTTTTCGTTGTATTCAGCCATGAATTGCCTTTTGTTGACGATCGGGAAGCACGGGTGGCAATGCGTGAAGTAGGCCTCTATCAGGATATCTCGGGTTTCGACGGGAGGCATAGTAACATTAAGCTCCTCTTCCGTCGGAAGTCGAGCTGGGCGAATAGTAGAGTGGGGCCAGACGCCAGCCATAGGCATGCGCCTGGTGCGGGTGAGATGGATGAGCACACGCGTTCGAGAAAGCATGAAGATTATTTACCATATGCCCCCTTCATTTCTAGCATCTTTGCGATCCGTCCTGTTCAATAAATGAAGACCACTGGAGGTACCGTGATACCGTAACTATGACTCAGTGAGCAAATTGCTTCTGGCAGGGATAAGTGCGATGTTACCTCGCTGTTTTCATCAAGCGACAGATGGCCTATTGCATCTGCCCCTTCGCCGTCCTCAATATCGTTATCGATATCTGAAACCAGCGATGAGTATGCGTTGCATCAGAGATACGTAGCCACGAACCTGAGTTGTCGTCCATGGTATACAGATTACTCCAATCGGGCTGGGTACTCCCCAAGTCTAATCGCCTCCGCTGCGGTAGCGGGGCACCATTTTGATCGTACATGACCTCATTGGACGAGATGCCGTTAGAATAACCATACGAGTTGCGTGAAAACGACGAGGACGTCGCCAGACGGGCCGCCAGGCGATCTTGCCATTCATTCGTTGGGGTCGGGAGGGCGTTGATATCTGTGCGGAATATGAGCGATGCACCGCCACGCGTGACAGTTTTGACGCCTGCCTGAATTGGAGGAGACGATCTCCCTTGACACACGAGATTGTCTTCGAGAACGACCGCCTTCCCGGTTTTGAGAAGCCTGATGGCTATGGAGGATGGATGCGAACATGTCCTCCTTTGTACTGGAGGCTGGGTGATGCAGCCGGCCGGAGGGTCCCTGGATGCGCGGGTGAGTTGAACGGCATGTGCGGCGAGAAAGGGCGCAGGAAACGCACGAAGGGACCGGCGTCAACTCTATTCAAGATCTCCCGCGCAAGATCATCTCGGCGCAGGTCCGATATGAGGCCTTGGGCCCTCGGGTCGGGAGAGGCGAGGATGGCTCCGAGAATCGACTCGACGTGGTGCCACCGTTGTTCGATCGCGTGGATGTAGCCTTTCGGAGGGCCGCGTTTGTAGCTGGGACCGAGGAAGGTGCATTCTAACGCGCGACGTATTAGCGTGGGTGTCCGAAGGCGAGGAACGGAGGAATCTGCTGACCGAGACCGGCGACCGCGCAGCTTTTGCAGGGTGCATTGTCGTCGAGCCCGCGCTCGCACTTGCTCTTGGTCTTCCGGCACTGGTCACACGCTGGGACGGACGATGAGGGTAGGCCGGAGATGGACGGGGGTGCGGACGCTTACCGCGACTGCTGCGTTTCCTGCTCGCTGCCTCTGCCTGGGCCTCGTTGAGGGCTTCTTCGTCGGACGGGTCAGAGTAGCGCCGCTCGCTGGACGTCGGGTAGTGGTGGTACGAAGATGAAGCGGCCGAGTGCATGGCGTATTGGAGGGATGCCCCGCCCGTGCGTCACTTCTTAAACCTCTTTACGACCGGGGGAAGAGCAGACCAGGATGCTGTTTCCCACGACGTCACTACTCTATACGGTCCTGGCTCTCCACTCTGTCCGCCGCACGCCCCGTCCGAGCCTGCAGCACCGGCCTTGGAGTGGCAACCAGCAGGTGTATCTACAACGACAGCCGACGACACGACCTCCCGTCCCCTGCCACCCACTCCAGCCGCTCTCGCAGGGGCCCGGAGATCGACTCATCAAAGCGATGGCCCGCGAGCTATGACGTATCGCTCTCGCCGCGTTTGCTCGCCTTCGGGTGGACAAGGTGCGCATCGGTTGGAACGGGTGGTGTCCCGGTCTAGACCCCAGGCCGGTCACCGCTCCTCGCGAAGCCAAACCTCGCAGATCGTCCACCTCGCTGCCCAATCCTCGCGCGCCTGCACCCGAAGATAGCGCACCCCGGTGCGCACCCGACCGCCTGGCTCCGCCTCGAGCACGACATCGACTGCGCACTCCGATAGCGAACGCCCGCCCGTCTCGACACGGACACAGGACAGCGACTCCCGTAAGCCCGACTGCAAGCACATCAGCACGCGTCGCCGATCCCATTCCTTCCGCACGAACGTACCCAAAATACACCATCAGCTGACGCCTCGAAAGCGCACGACTGGAGCATTGGCGCTGCATCATACGCAACCAGGAGCGTCATCTGCATCACATCTCGTTCGTTCCCCAACCGGCCGTCCCAGAGCTTATCGCCCACGTCCAATAGCACGTACTCGCCCTTCTGCGCGCCTGTGGTCAAAACCAAAAGGAATAATCTAAGGGAGGACATAACTAGGTCGGACGATTCGGCCCGCACCGTGGACGCTCTCAAAACACGTGTCTGCATTCCCATCCGCTATATGGCTGAGCGGATGGGTCACGTATCGTGCCCGTGCTTCGGGTCCAAGCGCATCGAGGGAACGGGTTTCTAGCAGGAGCATGTCCTCTGCTGCACGAGCCACTTGTGGGCCGAATGGCAACAATCCGATGTTGGTTTCCAACGTCCATGGCATGCCAGCATACGCAGCTAGCGTGTTTTGCGTAGCAGGTAGGGACGAGGGAGTCAGATCCATGTATGGGACCATGGAGATGTTCGTAAATATGCAGGGGGGCGTCCCACAACCGACCACCGCATCGAGATATCGAGTTGCCTTCGTCTTAATCGCATACCTGTCTGTCAACATGCATTTTGGCACGGCTGAGAAGAAACCTACAATGTGCTTGAGGTTCCGTTCGTGACCATCAGTGCCAACGGTGAACGGCTGTCCGCCCCCGAGTTCAATGCTCTGGTCGAGCCAAATCTCCGGTATCCGGTTCCCTAGGATCGTGTAGTAGTTGTCGGCCCTTTTCCTCTCCTCGTCCGACGCGTTCAACAACGTCAGCAGCTGAAGAAACTCGGCGGTCATCGACCGACGGACAAGTGCTCCGTGCCCCAGCCACGCAAACGTCGTGTGTATGTTATAGGCATTGGTGGCCGGGTTGTGCCCTGCCACGAGAGTGCGCAGGGTTGAAGACAGATACTCGTGGGGCGGCAGAATATGAATCCCGCCTGGGTGGGTAAGAGGGCTGGAGGACAGACGTTGATACATGGCGTTGATCACTTCTGGACGAACGAGATAATCGTCGTCCTGCAACGATGGATCGGCATTGGCTGCACAAGCGCTGGAGATCGCTGCTCCCGGCTTACCTGGATGAAACAGTACTCGGTTGTGGCTTCGGCGCATGCGATGAAACGCGCTTGAAAATACAAGTTGGAGTCAGAGTTGTGCAATTGCAGCTTGGGTGATGCACATCCGGTGCGTGCAAAGTCCTGACAAGCTCCAGCCTTCACCGCGAGCTCGACAAAAAGCATAACGCGTACTTTCTAGCGGATCTTGCGGGGCGAATTATTTCATATGACAACCCGAGCGATGGTACCGTCGAGCGCAGGGGAGCACAGCAAACTCGCGATGAGCAACACGTTTTGGAATCGCGACCAGTTCAAAACGACGGCCGTAACTTGCGGCAATGTGTTCCCGAACGTAGAATTTCCGTGTTGCCAAGTCATTGCGCTCAATGAATAGGAAGATTCGGCAGCAAAAGTCGCGACTCGATTCAGCGGTATTCCATGTTCTTGCAAGATTTCAGTGAAGTCATGAGGCCCTCCGCTTGGGCCATTTAGAGTATCTCTGAGGATATATGCCGACAATATTGCCGTGACTAGCGTCGAAAGAGCAGTCCATGGACGCATGGGATGCATCATATGAAAGAGGCAGCCCTTCCCAATAATACACTGACAGCAACGCGTCCCTGTGTTACCCCGCTTACGTCACAGGCCGCGCCGCTTAACCTCCGCCACTGGCAGACCATCAAGGTCGCAAACCACGCGCTTTTCCTGCACCGTATCCTTCGACTCTTACTCTTGGTTTGCTTTTGCTACGATGATATCTGCTCGAAGTGCAACAAGGGTCATCAACACAAGTTTCGCGTCGAGGACTGCTGTGTCCAGGATGGCACTGAATCCTATTCGAAGCATCTCGGTTCAAGTGAGTGAACGCAGGACTATGACCACCTGTTGAGCCCACGCAATTTGACCTTGCTCACCTCGACCTGCCATACTTTCATCTTCTAGTCGATACTCCATGGTTCTGAAGAAGCAAAGGCGGAGGGTGAGGTGGAGATACAACAGCATTCCAGGATTGTGGGAAGGGGCAAGTATGTCCACGGCTTTGAGAGTGAGTTATCACCTTAAGCGCCGCAACCCCAGAACTTGACGTGGCTAGCGCTTAGTTCATACCGTCAAACCTGAGGCTGCGGAGAAATACAAGAAAGCAGCGTCAGTGATCGTGCATGCGGGTGAACGCGCCATAACCCGTTCTACGTTCGCAGAGAGCAATATTACGCCGCCATTAAGGACGACTCCGAGCTGCACGTGAAGCTGACTGGTAGCTGGGAGACAGTCGTCGGCCGACAGGACACTTTCGGTGCGCCCTGACAATGGGTGGGACGCCGCAATGACGCTTACACCATCCGCGCGCGTGGCAGTTCACATCCTCGAATACGAGAACTTTGGAGGATACGACAAGAGCACCAAATTGATAGCGAACTCCAAGGTCGGTACGCGCGACCAAGCATGCACGCCGTGCTTACTTTCTACTCCGCAGCACGCCAAAGCCTATCGAGAATTGCTTCCGCACCTGACCAGTAGAGAACTGCAGCTGTGCCAGGAGTTTGCCTTCCTGCCCTCCTCGCCCCCGCGCGAAGCAGGAGGTATCTTCGAGTTGCGGACGTACACCCTCAAGCCCGGCACTCTCCTGCAATGGGAGCATACGTGGTAAATACCAACCTTCTCGCAATGAAGGTCTGATCCGGTAACTTGGCTCTAAGGCGGAAGGGGATCGACGCCCGTCGCCAGTTTGTGGAGCCCGTCGGGGCTTGGTTTTCGCAAGTGGGCCGACTCAATCACGTCCATCACCTGTGGCAGTATCGGTGCGTCTGATCGCCGCTTTTCACCCCTGCCCTTCTCTCAGCCGACATCCTGGTTGCATCGCGCAGATCTCTTCAAGACCGGAAGGAAACCCGTGAGAAGGCATGGAAGCTCGGTGAATGGGCTGAGACCGTTTCCAAGGTTGGTATCGTGGCGCTCCGGCGCTCTCATAGTCGCTAATCATTGTCCGCAGACGAGTCAGATGGCCAAGTTCATGGAAGCGAATGTCTTGGTCCCACTTCCATACAGCCCACTTCGTTGATGTTTAGTCGCAACTACTGCTTTGCCTTGCGTATCGATATAAGCTCAGACAATTGTCCACGGGCCGAATTTCAAAGTCGGTCAATTAAGTGACTAGAGCTTTCGGACGACGATCTACCTCGAATTACTATGTAACTAGCTTCGCAAACTAAATAAAGAGCACATAGAAGAGAACGAAGGGGGGGCGGATACGGTTGTATGCTTGTATGTCGGATATATATCCTGGCTCATTGCCGGGACGACGACAAACGTTTGAATCATAGCGGGGGAGAGCGGGCGATGTTCTGCAGAGCGGCGGCTGCGGCTGACTCCTTTGCCTCCCCTTCACGGCGACCCTGTCCGGTTCCATAGGGATTACCAAGCACTTCGATGCGATTCATCAGAACAGAGTTCGTGTCAATTACCAGAGGCATTACCGTAGACCGTAGCGATGTATGTGACACTGTGGTCAGGGCCCTTTTTCTGAACTTGCCACTGCAAGCACTGAGTACTGCCAGTACGTTGTTGGGCCCAGTTGTTGAGGTTCATACGGCAGTGTGTACGATCTTCATACCGGAAGCCGAACAAACAACACTTCAGCACGGCTGCAATGACAGCAACTACACAGTGACTGACCAGCAGCAGACATTTCGATGGTTCGAGAGGAGGCTCAAGCAGGATGTGAGGTTCAATGGTGGATGGCGACCGACTCTGCTCCTCCTCCATATATGCGATAAGCTGCAGAGATGGCAGTAAGAATGGGCACTTTCCCCCTCGCTGAAACGGACTAGGCAGCCAGAATTAATGGAGAAACGAACGGCTTCGGCCATGGTACCTCCGTAGTCCGTAGACACCGCGACGGATAAAAGAGAGCCGCAGTCTCTTGCATTAGAGGCAGACCCGAGGGCAGTCAACCTGCAAACGCTGCAAGTCCCGTCGCAGATATTTGCAAAAACGGACAACATATCCGACCCGAAGACCGACACCAAATCGCCAACATGATCGGATGAAAGTCTCCCCGAAAGTTAAGCGCGCTCTTCCATACAAGCAGATGGTCGAAATCGGCTGGACAGAGCCATAGAGCAGCATACAGCCAGTGATGCATTGTATCCTCAAAGGCCTTGGTGGAGACCGCACCGTCGCTGACAAATGCACGCGACATACGAAGCGTCATTCCTTGCGGTTGTTATGGCCGATGGAGACAAGGAGACATGGATGAGCCGGTGCTGCAAAAGCCGTATGTACTCAGCCGGAGCCGGGCTGGCTGTCGAACTTCTCACTCAATCAGTTGAGCGCAAGCAACCGTCTGATTCGCTTCCGGAGGGTAGTGCGCCATGGTTCAGAAACGGGAACATGGTGAAAACCTCACTCGGTTTCTCGTAAGGATACACCACCTGTTTCGGGAGAGGGCAACGCAGATCCGGGGTTAAACGAACCGCTCGGTCTTGACATCACCGAGGAATGGGTCCAGAAAGACCAACGGGAAGGCTGTAGACAAGTTTGTGATTCACTAGACGACAGCCTGGAGACCGCCTGCAATCACATGGGCCCTCAGCGGAGCATTCATCGAGCAAGCTGAGGAGCTGAAACTGAAACGCGCCTTGCGAAGATTTATACCAGTCCGTAAGACAAGCGATATCGTCGAAGGGGTCCGTTCTCATGCAACGGGGCAAATATATTCGACAAACCCCTGTATACTCGTCAGGTCCGCGCCGCATGAGAAGCTATTGAGGCCGGGCCTCTTGCGTGACTGGGTGTAGCAAGACCGGGCACGCAGGACTTCAAGCTTCAGATCTCGGATATTGTGTGACCGTCGGTAACCGAGCGCTGTCATCCACAGCAAGGCTATGTTCCTGACTTCAGAGTAAGAGTCGACTCTGCGGATGTTGGCTGTCTAGCGCGCTTGGGCTTGGGCTCGGAGCGACAGAGGCGCATCAGCAGGCGCCGGGTTTGGGTATAATGAGAACAGCCAGTAAAGTCCGTGGGCATCGCAGCAGTCGCCTAGCTCCCACACGAGAGATGGCCACCGAGTGGATGGCTGGTACGGTCTGAGACTCCAGAGGGTCTGATCCAGAGAGATCGCTGCCACGCACGTGATCGCGCCTAGAGGAGCGCGTTCGGCATCGGAATATTGTCATTGGTCCTGGGAGCTCGAGCGCTCGAGCACCGCTGCACCGTCAGAGTAGTCCGACTTCTCCGGCCCATGCCCGAGTCAGCAGTGCGACACTGCCGGTCGAGGCTGATCTCTCCCCTCCCTCCCAGTCGGCTCGCGGATGCACTCCCCGAATCATTTCCTCCGCTACGGCTTGGCATCGTGGACGTTGTCACCAGCTCGTCGTACCCTCACTCAGGTCGTTTCGCCGTCACCGCGAGAGCGAGCCAAGGTGAGCTATCATCAAGATCCGGCTCGTGTGCATCTTTCCTTACGTCGGCATGCTACCAGAGGAGGATCGCAGAGGTCGATGCCACCAGCCAGTTCTCGCCGGTTCTCGTGGACAACTTCAGCCGCCGCCATAACTACCTGCGCATATCACTTACGGAGCGCTGCAACCTCAGATGCTTCTATTGTATGCCCAACGAGGGCGTTGATCTTTCTCCGCGTTCACATATCCTCGACGATGACGAAGTGCTTCGCTTGGCCACGCTCTTCGTCAAAAGTGGCGTTACCAAGATCAGGCTCACCGGCGGTGAACCGACTGTCCGGAAGGGGCTGGTTGACATCGTAGGTAGGTCGGCTTTTCATTGCCTGCCTTGCCCCCAACTCATCCACACCCAGGCAGACTCAATACGCTCCGAGAATCCGGGCTCCGAAGCATTGGTTTGACAAGCAACGGCTTAGTGCTCCATCGCCAACTTCAAGATTTGGTTGCAAATGGATTGACGCATCTTAATCTGAGGTAACCGCACTTTCCGGCATGTTCGCAGGGAACTTTCATACGATGCATGCACAGTTTGGACACCCTAGATCCTTTCAAGTTCGAGATCATGACACGGAGACCCGGTCATGCCCATGTTTTGCGCTCCCTCGATACCGCCCTTGCCTCTCCTGGGCTGAAGGCCGTGAAACTGAACGTAGTCATCATGAAGGGCCTCAACGATCATGAAGTGCTCGATTTCGTGGAGCTCACCAAGGACAGGAAGCTCTCCGTGCGTTTTATTGAATTCATGCCTTTTACAGGTAAGCACTAGCACTCACCATCTCCTTTTGCCAAGCGCCTGAACTTATTCATAGGCAATGCCTGGGAGGTCGACAAAATGGTACCATCGTCCGATTTACTCTCGAAAATCGTCGACAGTCATCCTACCGTTCGCAAAACCGTGGATGAATTGAACGACACCGCCCGGTCGTTCCACGTCCCAGGGTACAAGGGAAGCTTTGGGTTCATCAGCAGCATGAGCGACCACTTCTGCTCGAGCTGCAATCGGCTGCGAATCACCGCCGACGGTCAGATCAAGGTTTGCCTGTTCGACGCCAAAGAGATATCGCTGCGAGACATGATGCGGTCTGGCGCTTCGGATGACCAGATCTTGCAGGCGATCGGGTTGGCGGTGAAAAACAAGGCGGAAAAGCACGCTGATATGGAGGAAATCGACGTCAAGACCAATCGTCCCATGATTCTCATTGGAGGTTAGATTTGTTCCGCTTTCCATTCGATGGTAAGTGGCTGAATCCGTCTCTCCCTTCTGTTGTGCTCATGATCCATCAGCCAGAAAGCGTTCTTCGAAAACATTCACCGCTCGCGGACCTAATGCGCCCACGCGGTTGCCTTACGGGGGTATCATACACTCCGCTCCCCTTCTTCTGGCCTCAACTGGGGCATCCGACAGCACGTTTCTTAGCCGACCGTTCTCATTCAGTGTTCCCCGCCTCCGCAATGCCCCGGACTCCAGTGTACCAGCGACTGAACCCGCATTGACACATATCGATGCACAGGGGCGACCTTCTATGGTTAATGTATCATCCAAAGATCCCACGAAACGATCTGCGACTGCCTGCGGGCGAATCATCGTGCCTCGTGTGGCCTTCAACCTCATAACCGGTTCAGTTTCCGATGAACCTCTCGCTAGTTCGGAAGCAGCTTCGCTCGTGAAAGCGAAGGCGAAGGGAGACACGCTTACTGTTGCCCAGCTTGCGGGTATCATGGGCAGCAAACGCACCGCGGATCTCATTCCCCTGTGTCATCCGCTTGCTTTGTCCCACGTCTCGGTCACCCTCACGCCGGAAGCAAAGAAGGAGGATGCGAGCGGGAAGTGTCCAGAGTACTCGATATTATGCAGTGCCACGGTCTCCAGTGAAGGCAAGACCGGCGTAGAGATGGAAGCCCTTACTGCAGGTACATAGCTAACTTCACTCCGCTATGAGCACGTTGCTAACTCCTACGCTCGCTAGCTTCGGTGGCGTTACTGACGGTGTGGGATATGCTCAAAGCCGTCGCTGGAAAGGAAATGGTCATCACCGATATCCTCGTCCAGCGCAAATCAGGCGGGCAGAGTGGTGCCTTCACTCGTAGCGTTTGATTCCTCGGTCGTCTGCGTTCCAATGTGGAACACAAACTTTCGAGTGAAGAGCTAGATGTCGATACGGCACTTCTGCATGTGTAAGTCGGTACACACAAGATACCGTCCATGTCCGCTTTCGTTACGATCTCCAATTTTCATGGAATTTCGCCTACGCGGTGTCACTGTCCTGTGAGCCAATAGAAGATGCAAAACGTTGCTCGATGTCGGGCCGTACGAAGCGTTCTTGTTCTTCGCCCTACACCGTTTATCAAGCATCGTCCCATGGACAGAAGGGGAAACTCTGCTAACATTATGCAGCTTGATAACAGTCGGTATCTCCGACACATGCCAAGGAGAGCCGCGCAGTGGATGATTTGCGTCCTTCCACCTGGAGCATGATCATATGCATATGTTAGAGCCGATCAACATTTGGAAGTAGCCTGATGCAACACACTCTGCTCGTTGCCCCACATATACGATCAAGCCCGATGGTCCTGATTCCCGGCTGAATACATCCTTGACGATTGATTGCACCGCGCGACAATCCTGAATGTTCGGGTGTACGCGATCAATGCCGCTCCTTATGTTGATGAATAGTATGATAGCGCACCGGACACCACAAATCTCCTTCCGTGTTGAGGGACGAGTAAAATATAAGGTAGTTTTCGGGCACTGTCTTCAACGAGGAGACATCCGTCGGCAGTACCGTCTCACGCAGTGACATAATAGGAGAATCGATGAGAGAGATTCTGAGAACGGGAACAACCGCAGGAGAGATTAATGCAAAGCTGGACTTCTGAACGGGGATCGTAACCAATCTGCCAGTTCTTGAATTTATCTGAGTGCCTCATTCGAACCAATAAATTAAGATGCCAAAGCCCCCTTTGTCATCTATTGCGCCGCAGACCAAGTAATGTAATGTCGGATGCGCGCGCCTACTGAGTTAGATACAGTAGCTGTAAAGAAGCGGACAGTACTTCAACGACCCAAGAACATATTAAGCAAGGCGTCAAGCGCGGAGAATTTTCAGCAGTCCCAATCAAACAAACAAAATTGCGTGGCCTAAACTTGAAGAGGTCCATCGAGTAATGTTAAACTGTCCCACAGCCGACAGACACTATTATCTACATGCGAGCAGTGAGCGTTCAGCACGAGCCGGACGTGCAAAGCGAGATCCCGCCCGTGCTAGAGGACGACACGGCATACGCGGTCGAGGAAGCTGACGACGAGTCGGTCGCGACGGAGGAATACGCAGAACCGCTAACACTCGCGTAGGCCGAGCCCGTGGCAGCGGAGTAGGCGGCGGACGAAGTCGCGTAGGCCGAGGAGTACGCGACCGAAGACGTGGAGTCGGTGACCGCCGTCGACGACTCGCTGTTCATGTACGTGTTCTGGGAGTAGCTGTTGCCGTAGGTCAATCCGCTGTTGGACATGCAGGACTTGAGGCAGCCCGAGAGAGCGGTCTCCTGGACGGTCTGGGTCTCGGTGGCGGTGGCGGTCTCGGTGAAGCTCTCGGTAGCGGTGGCGGTCGACAGGTACGTGACGGTGGAGAACATGGTGTTCTCCTCGGTCATGGTAGCGGTGACGGTGTTCTCGACGGTCTTCGTCTATGCGGGAGTCAGGAAAAGACAAACATGACAAATTTCACTACTCACGTTGTCGATCACGGACGTCTGAACGTAGGTAGACACGTAGGTGGTCGGGACGATCATGGTGCTGATGTCCGTCATGGTCACAACGTCGGTCTCAGTCATCGTCGCAGTCTGGGTCATGGTGGAGACCAAAGTCATCTCGTCCGTGACGGTGTCGGTCATCGTCTGAACATCAGTGACGGTCTGAGGAAAAAGCTAGCTCAGCTGGGAACGCATTTTCCACAGAAAAATACCACCCACGTTGTCATGTACCACCGTGCTGAGGTACGTGCTGATGTAGGTGGTGGGCTGGACGATGGTCGACAGCACAGTCTGGGTTACAAACATCGTGTCGGTCGCGGTCTGGGTAGCGGTGAACGACTCCGTGTCGGTCTTCGTCTGGGTGTAGACGTTGTACTGCGTGCTGGTCTCGGTAGCGGTGAGGGTGTGCTCGACAGTCTTGGTGTTGTCGATGGTCTCCGTCGAAACCCACACGCGAGTCGTAGGCACGAGCTTGGTGGAGGTCATGATCTCGGTCTGCGTCTGCGTGGCCGTCTCCGTGTGCTCCTGCGTGGAAGTCTCGAACATGGTCACGGTGGTAGGGACAGTCATGGTCTGCAAAGGAGAGGTAAAAATCGTGAAAAGGCACCAGGACGGACGCAAATCCTGCTTACACTCGTCATTGTCTGAGTGACGGTGTTGTACTCAGTCGAGGTCTGGGTGACGGTGACGGTCTGGCCGCCACCGTAGCCGCCGCCGTAGCCGCCGCCGTAGTTGTCGCAGTAGCCACCACCGTTGTTGTTGCTGCGGGGAACGGCTATCAATTCATGATCAATGCGGTTCAATTTGGGGACACACATGATGATGGTCTCGTAGCATCCCGAGGTCTGCCACCACGACTCCGCGACACAGTATCCGTCGCTGTTCTTGGAGTAGCCATAACCACAGTTCATCGTCTTGTACCCGCCAGACATGAACGACGAGTAGTAGCCTTGGCCGTACGAGTCGGCGGAAGACGACGAGTAGCCTTGGCCGTACGAGTCGGCGGAAGACGACGTGTATGTCGAATCGTACGCGGTCGTTGACGAGGACGCATCAGACGACGAGCCGTAGTAGTTGGCTTGGTAGGCGGGGACCATGGAGACACCGTTTACAGCCTGGGCGGCAACTGCGCCAGCAAGGGAAAGACCAACGATGAAAGAGTTCATGATTGCTGAAAAGACTGGAAGGGTTCAAAGAGGTAGCCTGTGCAGAACAGTCGAGAGCGTCGAGGGTCCGAACGAATGTGAGCGGTCTACGCTGGGGCACTGTCTAGCAGTAGATGAGCAGGTGATGCGGACTTGAAAAGTCAAGTGCACTGTGATATGTGTCAGATATTAATGAGGGACGTCTGGAAGGTCATACATACCGCGAAAAGAGAGCAAGAGAAAGGGAAAGGGAGGAAGACGAAGGGGGATGGAGAGCAACGGACGGGCTCTCATCTTGACCTATAAGAGGCTGGGCACGCTCATGAGAAGATCAGTCACTCGTCACGTCTCCTCGATGGCCATGCTCGTCTCCAGCTGACGCGCAATTGACTCAGTTCGCATCCTCCGTTTCTCGACTCTTCGGGCTGCAGATATTGCACTCTCCGTCTGCATCCTCCGTGCTGCATGTCCTCCGCGACCGACATATCCTGCGGGCACGCACAAGCGACCAAGAGGTGCTTGAGGCCGACCCAAGCGAACGGATAGTCACGGTCACGCCCCGTCCCACCATCAATCTGCTGTTCCCCGAGATGGGCGATGGGGTTGCGACGCAACAACACAGCAGCCCGACGAAGCGCGCCATTGGCCCCGACTGCCAAGGGCCAATCGCCGACCCGGCTCCTCGTAGCAGATCGTTTCAAAGCAAGGATCGTATTGGCTCTGGAACTACGTGATGCTATACAGCCAATCATCCGGCGCCCAGACCTCACGCAGCGAACATTGATGATCCCCTTGCCGAGGATGCAATTCCTGACCGCTGCCGCTCGTAGCGGCCGAAGTCCCCATGGACATCTAGCAGAATCTTGAGTGCATTGCGAGCCCGCACCTGTGAGAGATCTTCAGGCCGCGACGTGAGAGCCGTCTCGACCTGTTTCGGACTTTCTTTCCACGGGTACTGTTGCGGAAACCAAGGGTACATCAGAGAAGTCACAGCTTTGCTGGACAAGTGGCTTACCGGCAAGAACTAATGATACAGGCGCAACGAGGCAATCCGTGTAACATCAGCACATGGAGTACGGACCTATCTGTCAATGTTCTGACCTTCTGCAAATACTCATAAGCCAACAGGGTGAAGCCGAACTGCGGGCTGCTTCTCAAAATACGCGCCGGGCCACCCTTGAAGAACGCCTTGAAACCTTCTTCTTGGTCTAGACCCGTCGGTCAGCATTATACATACCGTCATTCTCCACACACTCACATATTCTGGCGAATGCGTCACCCATGCCCTTGTAAGTGGACTGGCCCTTGCGGGCTTCCACTTGCAGGCGAGTCTTCACCACGTCCGCTGGCGTCGTGAAGTAGGCTATACGGCCAGCATGAGATCGATGTTGACACATTCAGCAAAAGAGTGGGTCATACCAGCAGGCATTCCTCTGCAACATTGTCAGCCATGGTCAACATCTAGGCAACAGATGAAGGAGACACGCACGCGATCGCCGCCGCGGAGAGCGTTTCCCAGAAAGAGAGGTGTTTACCATTATATCCCTCGTGATAAAAATCCTTCTTCAGATGTGCATACGCGGGGAAGTAGATTGCGGAGAACGGGATGTCGCGCAACAAGCAAGCGCTTGCCCCTTTGTATAACCCCAATAAACCAAGTTGACGGATGATATGCACAGCGCCTTTTGGCTTGGCGCCTTCTATTTTCGCGGCTTCGCCCTGAACTTGCAGACGAATTTTACTGTCGTGGCCGTTTAATCATTAAACATCCGCGAACATGAACAGGTAAAGAGCCTTACACAATTTCCAAAGGGTTGGTGAAAACCTGATAACGAATTTGGTCCAGCATGGCCTTAAACTTGTTCGCTGCAGGAGGCGCGTACCACTTGACAGCCCCCAGCCATTCCACCCGCCACCAGTTCCCAAGGCAGCGTTATACGCCCCGTTTCTGGGTCCATGGCACGCCCGCGGATAAGGTCATTGACAGTCAGCTTGATGGCCTTCTCTGGAGCGACTCCCTGTGAGATGGTTCAGCGAGAGGACATGTCAATCATGCTCGGATTCATACCACAAGTTGGGGTCCCAAGCCACGGTAAAAACCGACGAAACCTTCATTGCGGAAGACTTTGCGAACGCAATCTATACTGTTCTCGTACAGAAGTTGACCAACTAGTTCAAGTCAGCGACGCCCGTGCTGCCTCGTTTCCTGTTCACTCACCGACGGTAGATCGTTGGTTCTGCATGCTGAATACGGATGCGATGGGTCAGCTCCCAACTCAACTTTGCAAGGTGAGGATATGACCGTACCGAGTCTGGACATCATTGTAATCCACGATTCTGGAACGTCAATCCCATCACTAAACCTAAGGAGTGACACTCTTACCTTGACTATACTCAAGATGAGCCGCACTCATGAAACTCAAGCGATTTCCACACTCACCGAGATCGATAGGGTAAACAATAGTTGCACCACATGCACCAGCGATGCCTGTCCCAGCAAGATGAGGATCACGCGAGTAAAGAAACCAACAAAAAACCTACCTCCAAGCCCGAAATTATACACAGAATGTGCGACTTGATGCAAGAATGACGTAGCGGAGGCTGCTTTGACTTCGATTTGCTCTCCCGGAGCATGCCACCGCGGATCAAGCAACTGCCCGAAGTCCAAGAGGGACAGCCGTTGAGCGCCGTTGCCGCGGCCGGCAAAATGGAAGATGATAGCCGCCTCCATCGGAGTGAACAGCGAGTAACGAGTGCTGGATTGCGCGTGGTTGAGGAAGTCGGATTGATCTATACGACCATCCTTTGATCTCGCTGTAGCATCCCGGATGACACTGAACAAAGTCAGAACCGCATCGCGTTAGTCTGGGTGAATGGACACACCGCTCGATCATATCCATGTCTTATGAGCAGGCAGCATAAGCCGTCGAAGCATGGATGCCGTGGTATAGCGTACCTCTGATCACGTTGTAGAAAGCAACGACCTCTGAATAAGATATACGGCCTCCGGGACTGATAGTGGTTAACGTTGGAAGTCTTTCCAACACTGCATCGGAGAGTTTGTGGCCTGCAATTTCCTAGATGGGGACGATATATGGACTACAATCAAGAATGTTTACCCGGGCACGCACCAGTACGATGCGCTTGAACTGATCAGGCTTGATGAAACCGTCTTTGTCGGCATCAAGGTAATTGAAGGATTGCCGCAACCGCTCGCCTTGAAGACCCTTCATTACTTGCGTGAACTCGTTGTCTGTCATGGACGTCAGCATTGGAGCCCTCCGAAGGACATACTTGCTCACAGCCAAGCACATGCCTCCCGTCCTTTTTGCCCAGATAGAGCTGCATCCAATCGCTACGGTCCATAAGTAAAGAATTATATAGCACGGAGCGAACTCCGTACCAGTCAAAATTGAAGGGTATTGCATCCGGGCCCACATTCGCCAGAAAAACATTCTTGAGTTCGTCAAACGAGATAGTGCCGGACGCATCGCTAAGAAGTCCAAACATTGTCAGTTACTTCCTCAAACCGGAGCATAATCCACTGACACGTCGAAGTACTGGAAAGCGATCCAGTAGTCGGCATCTGGTCGCTTCAGCAGCGTCTCGAAGACCACGAAGTCGTCCCAAGATACAAGACCACGCTTTGACGTGTCCGCCACACGAAAAAGGGTTGCGAATTGGCCTAAAATCGAATTCAACATGCGGCAAGGCAGTGACGATGCCATACGCCTGGGTAATCTCACTTCGCGCGATCTTGGCATCTCCGGCAGGTGCTATCGCCTCCACAAACTGGTCTGGTGACAAGTACCTGTGTATCGCATTGAAGTTAGCTAGGCGAGTAGCACGTATATAATCCAGTCTACGCACTTCTCGCCGTTAACCTCAGTCTTCGCGTTCGACTCGAAAGTCCGACGCCATCGCTTGAGCTCCGTTTCCTGAACGGAGACCACGTTCTTGACTGTGTTTATGGCCGCGCCTGCAACAGTGCTTCCGGTGCTGTCGGCGTCACAGTGCACGGCCGGGAAAATGCGGGGTAGCGAGATGGGCCACATGTGTATTTGTCTATAGACGATCGTAGAGTTGTGCTCTATAGTCTAGGGAGCGTCTTATGTGCCCAAATGTCCGCAAAAGAGTGAAAACAGGTCCGGGGGAGATACGACAAGAGCAGAGCAGAGCAGGTCCCAAGCACACCCACTCAGGTAGGGCACATTCGGGGCGCCGGAAGTTGCGGGGTGTAGATCACGTGGGCGACGGGTATACGCATCCACCCGAGGAATTCCGCTTAAACTCCGATATGCGTCTGGTCAAGCTGGCATAAGTGCCGTCCATCCAAGATATCATAATTGGTCGATGACATTGAAGCAATTTGAGAACAGTGATGCGCAATCACGATCAAGGAGTGTTGAACGCAACGGCCGCTGGCAGCCTGAAGCTTATGCAGTACATGTGTTTATTTGGCGCGACGGAGCGTACGAGATGCAACGACACTTCCTCCGTCAACGGCGCCCCCATCGTCACCTGCACTCTCTGATAGTTCCCCGGTCAGATGACCGAAAGACAGCAACAGCAAACAGACGTACTTGGCGAATGTCAGCCTCCGCCTTTTCCGCTTCCAACTCCCGCGTGAAGCAATGACAATGAATCATGGGCAGCCTACTGGAGGCGACAAGCTGGTTACCACTCTCCGATACGATCTCCGAGAACTCCGGTAGAGCACCCGTGTATATCCCACGGAAGGCATCAAGAAATGTGATAGCAGAGTCCGGTAGGTTCATCACAAAGTGGGTAATGACTTGTCGCGGCTGCCGCTCTATGGGTGTCGCCACATCTGCCGCGGGCATAGCACGACGGCGAGATTTCTCTTGAGATCTGCTGGGCTTCGGGCCTTTGTAAGGAGGAAATGGGTTCGTCTGTACCCGAGTAACAGCTGTCCGGATAAAATCCCGGCCATCCTCACAGGAGACACGGACCAAATCTCCGACCTGCAAGGCATCGGCCCCAGCTGGATCATTCTATTCATGACTGCCGCCTCACCTTGTTGTCGTCGACATTCTTCTGCAAGTATTTTGCGCTGTTCGGGTTCAGGTCATTGGCGAGGACTGCGCAGCCTTTCTTAGCCGCGGGCACAGCGAAAGGGCCAACGCCCGCGAAGACGTCGGCGACGATATCGTCGGATTTGAACGACTGAACGAGTCGATCATGCTCCGTGTGCAAACGCGAATTCCAGTACACTTGGGTGAAGTCGAACGTGAAACGACAGCCAGATTCGTGCTGCTAATAGCTGAACGTGGATAACGGCGGGTTGTTGATATCGCAAACGTACGTGTTCTACAACGTAATCCGGTTCTCCGGCGAGCAGCTCCATCTTGAAGAAACGGAACTGATGGTCGATGCTGTCAAGTTTGTTTACCACTGTCCGAACAGCGGGATTTTTCTGTCCAAGCTGAGCAAGAACCATTATTACTGAGGACGGCCCACGTACGTCTAGGATAACCTGACCAATCATATGTTTGTAAGGGAGGTATTCATCGTTTAGGTTCATGTGAGCTAACCGCACATGTATGAGTGAAGCGAACTTTCTAGATTGGTACTTCAACTAACCGATATGGCCGGTCATAGCAAAGCCTGCGGGAGCACCGTCGCAGAGTTCCTCCGGTAGTATCGCATGGAGAATCTCCTCTGGAGCCAGTCATTGACCACGGGTCTTATTGCGAAGCATTGCGTGGTTGCTCACCTGCGGTCCAATAGTCGTACTCCAAGTCGACATGGTGCGATAAAAGTTCAGCAGGCAAAGTATCCAAGTACGACTTCACATCGGGCGCGACATCGGCTGGCTTGCGGAAAATTCAGTGCGCATACTACGGAAAGGCTGGAATGTTTACCTGCTTTCGAGTAATTGAGCAGAATTAGACGGTCTCCTGACGGAAGCGGCACGGCAGTTTTGATTTTTGGTATGCGCAACACGGCCCTGGTCAATTGTCAGCGCCAAGATCAGATCGTAGCGCCGTGACATACCTCTTCGGTTGAAGAGCCGTCAGAGCAGGTCCAGTCTTTTCCGCCGGAACTTTTGCGCCGACGACCTCAACAGACCTCTTGAAGAAGTCGCGGTCCAGCCTGTCCTTCATCCATCGCGCTGAAGGTGGCGACGTGTCTATTCCTACGGCTCGATGCATAGCAAGCGGTCTGATCGGTCGTGCGGGCAATGCAAGCTTGAGAATGTTCGATGAGATGTGATGACGCTGGATACGGCGGCGCGCGAGGTTGAGCATTCGACGCGCAGCGAAACAGCGTCAGTGAGTCTGGAGACCAACTCCGGCGCAACCGGCGCTTTCGGACGCGATAGTGGACTGATAGTCGTTCCCATATTCCTCGCAACCCGCTCACAATCAAATCGACTTCCTGCAACTGCTGCTTGGCTACCGTTCCGATATTTCATTCGATACGCAGCTGCGGCAGCCGTAAACCGCCACTGTTCCGCTCATCATCCAGCCCATCCCACGCTCGCCCCACCTCTCCCGCTTTTTTGCGACCCAGACCTACTGTTGATGTCGCACCAACAGCAAGCTACACTTGGCGTCAATCACAATGCTTCTCTGGGCCGACCACCTTTTGCTGATGAGTATGCCGGCATCACCGCTCCCAGTTGTGATCAGGACCAGCAGAAGAGCGGCGACCATGATGCGCCGAGCCAGTATTCGTCCATCTCCCCATCGGTTCTCGCCCATATTGTCGACGTGCATTGCCATCCGACCGACTCCGGGATCGAAACCGATGTCTTTCGGACTCTCCCACACAAGCTCTGTGCCATGGCCACCCGCGAAAGCGACCAGAAACTTGTGGCGCAGCTCGCACGAGAGTACCCGGACAAAGTGATCCCTTGCTTTGGTTAGCCCGTCCATGTAGCTTCGCTGCTGCAGCCTTCGAACCGCCCACTCGATCCTTACAGGATTCCATCCATGGTTCACCCACCTGATCTCTGTGAAGGCGGCTGATTCTCTGCCTCCTGTAGAAGAGCATTACAGGGAGCTGTTCGATCCAACAGACCCCGCGCAGGAGGAGGCTTTTGGCGCTCTGCTTCCCCATCTTCCGGCTCCTACGCCGCTGTCAGCGATCCTGGATAATGTCCGTGCCCATCTTCTCGAGTTCCCTTCAGCTATGCTTGGCGAAGTAGGCATCGATAGATCCGCGAGGATCGCCCATTCATACGCGGCTAACCCTCGTTTCTTGTCACCATTCACCATACCCACTGAACATCAACTCGCCATATTAGAGGCACAGCTTGATCTCGCTGTGGAGCTTGGCAGAAGTGTTAGTTTGCACAGTGTCAAAGCCCAACAGATCACTGTCGACCTGTTGAACCGTTTGAAAGCGAAACATGGACATGCTTGGTTGGAGATCAACGTGGACTTACATAGCTGTGGTCTGAGTTCAGAAACTTGGAAAAGAATTCAGGTGTGTTCCCTTTGCTTCCTTGATGATATATATATATAATATTCGGCCCAGTCACAACATCCCAATGTATATATTTCGCTTTCCGTGGGCATCAACTCTCGGTCACCCAATCACGTTGCTTTGATCAAGGCTGCTGCTCCGGAGAGGATCCTTGCCGAGTCAGATTATCACACCGCTGCCCAGAGTGGACCTATGACATGGCGAATGATAGGCGTTATAGCGCAAAATAGGGGATGGGGTGTCGAGGAAGAGTGGTCTTACGCAGAGGATGATGTGGCAATAGGGGTTCATAAGAGTGGATGGGGCGCGGTGCGCAGGCTGGAGCATAATTGGAAAGCATTCGTCCACGGTCGACACGCTGCTATTACTTGATGAGCGTACAGGTTTCACGTATCCTTAGCTAGTTTGGCTCAAAATGACAACCCCATTTACTCTTTCTTAGGGGGCTCTTTGCTCGTGAACATATCCGTCATAGCAGCTGTCGCTTTCTTCCTCTGTTCGTTCAGAAACCCGAAGAACCTAGACACATGTTGAGTAGACATTCGCAATAATCATCTATGCACATACCCATCCCCAGATGCGGGTTCGTGGCGGTGGTCCCATTCCTCCGTGTGACGGGTAACCAGACCGGACGACGTCTCAAGCGTTAACAGGGAGTTCACCACCTGTTAGGGAGGATGTGTTAGAAAAACACACGTAGCGTACTTCACGCAATGACCTTTGTAGGCTCCTTGTCCGGATTGCGATAATATGCGACGTCTTGGTCGATTAGGAGCGTACTAGATGGCACGCTGGATGGATTCTGCAGAAGGCGGAACTTCGGGATGTCGGCCTTGGGGAAAATCTACGGTTCATTAGTTGGCGAACGGTACAGACATGCACAACAGCTCGGCACCTTTGCAAGAGCATTGAACTGCGCTATGATGGAGTCCTTGCCATTGGCAATGCCGATAGGGTCGTGAAAGACAGCATCCTTGCTATAAATCTCGTAGGTAGACTAACGCGCACTCATCCAAGATGAGCCGGTAACCAAAAGGAAGCGCCAAAGGTGCGCACCTGCTTCGGCTTGCATGTATACATCTCTTTGATGGACTGGATGATGCTCTCCTCATGAGGCTGGATAGAACGCTCTTCCAAAGCCTTGGTCTCGTTTGCGGCGAGGCCGGAGGCGTTGGGGGCGTCCGGGTTGCTCGAAGGCATTTGATTGCGAGAACTGGTGGCGAATTGTTTGCTGGAGTGCAGGTGTGAAGACCAAGATCTCAGGCGCTGACAATGACTAGCTCTGAGGGCGAAGGACATGAAGGATGCTGCGAACGCCGGAGTTTATATGCATTTTTGGATGAGCCGGCGGGGGCGATGGTGAACGTCGGGTCCGTCATTGGAACATGCCCATCGAGCGGTGCGTCAGCTGCCTGTGTTCAAGGTCAAGCCGCGCGCTGCCACCGGACCCGGGGTGACTATCTCTGGTCCGAATCTTTCTCTGGATCGTCGATCGACAGCATGCTTTCCGGCATCAAGCTGGGTGGCAAGGCGTTGGATTTATCGACAGAACTGTCGGACGCGAAGGAATGGAACGTGTCCGCGTTCAGATCCTGGGACCATCTTCTGGATGTTGTTGCTCTCGCCGTGGATCCTGTACTCGGTCTATTCGCCGCCGGTTCGCTAGACGGCTCTGATTCACGTCGATAATCGTTCATTCATGCGATGTGACCAGGGACTGCTACCGGCGTCATATATCTCAGCGGGAACGTAGGAGTCACTGTCAGGCTGCTCATACCCGAACCAATCGAAGTCAAATACGTTCAATTTGCCACATCGGCGTCAAAGCTAGTGTGTGCTGGTCAGAGCACTGTTTCTACGACGCACTCGTACCTGAGGCGTATCCAGATGCCGCGAATCGGCTATATGTATGGGATCTGGCCGCACAGGGCCGACCCAAGCTACAGACCAGCACCAAGATGAAGGAAGTCATCAAGTTCGTCTTTCTCAAAGCAGGTCTAAATTCTGTTGATCAAGCAACGCATCGGACATCAGTGCCATTCATGTGTCTCCGACGCATAGTCACGTATGACTATCAAGTATCACACACATCTCGATATATAACTTCCTCGACAGATGTTCGTTGCCCTGAGTTCAGGCGTTGTCAAGACATACGACCTCCTCTGTCTGCGATTTTCGCCTTATACCATCGAAAATGTATGGCTGTTGTACTTGGAGAAGCTAGAAAGGAGCGGGCTGAGCGTTCACTCCGAACCACGGTCGTAAGCACAATGATCTGCTTCTTCAATCATTCCATGCAGATGATCACTGACAGGGAATCTGCTATCGGAATTGAGTCCCATCCACGAGATCTAAATCTTGTTTTCGTCCTGTACAGCGGCGAGTAATCTGGCCAAATGTGGGGTGGCTGCCTTACTAACTGCCCTGTACCCAAGGTGGTATCGTGCTCATGAACGTCGTGAGGAAACCAACTTGTCGCCAGACACAAAATGATTGAGCACAAATACAGAGTGAACGGTCGCCGCTGCGTACTTTTCAATATATTCTCCCTCCGGGGGCACCAGGGGGTAACGGATATGCGCAGCCCGTAACATTCACCCCATAATACCTCTCACTTTCGACGAAGCTCATATCGCTTAATAGGACTTGATGACTTTTCGCTGTCCGCCAGTGACTGCGATATCTATACACCCAACTGGGCACTTCTTTGCTGTCGGCCACGAAGATGGCTCCGTTGCGTTCTGGGCGACAGACGATAACGAAAGGCCTCTGCTCGTCCGCACGTTAGATGACCTCGATGTCAATCTCGTCGACGGAGAGAAGATTCCAGACCCTTGTTCCGTGCCTGGCGTTGGTCAGATAGTTTCACGGGAGCCTATATTCAAGCTTGCATGGAGCGGTTTTCCTAACTCCGATGATCCACGAGGAGGGGCGACCACGTTAACTATCCTCGGTGGGCTGAACTCCACGGATGAACCAGGAATCAATGTAATCGAGCTTCCTGCGTTCAATCCGTCTGAGCCTCCCGCAACCACTGGAAATGCTGGAATCCATCCGTACTTTCGTCAGGCTATGCGTCAATCGCTCACCCCGATCAATGCGACATTCTATCCAAGTTCGGGCAGCGCCGTAGTCCAGGATTTCTTGCTTGTTCCTCGCGAAAGCCCCCATTTTTCCGGCAACTGGGACCCATCAGCTATCATCATCGTATCAGAGGCGAAGGCAGGGACACGCTCCCTGGAGGTATACCGTTTCTCTCCTCCGCGATCGGCGGTGTCCTCCTCGCCCCGTCCGACAATAGTAGCGCAACAAGTAGCGAGCGGGCTGGGCTCCGACGACTCAATCATGCAAGAACTGTCGTCGACTCTGGAATCGCTGTCTACGGCCATGGGTCCTGTCCGCATGACGCTTTCACCATCGCACTGGAGTGGGTCTATCGCCGTTATCAACGGTGAGCTGAGCAAAGTGGAGAGGGATAATTACAAAAGCCTTCTCGATCACTCCCGCGAGCCCAGTCAAAACGAAATGCTGTCCTTCGATGGAGGCTCCGCATGGGTGGAAAACACTCAAGAAGGCGCACAATCGCGGTTAGTGGAGGTGAGGAACTAATAACGCCCATCGAACCATTCATGAATGCTCCATAGTATCAACCCCATCGACTCTTGATGACGATTCACGAGGGTGGGATCGTTAACTTCCGCGACATCAGCATACAACTCCTCAAAGAGGTGCCTTTGACCGCTGATTATCCCAGGCTGCTAACGGGGCTATCCATTGATGTGGGACCCGTTTTGTTGGATCCTTCCGTCTCAAGTCTCTCGCCTGCGTTTATCTCTGGCAAGGTGAACATTACCGGTGCTCAGCTGTGTTCGGAGGCGTCACAATGCGCCTTGGTTCTCGACACTGGGCATTTGATACTTTACCGGCTCAAACGTGGTCTCGGAGCAGATCTGTCAAAAGGCCATGCATTAGACAAGGAGGTTCTGATGCTTGGGCATATACCTCAGCTTGGGTACGGGTCAGGATGGTGCCCGGACTTCATGCTGTCTACCGATAGGGGGCCTGTATCGAGTTTTTCATTGTCTGATTACGGCACGTCCAAGACTTCCTCCCAAACACGCAAGTGACTTACTCTCTGCATAGGATTCCTTGCCGCATCATATACGGATGCGTCATTGTTCATCGTGCACAAAAGTAACCGCGAGCCGTCCGTTTTACTCCGGATGTTCCCCGCGACAAAGGCGCAGAAGTCGTTCTCGTCAATCCTACACCACTCCGAGGCGGTTCCTTTCACTTCACTAACATGGACAGTGTGTGAAACAGCGACAGGTATGGTTTCATAGATCCACCAGTTCGCCATACTTCGGTTATGACGCCTGGTTCAGATCCTACACCTCAAATACGGCTGGTTGCCGTCCGCGCCTCAGGGCACGCCTCATTGTATACGGTGCTACCGTCATCACAATCTCCGACCGGCTTTGAAGTACAGGACACATCACAAGGCATCGACGGCATGGTCCATCCCTTTCCGCAGACTTTTATTCTGGAAAGTAAGACGGGGCGTCGATGCAAGCTCAACAGACGAGGTGTTGGTCTGACTCAAACCTCGAGCCGCGGATTGTCAAATTCAACGCCGGCGAGGGAGCACAGCAAACACTGCGTATGGATATGCGCGGGAGAAAAGGGCGTAAAAACCGTCCTTGATCTCAACGGCAGCCGCGTCGCCAAGATTGATTGGCCAGCAGCCAGCAAGTTGGGTACTGTGCAGACGGTGCAGGTTGTTGACCGCAGTGGTACGTTTTGCGACTTGAGGCTACCTCGAGGCGTTGATACCCTTCGATCAGATGCATTCGTTCTCGCGGCCCTGACAGACAAGGGGAAAGCATTAGTCTACTCGCTGCCGAGCCTCGATCTGATACATACCCTGGAACTTCCGTCTGCATCTACAATGTGCGAAACAAGCTAATTTTTGCAACTTATATTTGATAATTGGTTCAGAGCACCAAGTCTTGACGAGTCTGGGGATTTCGTCATATGGCATCGACATATGAACTCTGGATTCGTTCAGAAGGAAACATACGGTTCCCTGTTCAACATCCGGCGCTCCCCAGCAGACGCCCCTATACACGTGGATCTCGTGTCAACTATCCGTAGCCGAACGATGCCGCCACCGCCTCAGCCTATCAATATAGGGCCAGCGACAGTTTTGGGCACAGTGGGTTCATGGCTTGGAGTCGGTGTGCAAAAGACGATTACCGCAGAGCAGCTCGACATCATATGTGAGTGATATGTCCAGCTCACCTACAGGCTTGATACTCCTGGATATATGCAGTGGCGGGCCCAGACCGCCCCTTACCTCGATCGCTCCCTCCCAAACAGAAGCTCGGACAAGTCAAGTGGTCCTCTAGCGCTGATGAAGATGCGAACAGAGGAGAACTTGCTACTCCTGGTTTACTGCAGAACATGCAGGCAACGAGCAGTGCATTGTACGGTCGACTCGGCAATGCTGTCGACGAACGAGGGTGGGTATACGGACCTGAGCCTCGTTTGGAACTCGAGATAACTGATAAGAGTCTACCAACAACAGTGAAATGTTGAGTAGCCTCCAAGAGCATTCAGAAGCACTCCAAGAAGGGACCCGAAACATGCTGAAGCAGGTCTGTACCTAGTCTTGCTCGGTGCCATCCATTCGTCATTGACCTATGAAAAAGGCCAAACAGCTTGCTGCAAGTCAGGCGACGAAGGGATGGTTCGGAGGGCTGAATATCTGAACAAGGCCGATTTCCAAGTATATATAATTACTGAATGAAGAGTGTATCATACAAGGGTAATGCGAAGCTGAAGGTGAGGGACGTAAGAGAAAGATCTCCGCCCATCGTCCATAATCTCAGAATATGTAACTCAAGAGCAGGATAGTGCATATACCGATGACGAGACCCATGATGATGGCGTCTCGCCGTCGTCGCGACTTGATCATCGAGAGTAAATTGTTGATTCCCGGCATCGTACCTGCTTCGCACTGAGACGTTTGTACGTCGAACAACGTAAGTGAGTTACTTACTAATGACATTTTGCATCCGCGCGTTGATACTGGAAATCGATACAGATTGCGATGAGAACTCCGCGCGGGTTGTGTATGCTTGTCTGGAATGTCCCTGGTGAGTTCATGCCCGAGCGAATCGTGGTTACTCCAGAACGCACTCAAGTATATCATCTGTCATCCTGTGCGAGCTGTCTATTCGGCTACGTTCTGCAAGTAGACTGTCGGCTGCGGAGCTCTTGTACGCGCTGAAGAACGTCAATTAGCGAGTGTGCGGGACGAAGCAGAGACACGCAAACTCTATGTCGTTCCGAACGCCCGATAGCAAGTTGGCACGGTCGAGGGCGTTTCGTACGTTAGCCTGAATACATTAGTGAGGGTAGAGTATAGCAAAAGCCAAAGCGGCAGACCTGCGTCCTTTTAAATTCTGCTTGATAGTCTCTAAACACATCCCTATGCCGCTGAATGGCTCGGATCATTGATTGCGAAGGTGGTGAGGTGGGGTCGGTCTCGAGTGCGCTGAGCTGTTCGTTGGTCTCGCGTAGCTGACATTGGTATCAATTCAGTATTAGTGGGTCACAAGGAGTACCAAGCGGCGAAAAAAGCTGACCTTCTCTAATAAATCTTCAACTTCGCTTTCGACATCTCTCCACCGCTCGTTGGAACCGGACGCTTCGAGGTCGCTATGTTCCCCTCTGGAAATAGAGCTAGCCAAGCGGGTATAAGTCGTAAGCTTGGTGTCAAACAGCGATTCTAATGTTCGGCACTGTCGATGGAGTGCATCATATCCGACCATGGTGGGCAGCAACAGGCGTGTCGTAATTCAGACCAAGCCTGGACGGTACCGCCTTCTTCGGCGTTGTCCGGGGAAGAGAGTGCGCGGTCCCCTGGTCACGTGGTGCGCGCCTTGGTTTATTGGCTTCCGGTTCAGCTCACTCCAACTCATCACGGACCCGCGCCGTCCGCACTCGACCATGTCGGCCGTCGATATCGGCGCCAACCACGACTCAGATCAAGTTGTAGAGCTCAAGCAGCGTTTGTCCAACAAAGGTATGTATGTGCACGTCACCCTTCCTTGCTCGTTCCGTTTACATATGGGTCAGAGAATCAATGTGTTACCCTCCAGAGTCAGCTCCTCAAGAGGGATGCAGAGCTTGCAGACATGAAGAAGCAGCTGGACGAGACGATTAACAAGGTTCAACCCCCTTTCCCTGGCTGAAGTGAGAACCTGCTGATACTGGCCCGTAGCTTCGCCGAGAGACCGACCGCGCTCTGGGTCTTCACGATCAACTCGAACGACAAGCTCAAGACATGCAGAACGAGAAGATACAACGATCGAACGTAGAGATCGCTCTGAAACATGCCGAAGACAAGATCAAAGCCCAAGAGCGCGATGCCAAGGAACTTGAAATAACCCTGCAGCGCCTGTCGTCAAGCGCAGACGGATCAAGAGCGGACTTTGCTAGACTCCAGGTCGAGAAAACGAAGCTAGAGTCACGCATACGGGAGCTACAAGCGAACCTAGACCAGTTGACGTCGGCGCCAGCTCCTTCGCCATCTCGCCGGTCACGGTCCTCCCGCCCTCGCTCTTCTTCTTTATCTAATATACAGCTCAGTTCGCTTGAGCAGCAACTGGCGGATGGCCGAGCAGCTTTGGCCCGGAAGGACGATGAGTTGCGGGCTGTTCAGGAGAAACTCAGCCGGCTCGAACGCGAGCTGACACGCGTCCAAAACGAGAAGATGGCCATGGAGAAGGCAATGCAGACGCGAGAGGCCGCTTTGGAAGGGGCAATCGAGGACAAGAATGAGGAGCTGGAGTACCTTCGAGCCCAGGCCGGGCATGAGGCCCAAGCGCGGGAACAGGAATTGCTGGAAAGGATCGAGGAAGAAGAGATCAAATCGGCCGCACTGGAAAAGATGGTCAGGCAAATGGAGGACGAGTCTAAACGGCGCGCGAGGGTTGATACGGGGAAGCTAGAGGAGAGGTTGAAGAACATGCAGGCGAGGTTGGCAGCCCAGACCGAGAAAGTTGAGTACATGGAGGCGCGGCATTCAGAATTACTTCGTGACCGAGAAACCGCAACGGACCAGCTAAGGGCCGTGGAGGCTGAGCTGAAACGTTCACGGGTAGTCATGCAGGAGCACACGGCAACAATTGAATCCCTAACCAAGTACGTGGTTCGTATCGGCCGGTGTTCTATCCTAATCGGCTTGCAGACGCCTTTCGGAAGCACAGGCGGCAATTCCGAGGCAAGGGTCTGCTTCTCGACGTGATCTCGACGGCGACGTTACCATGCAAGGGACTGGATTCGCAGATGGATTGCTGGCACCTGATCTCGCAGGGAATCCATATCACTCAACTCCTGTTCCATCTTTCCGCCAATCGTTCATCGACACAACACGGCCTTCCACATCTACAGCGGGTCAGGCAGATGCTGTATCCGAGGTGCAACGTCTCACAATAACAGCTTCGCGTCTACGTAGCGAGCGGGATGCGTTGAGGACAGACCTCGAGTTCGTAGAAATGGAGGCCAAGTTCCGCGTTCAGACTCTCGAGAGCCAGCTTGCAGAGCTGACGAAGTTGATGGAGACGAGCGCAGCGAAAGATAATCGACGCCTGGAAGTCGCTGTTTCGGTTCTCTCGCTGGTAGCCGCACGTTCACAGTCGGACGACCTGAGGGCAGCCCAGTCCGATGATGAATTATTAACACAAATTGACGCCGTCCGACAAGAGCTCGCGGATGTCAACGAACTTGCGGAGCAAAGATTGGAGATGCTGATGGAGATGGAGGCGTCCCTGGAGGCTGCAGAGGCCCGTGTGGAGACCCTATCGGAAGAACTCCTGGGTACTCAGGTCCAGCGGGACGGCTTCCAGGTACAAATCCGGTTGCTCCAGAACAAGGCGAGCGAAACGAGCGACGAACTTTCCCGCCTTTCGTTGGCTTTGGCACAGTCAGAGGACCAACTGGCGGAAACTATCAAGGCCCTTGAACTTGTCGAGTCCCAGCGGGACGACTTGATTACACAAGTGGCCAACCTGCAACACGAACTTGAGACAGCTAGGGAAGAGCTAGCCGAAGCAGAAGATCGCTATTCACAGCAACTTACCTCTGGACCAGTCAGCGCACATGAAGCAACGCGAACGCTACGCGATTATATCGAGGAACTGGAGGCTCGTGTCCAGCGGCGGACGGACCAGATTGGCGCCCACCAACACGACATTCGGAGGCTAGAAACGAACCTGCGTTTACAGGAGGAGCGGATCGAGGAGATGACTGCGGAGCTAGACATGATGTCGGCTCAGAAGGAAGCGATGATTGAGGACTGTGCTGAAGCACGAGCAGCTCGCGACGAAGCGTTGAGTAGAGTTGAGGACGTTGAGATGGAGATGGAGAATCTGGAAGGACGGATTGAAGCGCTGGAGGCGGAGAAGCAAAGCTATGCCGCAGCTCGCGAGGAAACAGCTGCACAGATGACCGAGGCTATCCAGGAGGCGGAGAAGGCAAACGTTCAACTGAGGACGATGGAGCACGAGAGGGAGGCTGAGGTATCGGTCCTTATTGACGTGCTGGCGGAGACCGTCACGCGTTCACGACTCGCTGTTCTTTCGTTACGGAAGGAGCTTGCGGTCGTCCAGCGAGATCAACAATTATCAACTGCGGAACTATCATCTGCTCAGAAGCGCAATGACCAACTGGCGGCGGAACTGGATAACTCGAAATCGATGCACAGCGAGGCTACCCATTCGCTTGAAGCAACCACTTCGGCCCTGCAGACTTTGGCAAAGCAGACGAACATCGAGCGCCGACAACTTGTGCTAGCTGTTGCCGTACTCGAGCAGCATAACACTACCCTACGTCGCTTCCGTCCCTCCGCGAGCTCTGCGGACGCTACCCCAATGAGCTCCTCCTCAATTTCCAACCTGCCGTTCTCGGGACACTCGACTTGGGGACGCCTCCAGGAAGAGGTTGAGGATTTGCGGTGCAAATGCGAGGCGTTTGAAACAGCTGAAGCGAAGTGGGCCGCGCACAGCTGCCGTTCCTTGACCCCAGGAACAAGGGATTCCGACGATGCTGGTCGCAACCCAAAGCTGGAGCAAAGCAGGGCAGATCTCGGTATACAGGTTTCGACTCTGTCCGATGAGCTATCTGCTGCCCTCGCGGACCTCGAGGCCGCGAAGAGAAAGGATGAGCACAGAGAGAAAGATAGTGAGGATCTCCAGTTTGCGAAGACGGCTCTAGAAGCGCAACTCTCGGGTGCGGAGCGAAGGCTCCGCGAACTGGAGGTGGAACACGCGGATGTTCTGAAGAATATACGTGATCAACTGCAACACTCGATGGACGAGCTGGAGGCGACGAAGGTTGCTCGGCATGAGCTTGACTGCCTGGTTACCGAGCTGAAGGAAGAGCTATCCCGGGCCACGCAAGGCTACGACCAGCGCCTGCGCGATGCAGAGCGACAGGCTGACATGGTGCTCAGCCTTGAAAACGAGCTCCAGCAAGCTCGAGACCGTCATGGTGAGGAGTTCCGCGAACTACAGGGACGCTTTGATCAAGCCACGGAGGAACTGAACCGAATCCGGGAGGACAATGCTCGCAGAGTGAAAGAAGCCGAGAGTCTCGCAAAAGACTTGTTCGCTAGCACGGAGCGCTACGAACAATCTGAAGCCGCTCAAGCTGTGCTTCGAGGTGAAGTGTCCACGTTGCAGAAAGGACTTGCAGCAACCGAGGCTATGCTGCAAGCTACTCTGAAGGAGAAGGATGATCTTCTTGCTGAGATCGCCGCGATAGACTGCAAGATGAAGCAGTCAACCACGGTGCACGAGACCTTGGAGGGCAAGCTGCGGAACAGGTATGTGCATCCGGCCAGCGCTCTACCGCATCTCACACTGCCCATAGTAACGTCGAGATTAGCTCGCTGAGAGAGCAACTTGACCACCTAGCGGCAGACCTCAGCCAGGCTCGGAGTACGGCGGATCACCTCCAATCTCAGCTTTCCTCCGAGGTGGCGGGCCGAGACCAAGCTATCGCATCTTTACAAGAAGAAGTCAGCATGCTGCGACGCAGCTCTGTAATGTCCACCATATCCCAGGAAGTTCAAGATAAGATTGACGACCTCGAAGAAATGCTCCGTCAGAAGGTTAAAGAGGTTGAGGAGAACGATGAGGCCTGGATCATGTAGGTCTTTTTCTTGGGAGCCACAGAACCACGCACTAATGTCCCTTGTGCAGCGAACAAAAGGAGAAGAAGAAGCTGGCTAGACAGGTGGAGACCTTGACCCGCAAAGTGCATAATCTCGAGAAGAAGCTCCTGGCTGCGCGGGAAGCTGCTGAGAATCGCAATGCCGTTCCGCTCAGCTCATTAAAGCCTATTGTTGCTCAGGCGCACGATCTCCCTTCGGAATCCGCTCATATGGCAGAAGTCCGGACAACATCTGCTCCTATTCCACCGCCTGTCTCAGCAACCGCTGGTGTATCGGCTTCACCGACTGGAAGTTCTCAGACACATCCCGATCTCTCAACTGTTCCATTCGTTCAGGCTCCGGAACACCTATCAGGCATGACTGCCCCAATGACCAGCGAGAGCACTATTGGAAAGAAACGGCGTGCACCAGATGACTTCGATGACTGCGATACCCTCCCTCCCCAAGCTTTCACTGTCGAGTGTGCGCCTAGACCGGGCGTGACCAAGTCGCACACGCCCCGGTCCCGGAAATTGACTGCCGCTCGGGCAGGTTTTACGCCGGTCCGCAGCACGCGCACTGAGACTGTAATGATGCAGCAGTCTCCTCGGAGAGTCACCACGGCGAGCGCAACGACGTCGGCATATTCGGACCCTGCGCAAGAAGGTCGGATACGCGCGACTTCTCTACACCGTCCCCACAGCAGAAACTTGACCGAGGCCGACTACCGGCACCCTGTTTCTGATGTCACGAACAGTCCACGTACCGTCCCGGCGACGATGGGCGCGTCGGCCACCGCGGCCGCGAAAACTGCCAAGAAAGGCTGGTTGAACAAGATGAGAACTCCTGCTTTGCCTAGCGAAGCAAGGAGCACGGTTTCATCACGGCCCATGGTCTTCAAAAAGTATAACGAGCTACGAAGGACACCTGTATAGCATGACGCCGAACATAATTTTCGCATATGTACTTTTGTCGCAACTATCTTTATTGCATTTTCATTGTGTTTCCTTACGTCATTGCATCCAATAACACATCCACGGATCTTGCCAATAGTAGATGCTTGTGTGCATCTTCCAATGACCCTATTGTTTTGAGCGCAGCAGTATCTGACGCACACCATGCAGCGCGTTGAACGGTTGAAGATCACTTTCTTGGTGGATAATTCCATCGAATGGTGCGGGACCAATACTGCGATTACATAGCATGATGGACATCGACTAACGCACAACAGGATGAGCAAGCTCCCACCAGGTTTTTCTCATGAAATCAAGCATCATATGACACATGATCCTCCCATCGACGATTTGACTGGCGTGCCCATATGCGATTTGGAGAACTTCTGTTGCGGTATGGTCCATGCCATTGGGCATGGATAATGACATGTAACCAAGACCTTCGCAGGTGCCCACGGGTTTTCGGCCCTGATCGTGCGTAGCGAGCGACTACCTATGCACGCTCTCCTGAGGATATGACCATACAGGAAACAGAAAGCAGGGGTCAGACGCATTATACCCTGTTTGACACTGGACCAGAGTCCAAATCCCTTGTACGGAATCTGCATGCCCTGAAGGTGCCGATCGACCGCATTTCGACGGTTATCCTATCACACTGGCACTCGGACCACTCGGGAGGTCTGCTCTCCTTTCTACAACTCCGACAACAGCAAGGAGCAAGAGGGAACGTCGCCGTTGACCTGCACCCGAGCCGTCCGATAGCTCGCGGGGGCGCACCACCGCCTAACTATGACAAGGTATCATGGCGACTTCCTGCTGATCCTACCTTTGAAGACATAGAGAAATGTGGGGGAACGGTACATACAAACGATCAACCCCATACGGTTGCCAGCGGGACTGTGTACGTGAGCGGGGAAATTCCTCGCGTCACAGATTTCGAAGAAGGTTTGATGGGTGGGATGCGATTCGTTGCGGACAAATCGGAGGGTAAATGGATAAGGGAATGGGTACGTTGTTACATGGGGTGTATATACACATGGGACGGCTGACAAGAAATTTCAGGATATTATGGATGAACGTTATGCAGCTATTGATGTCCTGGGGAAAGGACTGGTTATCTTCACGGCGTCAGTGCTATTTGTCTCACGATATCGGTGGTCATGAGCGACTCATTGGGGTTTTCAGCTGTTCTCATGCCGGGGTTGTTAATGTGATACGGGATGCTGTGATGAGGCTTTCTAGGCCAGTTTACATGGCAAGTCATGCGTACTCCGCTCTTTGCGTATCTCATGGGTCGTAAAACACAGGTAGTAGGAGGATTACATCTCGCCGGCCCAGAAACACATCACCGGATTCCTTTGACTGTGGACTTCTTATCCCGCCAGCTGCGCCCAACACCAACATACGTATTGCCCATGCATTGCAGTGGCTTTGCCGCCAAAGTTGCTCTGGAACGCGAGCTCAAGGATGCATGTGTCCCTGCATCGACGGGAATGACTGTAGATGTGGAAGGCGATGCATCCTTTGACGGACGGCTCATGGAACCAGTTATACAGCAGTAAACAGTTTCCGCGTGCTATCTGGATGCTTATGCACGCTCTTCGGCGGATAATGTTGAGCCCACGCATGCTGTCGCAGCATCGATAAATCATTGACATATTTACAAAACATCCAGCGTTCACTGTGTCATCCTCCTTAGTTCGTGTTGGCGTTGGTCTGCGCGGTCGTCGCAAAGCCGACTGCAAGGGAACGGTGTGAGAGAATTGAATAGGAATCAAACCGCACCACTCACTGCGACGGTTGGTCGTGTCGAAGACGCTGTAAAAGCGCTCGAGGAAAGTCTGACCGTTGATGAAGTCCAACCCCTCGCCGGAGGGCGTGCCAATGGAGCTGAAACGAGTTACATGTCAGTCCAAGACTCCCATAGCTGGAAGTAGTATGCTTACTTGACGATGAGGTACACGTTGCCCGCTGTGCCGCCGATATCCGTGTTGAGGGCACGAGGCCATGCCTGGGCGTTAGCTACGACGGTCGTTAGTAATTAGTACTCATCACTGCAAACATGCAACACACCAGTAAGCGTGAAACTGCCACCACTGGTAGTGAAGGTCAAGGGCTGCAAGTTTGCGAACTGCGTGGTCGTGAGACGAAGGAGACCAGTGTTACGATCGAGCACGGCGCCCGTCGCGGACTGATAGCGAGCAAATGCATCTGAAAGCGAACCATTCAGATGAGATATCTGAGTGCAAACATGTTACCGACCAGTCGGGAGAAGAGTCAGGGTGGTGCCAGTGTCGACGATGCCAGCAGTGGTGGGCATGATGGTAGTGGAAGTACCATAACGGATTGACTCATTAATGCCCCAGAATTCGTTGGCGGGGGATGTGTTGGTAAGGGGGCTGGAAGCATGAAATGAGTGTTGGGTGAAGCATCATCGGGAAGATGTCACCCACGTGAAGGCAACAGTGCCAGTGATCTTGCTGTTATCCACGCCTCCGAATGTCAACTCTCCATTGGTCGATTCTTCTGTGTTAGTAGGCGCAACTGTGATCCAGTCAATTCACAAGGCATGAGAGTCTTCATGGGCAGAGGTAGTCTCACAGAAGACGCCCAATTCACGTGCAGTGATCGTTCTGGAGGCAAAGACTGCTCTTTCAGGAGATGCATATAAAGGGATGCAGGCGAACTTACCCCTGGTTGAAAAGGTTATCGGTGACGGTCGGGATGGTGGTGGTGGTACCGGGGGACAGGGTGTCTACAACATGTTCAGCGTATCATTGGGATCGCGTGTGTTCTCCCACACTCGCCTTCCGTGAGGTCAACTGGGCCGACACCAAGAATACCATCCACACCCTCGAAGCCGGTGCTACGGGTTGCAACGCCGATGGACTGGATATATGTGCATTAACAATGCAAGATCGAGACGAGACGAGGACGGTGGTGCGAACCTGGCTGGGAATGACCAAGCCGGAAGCCAGGGTCACCTGGTCGGTAAATTCGTTACCAGAGAAAGAGCCGGAGCCATAGGTAACGGAGACACGCTGGTTTGTCTGCGTGCTCGTGCTGGTCCTAACGTAAGCCTTGGTGGCGCCGACCCACGTGTTGGACGAGCCGGTGTCGACGATGAGGTCGTACTGAGTTGCAGGGGAACCAACTCCAACCTTGACGGCAAAGGTATTATTTTTGTGATTTTGACCGAACTGTAGGGTAGCACCCACCGAAGCGATGTACGATACAACCTCGTTTGTAACCGGGAAGGAGACGACGGCACGTTTGCCTGACGTCTTTGCCTCTGCATGAGCACGAAGAGCACGAGCACGAGCAAGGTCGTTCTCCAGAAGGTTGAGCAGCCCGGTCGAGTTGACGCGCTTCGAGAAGGGGAGCGTCACAGGCGGAGCCCGGATTTCGACGGGGCTCGCCGCGACGTTAAGCGCGAGAACGAGGGCGGAGAGGAGTGAGGCTGCGTTGAACATTCCGGGAGAGATGGCTCGGTGGCTGGCTCTCATACGACGTCTCACAAGCTCCTTTATACGTGACCGCAAAGCCCGCGGTAGTCCATATGGGTTCCGGAAAGCGGATTGTGAGCCATGCTGGTCTCCCCGAGCATTGTGCTTCTGTGGTTCATGCGGAACCTTGCATTGGGGTGGGAAAAGAAACGATAAACGGACGGATGGATGGCGATCCACCAGCGAGGAGCCGGAGCGGTCCAGTGCCATGCAGTTTCCCTGTCGCCACATCATCGCGTGCTATCTTGCAGCGGGAAGTGTTGTTATGAGGTGCAGTCGCGTGAGAATGGGCTGCGACAGCCTCATACTAGGAAGCGCAAGGGTCGGCCAAATGTCGCGATCCCCGTAAAGTTGCCAGCTGTACACATTTGCGGAACGAAACTCGATGTGCTTCCGTGCTTCCTCCCAAGTATACCACCAGATGAATAGAGACACGAACACCGTTAGACAGTATCTGCACACGAGTCTCAGGCATGAGGTCAAACGCTCATGCATGGAGTGGCACAAACAATAGATATCTGCCTGCGTCACGGTGTTCGCGGGCGCATCATCGCATGCTCGACGAGACCGCCGGTGTTGGCTCCATGCCTGGGAAGGTGACATGCGTTGCAGACTTCCTCGACAGGCCGTGTCGCTCCCAGAGAGCGCAGTACGCTGAGAATGGTCGTCCCGAAGCACATCCTCGAGAACGTTGTCGAGGAGAGGGCTGCCCCATCGCCGGATCATTGTCGTCACATTCAGGTAAATCGGGCATCGTCGAGGGAAAAGAACTGCCTATTGAGAACGTATGGACGCACTGGCTCCAGACCATGGGTAAAGAATTCAAGGCCAGGAGGGGCGTGCCAGGGAATGAATAGCCAGTGTGAGTAAAGCCATGGGTTAATGCGCAGCCGGTCTGTGCTATTGCGCCTGATTGTAGAGATCGCACTCGAGGCGCAGAGAAAGGGCACGCCATACTGAGGAAGGCTGGTTGTGCTGCCGTTTGCCCAGTTGTAAGTTGTAACTGCTGGGTAGCAAGCGATTCCGGTCCCTCGCAAGTGGCGGTGGCGGTAGGTAGGTAAGTTGCTTTAAATTTAATAATGGCACCCTTATTGGGTAGGTAGGTAACGACCGCGCACGCCACGGGGATCCACGGTTTCAGATGCCGACACACCCGCATGTTCCTCTTAGTTTCGGAATTGATGCTCAAATCTCCAACCTACTACTGTGGAATTACGACGGATCGACCATGGCCAGCAATATGACAATTTACAACATCAATTTTTCTCCCTTCATGCCAGTTTCTCCTCATGCGAACTTCACTTTCTCCCCAGGGCGACCATCCGACAGCAGAACAACGGCCTGCGTATTGTTCGTCAACATCAGCCACAACAACTTGAGGCGCAGATAGCGACTCACGTATTTCCCACTGATCCTCCAACCAGGTTCGTTCTTGTCGAGATGCTCAGCGATTTCGTCGCTTTCAAGGCCGACGACGACATCGCTCTTGATGGTTCGCAAGGAGCATATTTTTGGGGCACCCGCCGAGCTCGCCATCGGCCCGATGGCGATGTCGAACGGCGTCGACGCCGGAGCTGCGCAATCGTATGTCAATTTGCGGTGGTTCAAATCACCCTTGTTACCACGCGGAGTTAGTAAGGTCGTGGAAGGCACTTCTGCACGGCACTGCACCTTGAAATACACGAGGTCAGAACGTGAGAGGTGTAGGAAGAGATCCGGCGATTCCGAATGCTGCACATCATGGTCAATCAGCGCAGACGAGGCCGAGAGAGCAAACACGAACGAGGTCCCAGAATGTGTATCCTGTGCACCAGAACGGATGTTGCTCATACACCCACTTCCCTTCTTTCTCGTACTGCTTCCAGCGCTGGCCAAGGCGCCGCAAGGAGCTAGACATAAGGATTGAGCCGGCGGCTATCTCAGATCATATGGAAAGGAATCACCTCATTTCTTGCTCGGTGGCCTTTGGGAAAAGATGCCCATAGCACATGGTGTTAAGCAACCAATCCCAGTCTTTCTTCGTGACGTCCGATACGAACCACGCAAAGCGCTTGCCGTGGAAGCGGATTTGATTAGCTAAGCCGCTCTGGATTAAGAAGTCGGCTTCATATCGTAAGTCCAAAACGTAACGTCCGCGAAGTTACAATAGCTTACCATAGACCATGTCACAGTAGAGTTCAAACCCGGCGTTATCGAGCACGAAATCGATGCGTGCTCCCGTCTTGTGCCGGAGATCCTTAACCGCGTCCCACAGTTTCGGGAGGTGGTTGCCGAGAATGTTCTTCTCTGTGTCTGCAAGGTGCTCGCCTCCTGTGGATTGTAACGCCTTGATCTGTTCTTCGGTCATGTTGATCAACAGCGATAGGTCGGTCGAGTTACCCCACAGACAAACTGAAGACGGTGATTAGCAGCGCTCGCCCGTGTGTGTATTCGGTCGACTCACTCTGTGTTAACTCGAGGAACATGAGCTTCATGGTCTCCAGCCTTTCGTCGTCCGAAAGCCCATCTTTCAACTTGAAAGGCTCCGCGAAACGAGTGGACAACTCGAAGACGGCATCGGACGATCGGGAAAACGTATCGCACTAGAGAAGAAAGGCTTATTATCTCAGGTGACCGCGCTTCGCAGAGCGCACACGAACCTTCTGACGGTAGAAGACGTCGTAATCCTTCCAATATTTACTGATGCTGAAGCATTCATGAAGTCGGCGGTACTTGTATGCTTCCGCGAACAACCACGGTGCGTTCATGAAATCCTTCCCTGAGATAACAGCTGACCGGGACCATACGATGGCAATGTCGCGGTCACTCACCTTGAAAGAACTTGGCGATTTCCTTGTTCCACAAAGGAATATCGCCTTCGCCGTCATCAACGATAGGGCGAAGCTTGGCATTGCCAGATAGGTCCGTCATGAGTTCGTCCATGCGATCGATGCACTCTACGAGGTCGACGACCCGATCTTCTGCGGACTGCTCGTTCAATGTCTGGATGGTATCTTGGATCGCCTTGCCGAGAATGGTGGGGAGGCGCTTGCCCATGGTCTCGTAAGCAAAAGAGTACTCGTGATAACCGCGGTACGCAGGCCACGGAGGGTTGTTGGGATCAACCTGAGCTCAAGATTGATCGTACGCTATGCAGATACGCTGCGAACGATGGTGGGGGCTCACGCGGGAAGGCGAGCGCGGCCATTGGGCCTTCACCTCGCGTTTGTTGGGTAGGTGGGTGAGGTTCAGGGTGACCTTGGAGGGCTTGCTACCGGTGGGCCTGTGGGTGGGTGGTGCGGCGCCATTGGGCTGGATGTCGGGCGCGCGGTCGCCGTCGTGAGCCTGGTGGGGAAAGTAATCGGGCATCGCGGTTAGGGCTGGTGAGCGAGGTACGGAAGGACGAGCGACGAACGGGTCTCCTCCTTTTTCGTCTTTTTTATAAGACTTTCGAACCAACTTTCGGTTTGAGGAAGGGTGACAGGCGAGCTGTCCGGCCGGCTTGGATGCTCGTGATCGATATGGCATCGAACATTCATCGAACGCGTGACGTCATCTGCGAGCTCCCGTCTCCACTTTGCACGACGTTCTGGCGAGTCCCTTCCCCTCGTTACTGCTCTCCGCGCCGTGTCACGATTACACAGAGATAATATCACAAGCAGCTCGGAAGGTACTACCCCCGAGGTGATAGGAGCTGGCCGCTGTTTGGTTCCCGGATCCAGCGATATCTCTAGTTCGGATCGGAGTCATATTGATGTCTACCCTTAGAGGACTAGCAGATCGCTTGGCCTAGCTGGCTATAGCTTGTTATGAGGCATCACCCGGACCAATGGTTGAACGTCGCTTCCCTCCTCTGTGGCGAGATCAGCTGGTCAAGTCGATACACCTCCTTGTCAGGGTCCTCGTGCGGGATTTCCGAAGATAACCGCTTCTTGAACTTAGATTGGCCGCTGTCAGCCCGCCATGCACATTCGGAACTTCGTTACACGGCATACGGATGAATAACATCGAACACTTGTATATAGACCGGCCGACGAAGTGAGTCTTTCACGGCTTACTTATCCGGTTCTGGCAGTATTACGGTACTTAGTGCCGCAAGGGAGACTAGCCGGAGACCATTTGCCACGTGCCGACGGCCTTGTTTCAATGCAGAGGACAGCATAGCCACAAATGGCCACGCAAAAGCTAAACCGCAACGCAACGCGCCGATCATATCCATTCCGGTCGCCTAGCATGCCACCTGGGATCCGGACCACAACCATGCTGCACGGATCGGACAGGCCACTGCACCATACGTTATAAAGGGAATAGCCCCGCGTCCATCCACCAGCCCGCAATACCCCGCTTTTCGCTCTCCTGCTAGCAATCCTGGTGATCGCTCACTGTCATGGCACAGAAAGTCCGATTCACACCCTTCGGTAGGCGACAAGATTGCTACTCAAAATCTCATCTAAACCCACGCCCTCGATAGGTATTCCGTACGTGGAGGAGTTCTCGAACGTGACTTTCAAAGCCAAGCCAAGCGCCACTCCAAAGCCACCTTTACGCCCGGCATTGAAGACATTTCCGTCCAATACCTCGCTCTCCAACCTGAGCAATCTGTCCAGCAATCCGAAACTATTTCCGGTGGCCTGCGATACATTAGCTCCTTTGGATGCTTCCGCGGGGCTCAGCGTGCGGAGCCCTGTCTTGGAGCCGTCCGCACGGTTGTCCCGCGCCATCTTCGATGGAACGCCTGCAGGAGGACTGTACATTCACTTCCCTCTCCGTCCTGGTGGCGATCCCCCTACTGTGCCTAAGAAGACCTCTTCTAGTCGTTTGCGACGACTGAGGAAGGCGATCGCTGATGCGGTCCGCGCCGCGGGAATGGACAGTCCACCATCGCCTGCTGTGTCCAACGAGGCCGTTATCCCGGTTCCGAGCATCCGAGCCAGTGTAGCGGATGCGCTGGCTAAGAACGGCCGCGCAGGAGCCGGCGGCCGGAAACAACCGTCTCTCCGGATCGACGTTGGCCGTCGAAGCGTCGCGGCACCTCAGAAACCCGTCGAGTCTCAAACAAAACGAGGGTCCCTCTATCGCGGGACTTATGGACAGGTGTGCGCTGCGATTCAAGCAGCGGGTTTGGACATGACACCGTGCTCGGATACTGGATTCGGCGAAGGTATCTCGCATTTTCCCGAAGCTTGAGCACGTTGAGTTAATCAAGCTTCATCAGCCACTCGTCTCGGAGTCATATTCGTCGCAAGTAACAACGACCAAGGCGGCGTGGAGTTCAGGAAGCTCACGCTTTGGGGTTGAACATCCCGCGGTGCGGGTTTGACTGTGTCATTGATCATGCCCTACACGCTGGATCCGAACGGGCTCGAACGTTCTTTAACACTAATATGCTGCCATGTTGTATTGTATCGTAGCGGGGCCTCTCGCACCGACGTTCAGCGGGGCCATGTAGCATTAGATGTACAACATAACTATACGATGTACTCAGTATGATTGGTTCGAAACGTCCAGAAGACGGGTGTGATAATACAACAAGTGACGCCTGCGGTGATCGGGAACATAAGTAGGCGTGATTTATGAGTCCGTGCAACTCGATAACATTCAGGTCCCAAAAGCGTGCGTGTGGACGTCGGAATTGATTATTTGTGTATCAGAACATGTTGCTGCCTGAAGCCTCGCGGTTGGCAGTGTGCTTAGGGGCTGGCGTTGGGACACGCGATGCTGTCTCCGGCCGGTAGGTCGTCGTGTGATTAGCAGGGCCTGAATACCAGGATTGGCAGAGCATGGAGATGTCGGGGTGGCTGGAAGCGGCGCGGCGGATCGCAGGACGCGGTGCCTGAGAGGAGGTAGAGGAGATGCTCAGGGTCGCAGTGCCTGATCTGCGTATATCGGTCATGCGGAGCGTGGCAGAGGGCGTCCGGCGATGGTTACGAGGGGAGGGCGGCGTCATGACAGCCTTCGACGAAGATGATGCAAAGTCGGTGCGCATCAATGACGAGGCGGAGGAATGTATGCGACGAAGGGTGTAGCGTTCCTGCGACGACTTGTCTCCCTCGCCGTCGCTCGGAGGCGGAGACGGCCAGGGAGACTGAACGCGCTGCCAACTGGGCTCTTCTTCTTGGCTGGAATGACCGTCATCTTCGTCATGATGAGGGTGAGCGTCGTCGTTGGCTTCCTCTTTCACGATCTCGGTATCAGAGGTGATTTCGACGCCATCTCCTCTGACAACGCGTGTCTTATCATTGCACGTCTCGTTCTCGAGGCCGTTCTCCGCCCGTACGTTGAGAGGCCTAGGGGCCTGACGTTGAACCGCAGGCAAGTGGTGTCGTACCCAGGAGCGGCATGCCATGAACGCTCTCTCTGTGACGTCCAGGAACGGGAATGCCTGGAAAACATGCACCTGATCGGATCGTGTCAGTTTAATATGGCCCGCCGGTACCCCGTGAACGCAGTCACATACCGCGTCCTCATACAGCTCATGCTGGAGATCCACGCCAGCAAGGGTTGCTTTGTGCGCCAAGAGTGTTATCTCGTCGCGCAAGACCTCTGCATCTCCGCATTGCACAAGCATCGGTGGCAAGCCCACGAAATCACCGAAGAGGGGCGAAGCATACGGATGCGTCAGGTATTTTTCCATGTTTTCACCTAGGTAGCACGCGATGGGATCCAGGTGAGATGCAGGATCGGGACGCGGCACAACGTCGAAATCCGCATTGCTGTCCCAGGAGTCACAACTCATGGTCAGATCTATGGGATGCGTCAGATCAGCGACAGCGTCACTGAGGTGGTCATTACTAACCAACCCAAGGCGACATCAGTATGGCGCCACCAGGGAGAGGGTATCCGTTGTCCCTCAGGTACATTAATACCGCAAGGGATAAGCCACCGCCCGCGCTGTCACCTGAGATCAAGATATTTTCTGGGGGTATGTTCAAGTCCTCCACCAGCCGAAGGTAGGCAATGACGGCATCATGCAACGGGCCAGGGAATCTGGTTTCGGGGGCAAGGCGATAATCAATGGCTACTCGATTCAGTCAGCATGCAGGGGACAGGAACGAAGAACCAGGTGGGTGCATACCAAAAACCCTGGCTTCTGTCCACTTTGACAGTGGAATAGTGATCAACCTATGGGTAGTGGCACTGAAGCAGTAGTACGCCCCTAAGATGTCAAATTGAGTATGCCATCGTACGAAGATGAAGCATGCGTACCACCATGGAGATATAGTATCACTCTATCTTTCCGTTTCGCCTGTTTTGGGGAGGGGTTTGCCTCTTCAGCGGGCCCGGGCGAGGCAGCGGCTTTGCGCGTAGCGTTCCAGTCTGCCTGCAACCTCTTCCACAACTTCTTACCGACCACCCACTCGCCATATAGTTCCCGTGACCCATCCTCCAGACTATCGAATTCTTGGAGGATACCACGCAAGTTGCGTTTGCGGACCCGGAACGTGACAGGGGTCACTAGAGCATCGGAGGGCGTCGGTATCAAGCCACTCAGACCTATAAGGAGCCTAACAGTCGCCTATGAGAGCGCTGAGCATCATTTGCACGCGCGATAGCGCAAGGCTCACTATATCGACGAGATGGGAGTGCTTCCCGACATTGCGCATGAAACTGGTGATCAGCGTCATTTCAAGCCCCCAGGACTTTCTCCGTGGCCCGAACAGAGAGTGGGACGCCAAGTCGAGAGCAACTTCCGTAGCTAGCAGGAAGTTCGGTCAGCTTCCCATTTCACGCTCTCCCCGAAATGTCGCTGCATGCTCACCCTTGCTTGCGGCCAGTGCTCCATATTTCCAAACATCCCATATCTTGAATGCGCGCTCCCTTTGCTTCAGCCTTGGGTCGACCCGCGCAGACGGTGGACGAGTTCCGGGCGCTTTGTAGTGGTGCAAGAGATCGTGGGGAGACTTGTTCGCGCGAGGGGCAGCAACTTGTTGCTCAGAGGCGAGCTGTTCATTATTCAGGTCGGCGTCGGAGGAGTACGAGAACGGCCAGGAAAGCATGATGGTCATGGCAGAAGCCTGGAGGGGTAAGTCGACTGCCTGCGGTTCGGCAAGCGCAGCTGGCGGTGATATATGGGCAAGGAGGACTGATTAGGCTGTGCGGGCCATCGGGGCAGGGAGGGAACTATCGCTGCAGCCATACTTTGACCCCGCACTAAGACGGACATGGCGGCGTCACGCGACTCGCGCTCCATCATCGCGTTCCGAGCCTTCCGCTGCGAAACCCTTCCGTTCTTCTCTGTTCGACCACACTCACCCGGAATCAGCTGCTAGATGGCGCGTACGACACCATCCAATTGGGCACTGATCCATCCTAACGTTTATGTACGACCTATCTCGTTGATTGCTGATAGCGGAGAGTACATTGCGTTGTCTCATACGGGTTCCTTAGTAGTCGTCTCCCCGACTGACCACCTCCTTCACGGTCGGCCGCAGCAAGATGGTGTGTTCCTGCTCAATAGAGTTAGCGAGGTTACTCCGCTCAGGTGTGTGAGGAAAACCGCACAAATTGGGCGGTCATGCTTCCGGGAGCGTCACAAAGGGGAGGGTATGAATTGACCACCCCTTGCTGAACCAGATGATTGAGCTGGAAGGGGAGCATGCGCAATCAGCGGCTTCCTCAACAAGACTCAAATACAGATCGCACCGCAAGTAGATACCGGCTTTCTCCTAGCCTGTCCAGATACCGTCGACAGAACGGAATGGTTCCAAAGTTCTTGTTGATCGTCTTCAGCAACGACTGCGCCGTGGTGAGTCTGCAAAGGCTGCGTTAGCGACAGAAGCGACGAGTTAGTACAGTTGAGATGAACCGTAGCTGAACGTTCGGGGCATCCCAGATTTTGGCATAATGCGAGCATTCGCCCTGTTCGACCACCTTGCCGCGACCGGTGGAGCCAAAGGTCTCTATCGCAAAGTAATCGCCTTCTTCCATCTTCGTCTGATCGTTATTCTTAACCAGGAGGACGGACTTGCGCCCATGAATTTGGTACGGATGGATAGTATGGCCGCTGAGATTCTCGATAGCTTTGACTGAACGTTGGTTGAGCAACACGTATTCAAGGTCTGCAAGGAAATGCGCACCTGGCAAAATCTTCCCATTCACCTCAACCTCGTATGATTCCATCGTTTCCTGTATGGCCCCGCCAATCTCGCCTAACCGAGCATCGATACCAGCTTCCTATGGAACGGAAAAAAATTAGTGCCGAACGTCACCGAAAGCATAGGCAAATGGGATTACACGGATTCCTGTGTTCGTGGCGGCTTTGACCGCCTCAAGCAGTTTGTCATATGTTGGTTCGAAGTTGAGCGTGAATGCCGAGTCGCATATGCGCCCCTTGACTTGTACACCGATATCCACCTTCAACACGTCACCCTGCTTAAGAACTATGTATGGCATATCAGACAATAATCAATACTGCGAGGGCATTGTCCAGACATACCAATAGTATCTCCAGCGTTCGGAGTGTAATGAGCCGCGCAGTGATTGAGACTGAGGCCCGTTGGGAATCCGATACCAGCCTCCAGTCCATTCTCTTCGACGAGGGCCCGAATACCATCCTCTATCGTCTCCGCGATATGCGTCATCGTCATACCGGGTTTGATGTACTTCTTGGCATGCTTGCGAACCAGTCGATGAACTTCCGCGGCCTTGCGTATGTTGTTATAGTTGGCCTCCGGGTCCTGCATGATCATCTTCTCTTCATAACGCTTTTCTTCGGATGTCGTCCGCCATCGGTTACTAGGCATGGATATGAGCGGGATTGTATACCCGAATGTGATATACCACGACGCACTCGTCTTTGTACTCCTCGATCTGTCCTTCCGGATACGTGCCATCGGGAAAGAATTTCGATAGCCCGATTCGCGGCGGGTCGCTTTGCTCGGGCTTGTTGGCTTTCTTCTTGGGCTTCTTCTTCTTCTTTTTCTTCTTTCCCTCGCCTAGGCATAACGCGACATAGGATCAGAGAGACGTGCGCAAGGCCCAAGCGAGACGCCAACCTGCGGCTGCGCCTTCTGGTGCGCCGTCCTCCTCTCCTTCGTCATTATCGTCCTCCCCGTTGACGTGCGCCGGCGCAGGGTCCTCTGTGGGGGCTGCTAGTGGATCGACGGCCATGACTCGACAGCGACGAGATCAAGAGCGAAGGTCGAAGTCAAGGTTACGAGACTTCAGGAAGTTCAGCCACTTGGAGAATGAGTTTGGATCCGGAAATCGCAAGCAGGCTGCGCTGCGGTCAGCGGCTTTGTGGTACCCTGCGTCCGACCCAGCATCGTTCACTGGACTGCAGGACGTTAGTATGGTCTCGAGCAGCTGCGGATGCCAAGCTACAGGTGCCGCTATCGACGAGCTCGGGAACCCGGAAAACCAAGCGACGATGGACAGACCCGCTATGACCCGCTGCTCTGGTTCCGCCACCACCGTACGAAACCCAACTCGTCTTGCTGGTCTACACGCCCAGTTCATTCCGCTGTCCGTAGCCCAATCGAACACCGCGCTTCGACGTCAGCAACTGCGGCGGAAGTACCATCACTGGGACCGTGCGGCATCCCGTCCGCCGGCAAAGGTCCAGCAACAGTCATGGCAGCCATGATTGGCGACGAACGGCTTAGCAGTTCTAAAAACACCCCATACTTACCAGGGCACAGAGACGGACATAACAAACGTTCGCGATACTCTTAGCGACCTGACAGCCGGATCTATCTCCCACCCACAACAATATAGCACCCAATCATATAGCCGCCATGTGAGCATTAGCAATGGCGCGCGATGTCGTGTTGACCGTCATCTGCATCCTGGCCCTATACCCGTAAATCCCTCCGATATTGCACGAATGCCACCAGGTTGTCGCGAACTTCTTCCCCTCGTAGTCGCAGCTCTCGCCCGCCTTCCCGCTTCCTGTCGATTCCACGTACGGTACGTTTGACGCCATCGATGCTTGCGGCGAGCTTCTCAAGGAAACGACCTTGGCGGAAGTTGACATCGTACGGTAATGCTTCGTCCGAATATATGTCAATTAGAGCTGATGTAGCTTGAAGGGCAACCTCCGTGTCGGCTACATCTGATGATGCCCCATCGGGTAGTAAGGCCAGTAAGTGCTCGGCTATGACCTTTGCAGCAGCTAAGTATGTCCGTCCAGAGTTCACAAGGACACGGCCTACCCGATTTGCGTCCACGGACTGAGGATGCTGCGCAAGGCACTCCAGGACGCCAATGCATTTAACACGCACAACTTCGCTGGTGGTTTTGTTACACAATTGCAACAATATTTGGATTTGATCCTGTTGAGGAACCTAGAGTGATATCAGTGATCGTCTTTCATAAGCATCACGCTACTCGCCAAGTGCCCTTTCCATATCATGCCGACTCCCCATAGCACACCTATGGCCGTGTCCCAGTATTCCTTTCTTCTCGCCGGTTCCTGAGTCACCGACACCTCCATATTGAATCCCACCGCAGCCAGCGCAGTCCACAGTTCCTGCCATATCCGCAGACCACCATCGACGTCATCCCTGAGAGCAGCAGGGGATGAGGTGAACGAGAAAAACACGTTATTCAGACATTCCAGGGCGCTGATGTGAATTGCCGCAAGGGCCGACGTAACAGGTGGATAAGGAGATGGCGGTATCGGAAAGGAGAGCGGACTGGGTTGGATCAAGGCGATGAGTGGTTCTACGAGTGGAGGGAGGAATGATGTCGGCTTTGTTACTGCAATCGAGGAACCATCTTCTTGTGCATCTTCATCGTGAGCCTCGTCATCCATGTCGACATCGGCTGCAACCTCGCCACCGTTATCAGCATCTGAAGGACACTATCAACCAACGACTGAGAGAGTGAGAAACTTATCAACAGCGTACCTGGATCTTCACCGGACGGATCGGGAAGAGTAGCACAAACGCCGGTGAGGATTTCAAGCGCCAGCTGCACAGTGCGCAACTGGTTCTCTGTGCGCGCTAACTCCGTCTCTTCGGCGGTGCGATGGTCTGACTTGGGCGCATTCTTCAGCGAAAGCTTCTCGATTGATGGTTCTGTTGCCTGCATCATACATTACACATCAAAATAGAACAGATACTTCAGAGAGAACGCATGTACCAGCTTTGCAAGTTGTGCCTCGACGTTCTTCGCTACATGACCAAGAGAGACACCACGGATGACCGGCTCAAGAGCTGGCAGAACGACCTCGCGATCGACATCAACAGCAGCAGAGCCGGAGGGAGGTGGAAATGGCGAAATATTCCTCAATATACCTTAACGCGTCGATTTTCAGGATCCGGGACGATTAAACCTGTGACGAGACTCACCACATGCGAGCACCTGCTGCGTGATATAACGCTCGTTTTCCATCTGCTTGCTTTTACCCTTGACATCCGACATCATAGCTTGGGCCATGGTGAGAAGGCACGTCACGCAAGATGAGTTCGCCCGGACCTCGTTAATGACGGGTAGGTTCTCGTCCGTGAGGACGTAAAGACACTGGGCTGCGGAGTGGTCAATGAGAACAAATGAGTCGGTGTTAGGCAGCGTAGTTACCGGCGGATGTAACAGTTGAGGCAGGTAATTTATCTCTCGCAGAGAGAAATGAGCACAGGAACGGGACAAGTCCAAGGGCGTTGACGGCTTTCAGGGCCTTACTGGATGTCTCCCTGATGACACACGGGGATCAGAGTCCTCGAAGAGGAAGGCGCGGTGACGTTGTAACTCACGAGAGACACCACAAGATGGTAATCACGCTATCGGCAAATTCGTAGATAAGCTGTTTGGCATTCTCGGGAGCAGATGCTGGGGATGTCAAGTATTGCGAGAGTGTATTTGATATCTAGCGTCGACTTGAGTGACACTACGGCGCGTTCAAGGACCTACGTACCTTAGGGATGAATTCTTTCAAGGGCGCCAAGATGTTCTTATTGTACATTTCTGCGCATATGTCGTAGCCTCCATCTATACATAGATTACTGGTATCCAAATTCAGTCAAGTTTAATCGAACGTCTACTGAGATCTCTACACACCGGAGAGCACCAGTAGCCTCAATGGCGACCTCTTCTTCGTTATCTGAAAGCCGCGTGATGAGCGCCCCGACTACGTTTTTGCCCTGGAGCAGACGTCGCGTCGAGGGATCATTTTGGATGAGATTTGATACGGCAACGCAAGCCCATTTCCGTTCACTGGCTTCCGGGCCGGACATCTATTCGTTCCAGGTGTACAGCGCCGTGATGCCTCCATACATTAGCGGAGGCACTTGAGATGCTACAAAATGCGACGGCGACCTTTTGGATAATGGGTAGTATAGCCTCATTTTTGGAGGATGCGGAGGATGCGGCAGCCAATCCCTTCGGTATATGGGAGTCTGGGACCCGTACTGGGTTGTGTCTGCGCATAGACCTCTTCTTTTGTGATTTGCCCATAGTTGCGAGTAGTCGATGATCAGCACCGGAGAGAAACTGGCTCAAAGAGCAAGCAATGGCATATTGATATCTTGAAAATTCGGCACAGCCACTGTTCAGATACATTTTGTACATATGTAGTAGGATGATCCGCATGTAACGTCGTCGAAAACAGTGTCCCGGTGTTCTTGATGTGCCATCGTCGCAGCTCGTCTCATGCACCTCTCCCCGCTGTCGCTGCGGTCCTCCTCGGTTCAGCACCGCCCCGATTCGTCGAACGGACATTAGATGCTTCTGCCTCCGCAATGTTTTTCTGCCATCTATCGATCAACTTCCCGACTCCTTGGTACGGTCGTTCTGGAGACGGCGATCCAACAGACGGTGGTTCATCTGCTGTATTGTTGGTTTTGATCTTGATCGGGGTTGGTCGAGGCGTTACGAGTGATTGCTTTCGCTCCCGAGTCCCTGGGGCTTCCCGGGTTGTCGAGATCTTGTGCTCGCGAGCAGCCGAGTTTGGTGTATTTCGAGTAATCGACGTCCTTCGTTCTCGAACCATTGAGGCGGGATCGAGAGCAGTAGATGATCCCCGTTCGCGAATGGGAGAACGTGAACCCGAGGACGAGTTGGCTGTCGCTGTGGAGCTCGATGCCGCGGGCAGTTTCAGGGGAACTTTGTAGGGCTGCGCAGAAGGCATGTAGCCGTTACCAGTCGGACGTTTCGCTGGTGACTGCCTTGCGACGTTAGTACCAGTGGGCAAGGGTATCACTCGTAACGAGCCGACCGGCGAACTACGATCTACCGCTTTGCTTGAATGTTCTACAGTGACTGCAGGAGAAGGGGATCTGGTCCCCAACGGTGTCGCCCCGGACAGGGCAGTTGTAGGGGAAAGTTGGGGAAACCTGCTTGCAGCTGCAGACGGCGACGGTATGGACGCCGTGGATGTGTTTGACACCCGGGAGTTAACCTTGAGAGCGCCCGGCCTGGGGGCGGAAACAGGAGAATGGCTGGACTTCGCGTTGCCATTACCTGTGTAGGATTCGTACAGCTGCACCATGTCGGAAATCGAACTTCGTCTATGAGTAGACCGGGCAGCTGGAGTAGTTCGAGGTGCCAAGCCGGGCAGAGCAACGGAAGAAGCATTCCCCGCAGAGGTAGCTTTCGACACTGGGAACATGAACATCGACTGAGGTCGCGACTTCACAGGACTGGAAGCGGCATTGGGCTGTGTAGGGCGAGGAGTCACTTTATGTTGACTCAGCTTCGATCCAGGTCGTTGTGGCAGAGCGGGAACCGACTTGTCACGAGAAGCAGCCGGCTTAGGCGCCACCGGTGGTTTCGCATTCGTGGATGGTCCTTGAGGAGCCACGGGCTGATGGCGTGACTCGGAAAAGGGAGTCCTTGTCGCTACTGAACTAAGCTCGTTCCCACCGTAAAGATCCACCAAGTCGTGTACTGTGCTTTGTCTGCCTTTGATGCGGCGCCTGGGTTCGCCCGCCTGCAATACGTCAAGTGTGGGGTGATAACCCTTAGCGTCCTCTGGTCCCTCGGAGCTCCCACTAGACGAAACAGACGAACGCTTCTCCTCGGTACCTGTGCGGTGGGAAATCCGGATTGGGCTCCAGTTCTCAGTCAGACCGGAGCTCGGGGGAAGGCCAGGCGCTCCCACGGATTGAGCAGTGGAAAGAGACAAAGAAGACTGCGAGCGCGGAGGCCTCGGGGGTGAGGCAGTTACGGCTTGCTGAGGAATCTCGAGCGGAACGTCGCTTCTCTCGATGAATGATGCCCGTTTGCTGGGGGATTCGCGCAACACGGGAGTCCCGGGAGGGTTGTGAAGATCCGCTGTACGTGATGAAGGTATAATTCCTTGCACGTCGTCGTCACCAGTAAGCCAGTCCTTGGGTCCTGAGCGAGTAACAGTATGTGATTGTTTGGAAGTGAGGCTCTCTGGTGCTTGATCAGCAGACACCTCTGGAGTATTGACGATGACAGAGCTCCGGTGTTTCCGCGGTATGACGGGCCTGACTGGCACCGCTACGGCCGTGTCTGAGCCATTCCCATCGGACGCTTGACCAAACCGACGATCAGAGCTGGGTTGAGGATCGCGCAGCATGATTCCTCCGGTAACCGGCTGGGACCGTATTCCGCCATATGAGGTGGAAGGCAACGCTGGCGATGGAGATGCGAAAGTACGATCTAATTCTTCCAGTGATGGGAAACGCTGTTCAGGCGTCAGGTCTTCAAGAGGGGACTTCAGACCACTTGAAGGCCGATGCGGAAGTTGAGGAGGCTGTATTGTCGGCTGCGGGGAGGCAAACGGCTTCACTGCGGAGGCAGATGGACCAGTTCTCGAGCTCAACGTGTTGGATGGAAGCTGGGCCGCTGACGAAGACGCTCGCGGGATGGGACTGGGTTTGCTTCTCATCAGTCGGGCGGTTTCTGAACTGCTAAGAGCGCCCGTAGAAGTCAAGCCCTGCCTTCCTATGCTGGCTTCAGCCAAAGTCGGGGCCGGGGGTTTTTCAACGAAACCCAGGCCGTGGAATGCGTCCTTTGGTGTTGCGGTGCTAGTACGAGGTCCCCGAGTCGCCGATGATGATTCGGAGTTCGAGCCTGGTCGGGATGGAACGGGTGAAAAATTACTGCTGGACCCTACACTGATTGAAGGTACGCCTGTGCCACTCCCCACGCTCCCTGGCATACCCACGAAGGCGTCACCAAAGCCGCTGTGGGTGCCGGTGTAGGCTGGGCTCCTCGTTTCCGGTGCAAGACCTTTAGGTTTCCACGCGTCATCCATACCGCCTGTTGGACCTCTTGGTCTCCAAGCCCCACTGCTGACTACACCGGATTTGTGTCCCTTGACCTGTTTCCAACCGCGGAGATCATCTGTGCCGGTAGTCGTCGGCTTCTTGACGGGACTCGACGCGCGGTCGGCAAGGCCTGTACCGAAAGCAGTAACCACGCCAGGAACGATGGGTCGGCCACGACGCATTGGGGCAATGGCTTCAAGAACCTTCTCTCTCGCTTGCACACCGACACCGGTTGCAACCTGCGCAGAATTGGCAGCATTCGTATCTGATGTTCGAGCTTCCGGACCGCCGCGATAAGATACCAGGCCCTCCAGTGAGTTTGAATGAGCGGAGGATGTCAGCATACTAGCCCGCTTGGTCGGAGACAATGGCTGGGCCTCAGGCAACGAATAGTTGAAACGTGACTTGGTTCCTCGGAGAGCATGAACAGCATTGAGAACCTCAAATACTGAGGGGCGTTGTGGGCCAAGCTCTCTTAGCATGGAAGCTGCAAACGTCTGTTACATCGAGGCCAGGCTTGGGTTGGGTATTGGCTCACCTATTAGTCCATTCATTTGCGCTGAATAGACCGGATAGGGTGGTATCTTGTACTGGACATTGAGAATAGCAAGCGGTCCATGCTCCTCGAACGGCGTGGTGTAGTAGCAGAGCTTGTAGAGCAGCACGCCGAGCGCCCACACGTCGCTCTTCTCGTCGATAGGCCTCCGTAGGTATGGGTCAATCATTTCCGGAGCACGATATTGTAGCGTGGTATGTCGGTTGAGATCAGCCTCCAGAGCCCTGACTTCGGCGTTGTTGGCCGGAGGCCGGGCCATAACAGGCGTCGCAGATCCGAAGTCACAGAGTTTATATGAAGATGCCGAGGCTTGCAGGATATTCTCAACTTTGAGATCACGGTGCAAGAGAGGCGGTTTCAGATTATGCATGGCTGCCACACCTTCGCAAACATCAACGAAGATTTGTAGGATCTCTGCTTCGGTGAGACGTTCCCGTAGTCGCCGATTCATCATGTCAATGATGCCTCCTCCTGAGCGAACGGTGTAAGGATCTTTTCGATATTCGTGCATATGACTGAACCTTGGCAGAACTCCATGAGGATAAAAACCTCATAAGTACCATTGGGAAGTTGATGCCAGGCAGCGTCAATTAGATAGACTATGTTGGGATGTCCCCTGAGAATGCGCTAAGTGAAGATTGAGAAAAGTAGGAGCTCGTGAAGCGTCAGATCGCACCATAATGTCCACCTCCTTCTTGACTTCGCTCAGCAAGGCATCGTTCTGGACAGCCATTCTCTTCAAGACATGCCGAGTGGTTCCAAACACCGGCTGCGTCGTTCGCACAAGATACACATGGGCAAATCCGCCTAGATAAGACGCGTGAGTTCGTATGTGTAGAGTGTCTCGTCGAACACTGACCTTGACTGAGGTAACGCTCCACCTGGACCGTGAACTTATTGACGGCGATTGCTTGTCCTGGTACGAGAGTACCTTTGTTACCGGCCACGTACGCCATATCAGTGACCTCCTCAGCCTTAGTACGTTGTCGTGTCAGCCGCCAGCAGCAACCGAGAGATGGGGTTGTCTACACTGATTCGTGAACAGCGAGAGTCGCGTGCTGTGCGACGAACTGGCACGCCGCTGGATGAGCCTGCGCGCAGGCGCCTAACTCAGAGACGTCCACAGCACGTGCATCGAGCAAATCCTGGATCCATCGCAGACGCCCACTTTGACGGCGGATATATTTCTCAAACATACGCGTGCGCATGGTACAGGTCGATAGATGCCATCCAAACATCCATGAACGTTACAAGTTTTGAGGTTTCCGTTCCACGGAGAGACCGCTGTACAGTGTAATGTTGGCGATTCACGCCCATGCATATAGGTCATATATATAGGTCACGGGATCACTACTGCACTTGGACATCATCCCGTATCTTTCGAGGGCTTCAGATCGAATTGGCTGTCCTCGGCTACTACCCCGATCTCTTACTCGTTGTGCTCTCCCCATGGCCAGCTTGCATCCAAGTCCATTTGGATCCAGAGATCATCTGTCTGAGCTCAAACATGGCGACGTACCGTATTCTCGCCCTAGCACGCCCCATGGAGGCCATCCGCTCCAGATAGGTTGGCTTGGTCTGGGAGCTATGGGCTATTACATGGCGAGAAGTAAGGCGATGACGGGACTCTACTTGACGTTGAAATTCAAACACCAGTCCTGTAGATCTCGCCAAGAATTTGCATTCCCACTCACCCTCCGGAAGCCTGCCGCTGCTCGTGTACAACCGCACCGTGTCCAAGTCCGAGAAACTACAGCAGGAGCTGGGAGACGAGAAAGTCCTTATAGCAGACACTCCGGGTCAGCTCGCGGTGGAATGCGATGTGATCATCACGAATCTTGCCAATGACGAGGTCGTCCGGGATATGTATCTCCAGTTCTCCGAAGCATTGACTGTGAGTTGACCCCCGGTTGCACCATTCGTCGCTAACCGTCGCTTGAAGAAATCCAAACCTTCGAAAGCCAAGATATTTGTCGAAACGAGCACAATATATCCCTCCTTGGCCGGAGAACTTGATTCCATCGTCTCTCGCGTTCCACTGGCACATCTAGTTACAAGTCCAGTTTTTGGCGCTCCGGCTGCTGCTGACAAATCGCAACTGATCATCGTTATGTCTGGAGATTATCGATCAAAAAAGGAGGTTGCTTGGTTGCTCTGCCCTGCCGTCGGGCGGAAAGTTGTGGACTTGGGAGGTAACCTTGAGAAAGGTTTGTTCTCTTTTACCGGTCACGACAGCGGTGAAACACATGCCCATAACATATACACAGCTCCAACTTTCAAGCTGATCGGAAACTCCATGATCCTTGGCTGTCTAGAGGTTATGGCGGAATCCCTGACACTGGCGGAGAAGTCTGGCATAGGTGCCGAAGTTGCTACCCAATTCATCAAAGGTGATCACGGATACTGTTTCCGCTCTCCATTATGAAACTCAACATCACTGTTAGACTTGCTGCCTGCTCCACCGTATGTGATTAAGTGTATCGGCGGATTACTTCTTAACGCGCGGCAACGCTCTCCAGGCTGGTTGCATACAGCGAAAAGATGTTGCATGACCAATTCGACGGAACCAAGGGTTTTGCTATCGATGGAGGCATAAAAGACGCAACGTGCGTCGTCTTAATGCGAAAGCGGAATGCTGCTCAGTTATCATCTGTAGTCATATCCGCAAGCTGACCACACAGCACGATTGTCCCATGCCGGTCATCGACGCTGCACATGGGCATCTCCTCACTGCCCGCGCTTTGCACCACAACCAGAAGCTCAAAGGCACGGCGCACTTCGGCACCCTTGACTGGAGTGCAGTTATCGCGGGCACTCGCGTTGCCGCCGGTTTAGATGGCTTCGACAGCCACAAGGTATATATTGTTCTCATCAGCTACGGCGGCGGCACTCAATTATCTGCGCTCAGCACCAACGAGTCGTTCGGGAAGATTGAATACAGGCAAGAACGTTGGTTGAAGCAAGGCCAATTGTGAATGGCAGATTCCCCGAGTCCGAAAAACGCTGTGACACCCGATGTTTCTCTGCGCTAAGAATAACTGTATGTTACATGTACTGCCGCAAATAGATCCGATCATTGAGAAAGGTATTTCCCGAATCGTGCGGACGCCGCTTGACGACAGGGGCTTTTTCCGCGCCTCTGATGGCTTCGTCGGTTCGCCGATTTATACGGAAGCCGTCCGTGGAGCGCAGACAACTCATGTCCTGTCGTCTCTCCTATCAGCCCGATTTCACGCGTTGACGCTCCGACCAAGATGACCACTCCTGAGACGTTCTCGTTTTTGCACTTCTCGCTATCAGGCCAACATGTCATCTTTTCTTCAATAACCTTGGATTCGGCATCGAATGTGGCTCTTGCGGCATTGATGACGGCAGTGATATGTCTTTTGGAAAGGTAACCTTTCTTCCTTGTGCCTAGTAAACAGTCGTTCACGGGAAGCCTAGATTACTGGCCTGCGCTCAAGCAAAACAATGGACGCCGTGTCAGGTCCTCAGAAGTTCCCAAGCAACTCTTGCAATGTGGCGTGCTGCTACTTTTGGGGCCACGACATCTCTGCGATTGTGTGTGCATCTCAACGAATATAAAAGCTAAGGCGCTGATTGTTTGTTACAGGATATATATGCTAATTGCCATGACATTTCATGCAGGGTCTGTCGAGGATGTCGTCCGATGGCATACATTTCCGGCACTGACACCGTGCGCAGGCTTATACTCACCATTGTCACATCGCTCTCTCTGGGACAGTTTCTGATCGAGTATCGAGACGTTCATGATAAGGATTTGCTTCCGGACGCGTGAGAAGGACCGTTATTGCTATTTGCGTTTGCTCACATCACGAAAACAGACATGGACATGCATACACCTCGCTACCTTCTGAGTCGTACGCGCTGAAAAACCCTGCACTATCATCGAGCGAGCAGTCAGACTCAGGTCTCGCTCCTATGTATCGCGATGTACCCGCCTCTCCCGCGCCTCTCCCTTCATCGACTCCTCATCGTTCGAGGACAAGACCGGAAAGTATCTTCATACATCCTAACGAGTCGAACATCGCACGTGCGGATGCTGTCGCGCTTCAGCTTGGCCTTAGCGGCGCCACAGACTTTGTCAGCAATGCAGGTCTCGTCGCCGGTACTGCCTCGGCCGGAGTAGGGCAGTGGGAGACAGGAAAGGGCAAGGATTTAGCGAGGGCATTGCTGAGGCCAAAGTGAGCGCCCTGGCCGAATGCCGATTTGACATCCGTGATATGTTCGCTGTGTTCGACCTCGCCCCTTCGTGGTTGCAGGGCAACCAGTATACCTTCTACGTACGCTATCCTCATCATTTGTCACCAATCTGTCATAGAATGTAGTCTTATTTACTCCTTTCAAACTCTCTAAACTGCGGAAACCTATCCTGGCCGACGGCTAGGAGGGCTGGGCCCAAGGGCGAAAGACAACTGTTCACATACATAACCGCACCTCTAAATACGTAGAAAGATGTGTCCATACTGGTCACTTGCTCAGCGATCGGCCTCTGGAAAAATGTTTGGACATAGCGAGCGTTGTTTTGAATGTCCCACCGAATGCGTAAGCTGTTTCGGGACTTTTCATATTATACATTCGATGCTTTTCGGGGGCCATGGAACCCGACGAAGCATGTATACGTAAATGCCGGATTTGCCTTGCAATTGTGGTTGTCGGATTTTTCGCGTACCTGTTAGCTCATAGGGCAACGCTGGCCCTTTCATCCGGACGGCCTCAGGGAGAGTTGAATTTTGTTACGATTCATTGATTCGATGTGCATGGATTGCAGGAAAGCGTAGCAGGGCAAGTTGGTAGAGGAAAGTCCTGGAATAATGGCGAAGAATGGCGATCTCCGCTCATTCGCACGTGGATCTCTGCACGAGGCAGTATGGCCGTGGCACGGCCATGTTCCGCCATGTTCCGCCATAGGCGGCCCTTGTTCCTTCGCTGGTGGCCACGCCTTTCCAGCGATACAGTAAGTCTATCGCTGTCTATCGTTTTCTGCCCCACGGGCACATTGTAATATGAAACTGCTCGACATCTCCCAGTCCCGGCCAGCACTAGACCTTGACCAGTACTGTGTGTACTTGGTGTATATTGTCCTTACTCTCCAGATTGCCTTCGCTATCGACGATCTTCCACCGGCAGGACCGGGCGCTCTGGCCATGCGTCATCGCCCTCTGGTTCTCGACACGGCTTCCTTCCCCCGAAAATTTGTTATCTGCCGGTAAACGGCCATTGCCACAGCCTCGTGTAGACGAGTGCTTATAATGAACGCGTGGCTTTGGCCCTGGTGTCTTTGTCCTGGACCATTCAAGTTCAATCGCACCACGCCCCTGCAAGGTACGCAACTCTCATACCCATTGTACCGTTGTTCACTCAACGTTAGAGCACCTCAGATGCGCGCGGTCATGATCCTCTCAGCAGTCTTCGCTCTGCTTTTCGTCGCTTTAGCCGCGGCGTTGCCGCCCACCGGGACGACAATTCAACGCATTACAGGGCCCTATGCTGCACGCGCTGCCGCTGCTCCGGCATCGTCCTCGTCGCCCTCTGCTGTCCGACGCAGCCCTGCCAGGCGCGACGTTGCGGTCCAGAACAACCTGGTTGCTCCTGATCTCTCGACATTCCTTTGCCCAAGCGACACCCACGCTTGTCCCATCGACAACTCTCCGATGCCCGCTACGCTGCTCGACTGGATGTACGAATGTGTGGATTTCGCTACCGACCTCACGTCGTGCGGAGGATGCTCTGCGCTTGACTCAAGGTATGAATGTCTTCCGGACATGCCCTCTGTCCAGAGCTATGGGCTGATTCGGATGATAACAGCCGTGATTGCACTGCGATTCCCAACGCCCTTGCCGTATCCTGCGTTCGAGGCGGCTGCGCGGTGCAGTCCTGCGAGCCGGGATATATCCCCAGCGCTGATGGCAAGACCTGTCTTAGCGTTGGAACGCAGCTGTAAATGGAAGCTTGCTACCTGCACAACATGCGCCCCGCTCCGGCCGGGCGTCCTCGGGACGAGTCCAACGATTTACCCAGCGAACCACGGCGCCTAGAGTCACAAATAGCGATCAGCTCGCACAGGGCCATCCGCACGGTCCTCGATGCACCTCATGACGCGGCCTATGATCACAATCAGGTCTAAACAGTAAATAAAAACCACTCAATTACCACGGCGATTATTTGGGACGCTCTCGAACTCTCGTTGTCGTATGATCACCTTGCTCTAACTATAGACTTTCTATTCGCCACCACGACTAGAGACTGTACTACCTCACGCCCCACCTCATGGCGCTATGATCTGGGCAGCGATTCTCCGAAGGCAGAGAACATGTATCCTTTTCCAGCCCTCATGGACAGTTGTATTTCACCTGGGGACAGTTTAGGCTGTTGTAATATTCATTTTTTGTACGAGCTCGGATATTCCCATCGCTTTTCTGTCCGGTTATGTACAAACTGCCATTCATCCTACTCATCCTCCACCCGCAGCGCGTCTGATTTGCTCGCCGATGTAGTCTGGAAATGATGATTGGGACTCAAGTATCAACGATTCACGATCACGTGTTATAGCGTTCATTGCCTCCCCAAGCGCTCTTTGGTCAGGTTTAATAGTTGTGCGCGACGGGCCTCAGCTGTAGTGATCCATGTCCGACGGCAGCGACTACGGAACGTTTGACACGGACTTTACCCTTTCCTTGGAGGACTATGCTAGCATTGATGCTATGACAGCTGCAGCCTACGCTTCGGCGTCTCTGACGAGTGGACCGTCCGTCGTGGTTGAACTGGAGTCAATGGCTGACGAGTCGCTTGCTCCGCCTCTCAAGACTCGATCCCATCGAGAACACTCGCGAGAGGGGAATGCGTATGCATGGCAGGAACGAAACCTGCGGTCGCCGTATGAGCAGTTTCGCTCGTGGAGGAAAGGATTCACCGTGACAGACCTTGTGGGTCCTGTATGGTGAGCGTCGCTGCAAGAGGCTGAGCTGCCCAAGCACTCAGCCTTTTACTTGGCTTTAGGTGCGAATTACAGTTTGATTACGGCCTACGACAGAGGCGCCATAGAAAGCTTGACGAACGCCCCGCTTCTTTCACGACTCATAAGGGCAAAGAAATCACCGTGGAACGGGACGTTGCTGTGGTAAACGATCGGATAACGAAGCGGGGGCAGGTGTGTCATTTCCATGACTCGATGCCGTGCCAAATACTAATGTTTCTTGTAGTCCGTGCACAAGGCCTTGGAGAAGGAAATCAAGCCGGAGGAGGTTCACGTCAAGGTTACGACAGATGAAGAACGATGGGCTCTGCGGTGTGGGACCATCACATCTTTATACAGAGCTTGGGAGGATCTAAACCACCATGTGCAGCATGTTGAACATGATCTCCAGCTTGGAAAGCCTCGAATCGATCGGATTTTGTGTGATTCAAGGTCGCCTATGTTGTCACCATAAAGCCACTCATACTGTTATTCAGCGAGAAATGCCTGTCTTCGGCATCGTTCATGGTCAAGTCGTAACTGGGATCATAGTTCGTGTCGCTTCAACTGCGGTATCATCCTGCGCGCTGATCACGCATGAATAAGGATGAAATACATCGCCGCCAAACGAATCCCTCTGTGGCGAAGGAATCGGAAATCTCGACATCGTCCTCCGTCTCCTCAGCTACCAAACGTTCGTCCACGTCACCGGAGGTCCAGCAGACTCCATCCAAACGACGTCAGAAACGCAGCAAACCATTACATGGGACGGGTTTTGCCGAGAGGGAAGATCAGAGCCAATCACAAGCAAAACTCCATGCATTCTTCTCGACCTCTCCGCGCAAAAAGATGCAGGGAGAAGACACACAGGAGTTGGACAACGAGGAAGCAGTGACAGGGGTGACTACGCTTGAGCGGATGGCAGGTGCAACGTGTTCGAGCGATCTGTCGGCTCTGCATGGGAACATCCAGACGAAGTTCGTGCTACATCTCTCGGACACCAAAACGCGCCATCGACCTGGGCTTCCGTCGCATGAGGATACCCTTCCTGCTCGGCTCCAGCTCATGCTATACCATCAATTGCTCTCAGCAGTTCTCAAACCTTGCGCGCAAGATTCGCGAATCCCAGATGACTTTGCTTTGTGCTCCCCTGAAGGAGGCTTCGAGTTCCCGCTGTTTTGGGAATTGGTGGGTGTCGACGATCGTAAACCGTTGTCCAGAGCTTTCTTGGAACAGGCAGCTCTGATTATACCTGGCCTTTTGGAGAACTATGGCATACCGCTTACGTCATCTAGCCCTAAAGCCCATTTTCGCCCAGACGCTGTTCATGTAGAAGATGCCGACTACTTCGTTCTTTCGCTTAATTTGGAGAACGTGGTTCAAGCATGGAGAGATGCGGTACAAAGGCTTGATTTGGCCGTGGATGATAGAGGCACCGGAGGATTGGACGATGAATTGGAGATTGTCTACCGCAAGCCTGGGGTGAGCAGCCGGAGCGACCTTTTCTCCCATTCGGCGCGCCAGGAATCCCCGAAAATCGGTCCCGGAGATCGCGGTATACCACCAAATCATAGGACAGTTGCTGTGGAGGGCTTCACTGGCGACACCATCGCTCCCGAGGCCGTTGATTCTCGATGGGATCAAGACTTAGCGGCGGCGATATTGCTCTCGCTCCAGAGTCAGGATGGTATATCCGTGTCCGGGTCTCTTGATACATCGGCTGGTACATGTACCGCAGATGTCCGGCCGACTGGTGATCTGGCAGATTCGGGTGCCACAACTGACACTGCGAAGGTTCGCAGTATGACACGTAGCCACTCGTCGGCAAGCCTGCACACTCAGTTCGCCGGAGACGCTGAAGGTAGGATTCAGCGCTAGATCCTTCGTACTCGGCTCATTGCGGGGCATCACAGAATTGAAACGAGAAGAAGTGGACGCTATGAACGAGGTCACTGAGCCCTTGCTTTCCGACCTTCACATCGTTGGCAGGAAGATGTTTCGGTTTGACGGTGAGATGCTTGACAGGCATCTGCAGACTGTGCTAGAATGGTGGCATGGCCGACGTGAGCCCCGCGGGGTGGAGGTGGAGAACAGCGGGCGGTGTTTGTGAGTTACTTATCGTGGGGCTCTGCAGAGACGATGTCTGACGCGTATGCAGCACATGCGAATATCGCAGTGGGTGCGAATGGCGAGAGCGCAAAGCGGAGGAGGCGCGCCAGCTGGTCGCGGCCAGGAGGGCGGCACGTGATAATCTGGCGTAGCAGATCTGCGAGTGGCTGTGCTGCGGGTAGCGCGGCGCTGAACTGACGTCTCGGTCGAATCGTACCACCGCCAGAGAAATCGGCCATGGCACCGCAGACGCCCGTCTGGCGGGGATGGGCCCACTCTCCTCTTCCCACCGCGTTAAAGGTGGTCGCTCCCTCTCTGGACACCCCGCTGCCGCCGATCGGTTCGCCATCCCGCGCGCGCATCCTCCCCTTTCGTTGCTGCCGTTCCGCTCGATCAGCAGTATGGCCTATAAATCATAGTTCATATCCCGGCAGCACGACAACTACACTTGACGAGCTATTCCATCGATCTCCAGCCACAATCAACATTCACTGACGACCCCTAACGACTCGCACGATACCGCGATGCAGCTCGCGGTCAGCTCGAGCTGCCGCGTCGAAATCCCCCCTAAAATGATCGCCTTCTGCCTTGCACTCGCTTGGCTCCTGTTTGTGAGCTAAACCTGACACGGGTATCGTATTTATACTCACCGGCACATAGGGCATACTCTTTGGCGCTCTTCGGGTCATCCTCCCCGTCCTGAGAGATTATCATGCCATAGATATTCCTGCTCGCTTGCGTGAGGCGGAATCATCCCGCCAGGCGAAACAGGCAGGATCTGTCCCAACCAAACCCCCCATGCCGAAGCGCGTGACGTTCCTGGTTATTTCTGGCGCCCAACAGCGTCCGACGTTCCCGGTCGAAACACCCTCACCTCGTCGAACCGCCTTCAATCTTCCCAACTTCGCTATGCTTTCCCGTGCACGGAGACCCGCACTGGCTGTCAGGCAGAGCAACAATGCGGAACCAGGACGGCCCCAACTCTTTCGTCTATCGTCCTCGCGCATGGCATTCACGCGCGATGACAGCAAGAGGACGTCGGCGGCCGCAAACGAGCTCTTCATGTCCAGCGCAGGCGCGTGCTCCGATGTCATCGACAACAGCACCAAAAGTTGCGCTTCGTCTGTTACCACGACCACCTCATGCGAACCCTTGACACCGGCCAGCGACGAGTCCATCAACTTCGAGCGGATCCCCTATTCTAGGCAGAGCTCAAAGCCATCTTTCGTGCGACGCATGAAGCTGCAAATGCCCAAGGTCTTGAAGGGCAATAAGTCTCCGCTCGAGCCCCTCTCTGGTAGGTCCAGTTCCGAATGTGAGATTGAGTCGGTCTAATCGTTACGTGCAGTCTCCCTTTCTCCTCAATCCACGTCCTCTCCCATCACCCCGGTCATGTCTCGTCTGCCGTCGACTTCGGGCTCCATTCGTCCCAATCGCACAAACCCGTACTCGCCCCCTTACAACGCGCCTATGCCGATCCCGGGCAAACGCCCATTTTCGAGAACGTTATCTTCCATCGGCGGCATCGGCGCCAGCACCAGATATTCTATCGCCGGAGATAGTGGACGCAAGCTACACAGGTCCCTTAACACGGAAATCCAGAGACGCGCGAATACGAAACCCAGGCATTATTCTGTAGACGCGAGCGACCTCAGGGACAGGCTGAGCTCTTTGATTGAAGTCGATGGTAGAGATCCTTAATGCTCCACTGCGAGCTCTGACTCAGTTATGACATATCTATTTCATCCGTATAATATCATCGCCCTCGCATCATAACGCATAATCCCAACTCGCATCATGTACCCATATATGCATCAACGTATAAGTCAAAGCAACATCGTTTCTTGTCGGCGTCGTCATTAATTCTGTGGCAAGAATATCGCGGCATTCCTTGACTATCTGATAGTGGGCATGGCTGATATACTGAGCAGACTGAAGTAAGGCTTGGTTGAGCAACAACATTTAGCTTGTGCTCGAAAGACCATCTCCTTCCAGCAAAGCGCAGATAGCGCGCGAAACAGGACTATCCTCCCCGCTGCTTAGGGAGTTCCCTTCTTCAATGCACAGCTGCAGCTGCGCATCCAAGAGGCGCCTATATGTTAGTCAGCAAATGAGAATCGAGCTCGGTAATGGATGGCACTTGCCGCAGATGGTTGACCAAGACACCAATTCGCGGCCACGCTTTCAACTTCACCCATCTTTCCTTGTCGCCCACGACCAAACCGCCGCCGATGTGGTTGATTGTCACAGGCCCACCGAACAGGAGCAATGCGTACGTTGGCAGCTAACGAATCGAATGAGCACATTCAAGGTGCTCGATAGGAGCGCCTCACCTCGGTGGCATCGCGCAAGAACACCTTGGAGGTACGTGCTTTCTGGAAGTAGGCTAAGAAATGCGACTTCCAGATATTGTTCTTGAACAGGACGGAGCTCGGGTGGAGGAAAACTCGCTCTGAGCCGGCGTCTACGTCGAAGAACAGGTATTCCTTCGCTACGTTTTCCCGCTGTACAGCTGTGGCAACCATTAGCTGGCCGTACAGATTCGGGTGCACGCGCGCCGTGACACTCACTCCCTGCTTGAACCTTGTCGAATTTGATGGCGGACTGGGGAAGGGAGACACGCGCAACACGCGGCCAGAGGCCGCCTAGTATAACAGCCTTTACAAGGTTCTGGTTCGCACGATTTGCATTGAGGGTTGGATCCGCAAGATCGCTCCCGAAAGCAACGAAACCGATGGACGACAAGGCGCCGAGCAGATCGCTTCGAAGGGACGTGATATCGCGAACAGTCGATGGAGAGATGAAGTTCTATGCCTCAAGATCAACGAGGGCCTGTTGAATTTGCGGGCTCAACGCACCTCTGTGCAAAAAACCTTCATTGCGCCCTCGCCTTTCCCTTCTGAGCGGAGTTGCATACATTCTTCGTATGCGCGCACGTCAGTCAGCAAATCGCTGCCTCCAGCGGCAAATCGTGCCCGCGATCTAAATTGGGTGTCAGGTTAAATCTGGCGAAGACCAATAGATGGACTCCTGCCGTGACGCCTCGTCCCGTTGATCTATCGGGCTCAAAAACAGTGGTTTCGACGAAAGGCAAGCGGCCACCGTGAGCACAGGATCCAAGCATCGGAATACAGTAGCTAAGATCAGCATCTGGACGTGACAAGTGAGTAGTGAGTCACATAGTCTCAGCTTCCATTTGACGCACCTTTCCCAATCGTAAATCGAGGGGTAACATTGACTGAAGGTATGTTTCTCAGAGAAACAGTGCCCGCGGGGTCAGCCAACGACTTACCATATACCTGCCTAGGGCGGTGAGCTTGTTGTCTTCATCCACGGCACCTAGCTGGCCCAGGATTGACCACGCCTTGTCTAGCGCATCGACTTTCGGAGGATCGATCGCCTGCGACAAGAAAGCCTGAACTAATGGTCAGTCTGCGCATTCCTTCGCGCCAGTTTGCAGACTACCTTTGGATCTGCATCCTCTCGCATAGATTTGATAGTGAGTAGGACACTTTCGAGGGGTACGCGCAAGATTTCCGGTATAGGGTATTTGCCCATTTTCGCCTCTTGCTTCCGACTGTAGACCTTGTAACACACACCCGGTCGCGTTCGGCCAGCACGACCGCGCCTTTGTCGCGCGGCAGCACGTGTAACCCACTTCTCCTCGAGTAAAGACATTCCAGTGGCAGGATCATAACCGGTCTCCTTGACCTTGCCACAATCCACTACGTAGATAACGTCGTCGATAGTGATAGACGTCTGTAGACCGCATCACCATGATATTGCGTTCAAATGCAGAAAAAAAAATGGCTGACCTCAGCAACATTAGTGGCTGCTATTATCTTCCATTTCCCCGTCTTTCCAAAAACCGCGCGTTGTTCGGCACTCGAGAGATTGGCATGAAGAGGGAAGAAATCCGCGTCGGTTCCGGCCAATATGCTGCGTAGGACCTGGATACATTGCCGGATTTCTTGTACACCGGGTAGGAATATAAGCACGCCACCCTTCACGGGAGCAGTTGTGACGATGTATTTAGTTATCGCTGCGACAAGCTGAGTACAACGTAAGCGCGAGGGGAATAGGGCCGTATATGAGATTGGTTCGCACCTGGAAATCGATCCTTTCAGACCGAGCAACGTACTGTAGGACGTTGGCATCCAGGGTATCATCCTCGTACTCTTCCTTTAGTAGCTTGATTTGCTCTTTGCTGCGTGCATTCCGACCTTGGAGATTCGCAGGAAGTCGATAATCGAGGCGGCCGATGAAGTCTTCCAGATACCTAGCGCAGGTCAATGCGCGTCAACTAATAAAAAATCTGAAATCCTTACATGTCAGTAACTGGGTGGGTAAAGCCCGGTATCATCAGCAAAGGAGCACCGCCGAAATACTCTATGAATCGTTCATGATTCACTGTAGCGGACATCAGTATTATCTTGAGCTTATTGTGCCGTTGCAACAGCCCCTTCAATTCCAACAGCAAGAAATCACTATCAACAGAGCGCTCGTGGACCTAAATCGCTTGTGAGCGCCCTGCAGCATTCATTGGCTACAAGAACCCTCACCTCGTCGATGACTACGTGCGTGACATCGTCGAGACTATCGCCGGCCGCAAGACGTCGCAGGACGACACCGGTGGTACAAAACAGGAGTTTCGTGTATTTGCTTTGCTTGTTTTCGCCTCGAATAGCATATCCAACACTGCCGTCTTCGATACGCTCAGCAGAGACGCGAGCAGCAACACCGATGGCAGACAGGCGGCGGGGTTGTGTGACCACAATGGAGGCGCTCGCTCCTTGCTTTGAAAGGATCAGGTGGTCAAGGATAAATTGGGGAACTGCGAATCGTCAGTCACGATGATGCCACGGAGGATTGCGGAAGAAGCGTGCTGACGCTGCGTAGTTTTGCCGCATCCTAGGTGGTCCACTTCAGCATTATTGATTACCACGAGTGAATGCGTATCCCACCAGTTTCTCCGACAACGACGACAACACGATTGGTCTCTAACATGTCGATGAACCGATCCTTGACAGTGAATGCTGGTAATTTCTCTCGAATCGCAAACATAGCCGAGTATTTGTTACTGTGGCACAAATTTTGAAATTCCTGGAGGATCTCGGCGTCGGTACGGGGATCCCGAGTTGGTGTTCGCCTTTGCTTCCGTGACTTGTTCCGTGCGACGTCCTGGCGTGATGCAAGCTCGCCTTCCGCAGATTTCTCAAGCTGTGGCAAGAGGTGCTTCAAGACAGTAGTGATCTCGGGCGGTCCCTTGTCTTCCAGTATAGTCCATTCTTGGTCGAGGAATCCGATGGAGGTAATAAGGAAACCCACGCCATTTTCGGCCACTTCGCCCGTCCGGCATGCATGAATCAGTCGCGCTAGAAGATGCAGCCGGAGGTAGGCTGGCACCGACGGGGACGCGATGTACATGGGAGGCGGGTTGGAGCAATATAAAGCGGGGGAATGGCTTTCCACAAGCAAGTGCAGTTGCCCCCCTGGAGTGGAATACAAAGGAACAACGAGCTCGCCATCAGAGAAGAATGCGCCCGTGCCCTCCATGGAAATCTCGTCGACAATTGCATCCTCGTCACCTTCGGCATCGTCCACTTGAACTGCTACATCTTCTCCCACGAGTCGCGCATTCAACGTCTGTAAAAGGGTACTCCAAGTGAACGACGAACTTCCGTCTTCGATAACCTTTTCGACGGCTTGTACGGGAAAACCGGCTATCTTGACGGCCTTCTCTTGCATCCAACGAGTCTTCAGATTATCAGTTGCACCATGAGTGGATGATACGAATGGATCCGAGGAGTTCCGGGAAGGCAAAAAGCGCTCCGGCAAGTCGCACTCCGGAACATGCAGGATGATATATTCAATGCATGCCTGCAAGGGAGGCCATGACGAGAGCAATGTCGAAGTCAATGATGAGGGCTGAGACAGCGCCTGCGTTGCCTTCCTAGCTTGCGGTGCGGTGAATCCCAGGGTCTGAAGCTGCTTTAAGACATCCGCCTTTCCTTGCTCAGATATAACAAGAGGATCTTCGATGCTTGCTTCTGGAAATGAAGCTATTCCCTGAGATTCATCGGCATCAGGGTTTAGGTCAGGTGCTGGAGTACCTACCTGCTTAACCGCGTCTTCGACGAGATCACGCAAAGCTCCTGCCATGCGAACTTCTGGAGCCTGCGCGAATTCGGGAGAGGCAGCCTCTCGAGGCTTTATCTCTGTTTTATCCGCAACGCTGTCCCCGCGCTTCTGCGTAGCTTTAGCCTGACGCTCATCAACTTCCTTCCGAGCCTCAAAAGGGTCAGCATAGTACATCCATTTCTGGTGTTCAGGACAATTTCTGTGCTCGGTCGCCAGCTCATTCCAGTACTCTCGGGGTCCCGGGGGAAGAACACGATTGAGCTGAATGCCGTTGCAGAACTGAGAGAGGTCTATTTAGGACAAGATCGATATGGTCCAGTAGCAACATGAAACCACGAACGCGATAAAGAGCATACGTCGCACCCCAGTGACGAGCTTCAATAGCAGAGGGGCGGAAGTACGGGGGATGCGGTTCCAAATGGACTGACTCCGTTTCAGATTTTTTGTTATTCCATCTCCTCAGGGTAACGGAAAACGAGAATTTGTCACCCTGCTGCCGCTGGGACTGCTTGTCAGATCCACATGTACCGCACCACAATAGGTACACTTACGGTATTGACCGAGGGCTTATCCCAGCCCTGTTTTTGGCATCGTTCCTGCAGCAATGCTAACGGGTATTTGGAGCCAGGAGGGAAGAGCGACTTCTTATCCGGATCAACGGTGGTCTCCGTCTTCGGCGCCGGCTTTGACGACTTGGAACTATTCCCAGAGTTGCCAGACTTAACAATGCCGCGCTTGGGGGGCATGGTAGGAACACGACAAACAAGCGGTTTGTAGAGTGACTCTCGGTAGTCATCGTGGATCAGAGCGAAGTTCGCGGACCCGGTGTTGCTTAGTAAGCCACCTGCTCTCTCTGGTTGCCCATGGCCGACGCTGACCTCTACAACCTCGAGTTCCTGTCGCTCGTTAACAAGATCACACAAGAAATCAACAATCACACTGGCTACAATGACAAAACGCTCGCCGAATTCGTCATTGCGCTCCATGACACCTCCAAGACCCTGCCGGAGTTCAAGCAGAAACTGCAGGAAGCCGGCGCCGACTTCCCTGACTCCTTCGTAGAAAACATTGACCGTCTCATTCTCAGCATGCACCCGAGGCACAAGAAGAAGTCGAAATCAAAGAAGGGGAAGGGGAAATCGAAAGAGGCCGATGTCAATGGCGTGACCGAACTCGACGAGCTGGACAAGAAAAAGCGCATGTTCCCCGGGCTTTCCAAACCTGATCAGGAGTGGCAGCCGTCTGTTACCAAGGATGCGTTGATGCAAGAGGTTGATGATATGATGGCTGCCTTCGAAGGCGGTGCCAAGAAGGTTAGGGCAAGGGAGTCAGACGAAGAGAGGTCGCCGAAGAGGCAACGAAGGGAGCATCCGACATCTCCTCCTCGTAGGCGTAGTCCAAGCCCTCCACGTGGCCACCCGTATGATGATGGAGGTCGAGGTCGGCATTCCCAGCGCAATCGACAACAACTCGACGAGCGCCCGGTGCTTTATAAGATCTACGATGGCCGAGTGCAGGGGTTGAAGGAGTTTGGTGCCTTTGTCCAACTGGAAGGTGTTGTTGGACGCGTAGAGGGTGAGTTACTTCTGTTTTATCTTCGCAGAGTTGTCTGACGTCTCGGTAGGCCTCGTTCATGTCTCCAACATACAAACAGGCGCGCGCGCGAATTCAGCGTCAGATTTGCTCAGCAGAAACCAACCAGTCAAGGTCAAAGTGATGAGCGTCGCGGGAAGCCGTGTTGGTTTATCCATGAAGGACGTTGATCAAGTCACGGGCAGGGATCTCACCCCCCACCTACGAATCAAATCCGAGGCAGAGTTACTTGAGGAGGAGCGGCAGCACAGTCGCCTCGCCTCATCGGGAGCTAATGCCATTCCTGTGGGAGGGAGGGCATCCAGCGGAATAAACGAACCTGTGCGGTCAGCGAAGCGTCTTACCTCCCCCGAGCGCTGGGAGATCAAACAGCTTATCTCATCCGGGGCCATCGATCCATCAGAGTACCCGGAGCTGGACGAGGACTTCTCTAACACCATGGCCCGCGCAGAGGTCGAGGAGGACATTGACGTTGAAGTCAGGGAGGAGGAGCCGGCATTTCTGGCTGGGCAAACGAAGCGGACACTGGATCTCAGTCCGGTGAAGATTGTGAAGGCGCCTGACGGCTCTTTGAATAGAGCTGCTCTTGCTGGCGCATCGCTTGCAAAGGAACGGCGTGAGCTGCGACAGCAAGAAGTGAACGAACAAGCGGACTCGCAAGCCCACGACTTCAGCGCACCATGGTTGGACCCTATGTCGAAGGAGTCAGACCGCGTCTTCGCCCAAGACCTGCGCGGCAATCTACGAGGCCAAAAGGCGGGTACAGAGGCGTCATGGAAGCAAGCGACCTTCAACAAAGCGACCACATTCGGTGAAATAACAAGCCTCAGCATCCAAGATCAGCGCAAGAGCCTGCCAATTTATAAATTACGAGACCAGCTCATTGAAGCCATCAGGGCGGTATGTCTATCCCTCTTCTACCCGTACAATTTCTACTGACGCACGCGGTAGCATCAAGTCCTCATCGTGGTCGGTGACACTGGCTCAGGGAAGACCACTCAAATGGTTCAATACCTTGCCGAAGAAGGCTTCGCAGATCACGGGAGGATTGGGTGCACTCAGCCTCGTCGCGTCGCCGCCATGTCTGTCGCAAAGCGTGTCGCCGAGGAGGTCGGCTGTCGGTTGGGCCAGGAGGTCGGCTATACGATCCGTTTCGAAGACTGCACTAGTCCGGAGACGAAGATCAAGTACATGACGGATGGTATGCTGCAACGAGAGTGCCTCATCGATCCCAATGTTAGCGCGTACAGCGTCATCATGTTGGATGAGGCTCACGAACGGACGATTGCCACCGATGTCCTCTTTGGTTTATTGAAGAGTGAGTTTGCGCTCCTTCATGTCGAATACTATGTGCTGACCCCTCTCCCAGAGGCCATCAAACGCCGCCCGGATCTCAAGTTGATCGTGACATCTGCTACTTTGGACGCTGAGAAGTTCTCAAAATACTTCTTCGGATGCCCAATCTTCACGATTCCCGGTCGAACATATCCTGTCGAGATTCTCTACACCAAGGAGCCGGAATCTGATTATTTGGACGCCTCTCTCATCACGGTTATGCAGATTCATCTGTCCGAGCCGAAGGGCGACATTCTCCTGTTCCTCACAGGTCAAGAAGAAATTGATACTGCGTGCGAGATTCTGTATGAACGCATGAAGGCTCTGGGTCCCAAGGTTCCGGAGCTCATCATCCTTCCCATTTACTCTGCCCTCCCCTCTGAGGTTCAATCCCGGGTTTTCGAGCCAACACCAGAAGGAGCGCGTAAAGTCGTCATTGCAACTAACGTTGCCGAAACGAGCTTAACGATCCCGGGCATCTACTACGTTATCGATCCTGGGTTCTCCAAGCAGAACGCGTACGACCCGCGCTTGGGTATGGATTCGCTCGTGGTCATGCCAATCTCTCAGGCGCAAGCTCGACAGCGAGCGGGACGTGCTGGTCGCACCGGTCCGGGAAAGTGTTACCGCTTGTATACAGAAGCCGCTTTCCGGAACGAGATGTTACCGAATTCCATCCCAGACATACAGCGAACCAATCTGGCACATACAATCCTCATGCTCAAGGCTATGGGCATCAACGATCTTTTGTCGTTTGATTTCATGGACCCGCCTCCAGCCCAGACCATGCTGGAAGCACTGCAATCGCTATATTCGTTATCAGCCCTTGATGATGAAGGTCTGCTTACACCTCTCGGGCGGAAGATGGCAGATTTCCCCATGGAGCCAAAGGAGTCGAAGATGCTGATCGCCTCCGTTGAACTAGGATGTTCGGAGGAGATCCTCAGTATCGTCGCCATGCTTTCTGTGCAGTCGGTGTTTTACCGCCCAAAGGAAAAGCAGGGCCAAGCAGACTCCAAGAAGGCCAAATTCCATCAACCTGAAGGCGACCATTTAACTCTGCTCGCCGTTTATAACGGGTGGAAGGCATCAAACTTCTCGAACCCGTGGTGTTACGAGAACTTCATTCAGGCGCGAAGCATGCGGCGGGCGCAAGACGTGAGGAAGCAGCTCCTAGGCATTATGGACCGGTACAAGCATGACATCCTGAGCGCAGGCAGAGATTTCAACCTTGTTCGCCGCGCCATTTGCTCAGGGTTCTTCCGTAACGCTGCGAAGAAAGATCCACAAGAAGGCTACAAGACCCTCGTCGAAGGCACACCCGTTTACATTCATCCGTCATCTGCTTTATTCAACCGCGCCCCTGAGTGGTTGGTTTACCATGAGCTAGTATTGACTACGAGGGAGTACTGTCACAACGTGTGCGCGGTGGAGGCGAAATGGCTTGTGGAAGCTGCACCGCAGTTCTTCAAGGTTGCGGACGCAGCAAAACTGACCAAACGGAAGAAACAAGAAAAGATTCAGCCGTTGTACAACAAATACGAAAAGCCGGACGAATGGCGGTTGTCGAAAGTCAAGAGGAGCGCTCGTTCGAGTCAAACATTTGGATAATCGCATAACCTATGGTAGTTTACATTGTATATTGATAATGCGCCCGCTCATCCTCATACGTGTTTTCGCGTCGTTCTGGTCAATGTCGACGATGAAGGTGGCATGCCCCACCAAGCTGCGTTCCATGTTGCGACGTCGTCGAGGCAATGCGGCAGTGTTAATGGTGGGGTGTATGTGCTTTGCTCGAGTATTGCGCTATTCACGTTGTGCTAAAGGCATTCATCAGGTCTGCAAGCTTTCTGACGTCGCGATCGCATGAGGATATACCTTGCCGAAGCAGCCATTAGCGGACCGGTCTTTCATGTTCCATCTTGTAGACAGTCCTAACCGACGAAACGCATAGCGTCCGCTTGGACGTAGTACTTGGCAACCTCTCCCGCTTTTGTTGGGGGGGCATTGGGGTCCGGGGTGAGCATGAACGTCTGAGAGAAAACCCTCGCTTGGCCGTCGATGGACTTGCTCGGTGTGGTGGCAGGGTTGCCGGAAGGACCTCGACCGTGTACGACGGTCCCAGACACCGTTACGAGAAGCGAGGGTGGTTGACTTCCTACGGCACATCAACAGGTCATATTAGAGCAACTTGTTGCGAGACTTCGGAGCTCACCAGGAATGGGATGGCAGTCAAAGGATTGTACTTCATGTCTCGTGCTCGGCATGCTTTCGATGAGTTTCCTCATTTCGTCAGCGCCTTGAAAAGGCTTTCCATTCCAGCTGACCGTCGACGACGGGCGGTAGAAGTTGGGTAGGTCGGCTACTCTTGTCTTTGAATCGTATGTAGTATAGTATAGGTGCGTGAACGAATCCGCGGCTCGCGTAGCAATTTCGATGCTGCGGTCACTTTAGAATACATCTGGAGGAAGTCTTAGGTCGTACGCACTCGTCTTTAGTGAGCATCTTTGAGGAGGAAGATGACTATACACGAGGATCGTGAGTCGTGGCTGCCAGAACCATGATCGTCGGCGTAACGGTACAGCCACCTTGCCAATATGTCATCGACCCTCCGCGTCTGTACGCTCAACTGCTGGTACGTTCGCAGCATTATCGCTGCAGTGCACGGATGACACCCTCACAGGGGTCTCAAGTTCGTTGCAAAAGACCGCAAAGAGCGCATAGCAGCGATAGCTCGTGTGCTCAGCGAATCTGACTACGACGTGATCGCTCTGCAGGAGCTATGGGTCTCTGCTGATTACGCCCACGTCCGTACCGCCCTCGCGAAGAATCTACAGCATGCAAAGTACTTTTATAGGTATGCATCGATCATACGTCTGCTGGCTATCAGGTTTTGATGCGGATACCCACGAAAGTGGGGCACTAGGGTCGGGCCTGGCATTGTTCTCCCGCTGGCCAATTCTAGCAACATCTGTCCATCCATATTCACTCAACGGCTCGCCTATCGACGTAGCCGGAGGAGACTGGTTTGTTGGGAAGGCTGCTGTCAGCGTACTCGTCGAACATCCCGCGCTAGGGCAGTTGCAGATATTCAATACACATGTGAGACCCTCTTCAAAATGCTCGCCTATACGCCATCTGACAGGATTTATGCCAGCTTTTTGCTAAAGGCGGGGAATTGGGCCCTGAGCATCTTCGGGCACATCGTCTGATAAATGCATACGAGATCGCCAAGCTAATAAGACAAGCTGCCCAGCTTGGCCGGAATGTCATTGCCATGGGCGATTTTAATAGTACGCCGCAGTCGCTCCCAGTGAAAATCATCATGGAACACACCGGGACGCACGACGCATGGTTGGTGACGCATCCGGGAGACAGTGGTAAATGTTCAAATCCTCAAGGGCACCATGGAGATCTGACTGGGCACAGGTTACTCGGACAATGGAGCAGAACATGCAGTCCTGCACCACGGAATCACCGCTGATTCCCCCCTAAACACGTATGCTGATCCAGCTCCGAAAAGCGAATATGTTCGTCAGCACCGGGGTAAACGCCTAGACTACATCTTCTACCGCGGACCCCTCCAGCATCCGGGCACGCACGTAGCATTACCTTCTGAAGCCCAGCAAGGAGGGACCCTGCCGGCTGCATCAATACTTGATCGGGCCACACTTCGATGCGCGTCCGCTCAGGTATTGTTGACCGGACTGGTGCCTGGACGTTCGCATTCATACTCAGATCACTTCGCTCTTGAAGCCATCTTTGAGATCGTACCTACATCTATCTCGAAGTCGAGGACGGCTAATACCACAACGGCACAGAGCTGGACTTTTTCCGAAGATACCGGTAGCTTGGACAGCGAGGATGTCTGGCGCGGACAACCGAGTAATTCCAAAACGCCTATCTTGTCGGTTGAGTCTATCGATGCGACGATTCACGCTCTTACCACCGCGTATCGGCATTCACTCTCTACGCATCGCCTCTACCTCGTCACGTTTGTCTGTTGTATTGGTCTACTCATATGTATCGCCATCGGTATGTGGTTCAGCGTCGTCTATGACATTGGGGTGGTCAACTGATGATTTCACAGGCACGGCCTGGCTGCCGGTTCCATGGGTGAATCCGATCTTCATTCTTGCAACGGTTGCGATCAGTTGGCTGGGGACGACCATGCTATACATTGGATTTGTGTACGGCAGGTGGGAAGTCAATGCTTTGATGAATGTGGTGGAAGAGCTAGAAATTATCAGAGCGGGGTTGCTCAATTAGCATAATTTTGCAATCACTGTTATTCATCTGGGATCATTCGTGTGAGGAACATAGCTCGCGTCCAAGTAGTGACGTTCCGATGTCCAGCAGTCACTCCCAGTGAAAACGACCAATTTTCACCTGGGATGTGCGGGAATGCGACGTCGGAAGCTTGTAAGCGGACGGATGAGGGTGGTCACCAGAGGATGTGCGCGACTTCCGTTGCCGAGGTGCAATTTGCGGATCGGATTCATGGGAACATGCTCACAGGCGCGGACACCATATTCTGTGATATCGTCTACCAATCTATGCCACCGATTCTACATATCCTGGCTCATACGTAGCGTCTTGGCACTCCACTTCACAGTTTCTCTGAGTCGTACTAGACATGTGACCATGTTGGTTGGAGGCAGCACTGAGCTAACTCAACCTCCTTCGCTGACGAGCCAGCCTAATGCCTTTCTTGATACGATCAATCCGTCCCAGCTGTCGTCAGCTGTTCTGCGCGCTCTCTGTAACATCAACCCACTGTAACATACGCTGACTCGTCTTGCCACGACACCAAGCACAACTCATCCCGTACAGATCAAGATGACGCGTCAGGCGAGATGCCGGGGTTCTTGGCCTTGCCTTCTCGGCCGCAACGGACGCAAACGATCCCCGTCCCAACCGATGCCTCTGCGCCCAAACCACGCCCCAGAAAAGCGCGTTCTGCCACGCTACCCACCCCTTCCGTTCTGCACGAACTCAAAGTGCACGGCGCGATGCTGCGCATGATGCGTGCGATGGGCAGACATGGCAAACCGGTACACGTCGCCGTACACGATGCGTTGCGGAAGAACAAGGGGTACGAGCTCGTGCTGTGCGGGCACAGTCTCGGCGCCGGCGTCGCTGCGCTTCTCAGTCTCGTAAGTTTTTCACAACTTCCGCCTTCCGCGATCGAATGATCGTTAACGGAATACGCCCGCGTTAGTCCTGGGCAGACCCGAAGACTTGCCTCACAGTCCGCTCGAGCGGCCTCCCGGTCGGGAGAAGGGTGTCGGTCTACTGCTTCGCGCCGCCGTGCTTGACGGACGAGGCGCTCACGGTGCTCGCTGCGGACATGGTCACGTCCTTCGTGTACTCGACGTGGTATCGAGGCTGTCGCTGGGCTCGATCTGCGACATCCGGAACGCGGCGATGTGGTTGTGCGATGGGCAGAGTCGTGCTTCGTCCTCCAAGAAGGGTCGAGGAAAAGGGGACGAGCAAACAAACAACGTCGGGCAGAGGGACACGAAGGGAAAGGGCAGGGAGAAAGAAGCGGGGAGTCTCGCGCCGGAGGTGAAGGAGAGCAAGGGCAAGGGCTACAAGCGCGTCACGAAGCGTGCGCTCAGATTCCGCGCCGGCATGGGCAGCGCCAAGGACGCGGACTGGTTTCTAGCAATCCGGAAGACGCTCGAGGCGAACATGCAGCACGCAGACCTGTTCCCGCCGGGCGAACCTGGT